GAAAAATATCAAGTATATTTTACAAATAAATTATATGATACATTATCGTGAGGCAACAAATAGCAGTCATTAGCAAGCAAAATAATATTTTATTGAATTGACTCCCAAGAGATTTGCATAATTTGCGAGCCAGATAATGACGGACCAATTACACCAGGCGTGAGATTGATAAGGGAAAAGTGCAAAGTTGAGAACCAACTGACAGAAAAAAAAAACAGAAATTCAAATTTAATAAATTCAGCATTAATATGTAAGAAAACAATGAAAAGTGGAAACGAGTTATACGTCTATACATTGTAAGACTAACTTTGATTAAGCAATATATATTATACCTAATATATCCTCACTTAATCCTTTTAAGCAGCACTTCAGCTACACCAAGTCAATAAAAACTGACACTTTATTTAAAAAAAAAGTTCTGGAAGTTGCTGACTAACTCCCAAAAGAGGCTCAAAAAGAAATGCGAAAGAAAAATAAGCAAATTTTATTCGAAACGTAAAGCCAGTTTATATAGGATCACTAAATTGAAGCAGACACCCGGACACATGTGCAAGGAATTAAATCCAAACGACTTAACGGCTATAGTTGGGTCTCTCCCCCACATGTACCCCTGACAGAAATTCAATTACAACTGCAACTTGTGGCAACGAGAACAATTACAAAGAAAAAAATACCAAAAATGGTGGCTGCCATTGTATACATGTTAATATATCAGTCGAAAAAGTATGCAACTGGGCCAAAAAGGGGACCGAGCGCGAATGCAAAACAAATAAGAGGGAAATGAAAAACGAGCTCAACTGGAAAATTGCATGGCTCACCAAAAAAATATTCGCAGACGCACATATGTGCGCGTACAAGTACACACACATGCACATATTCAACAAGCGGAAGTCAACCCGCCGACGTCATTTCCGGAATTGCTGCGCTTCGTTACTGATGTTGTTGCTGTTGTTGTATTTGTCAAGATGCCTACTTAATAATTCACAGCACTTTGCAAACAAAGAGAGGCAGGCAACTGCAACAGCAGATGCAGTTGACATCAAATATTTACCATAATGAAAGACAATTTCATTTGGGGAAAACCACAAAGCAATAAATTTCGCTTATTACAAACAAATTGACGACCAATCAAGAAATAGTTTCAGTTTCAATACATTTTTCGACACAATTTTTGAACAAGTTTTTCTCTTTTTAGATATGTCTCTCGCTGGCTGTAAGTCAAAATTAAAAAAACACCTTGAAAATAAATGAACTTCTTCCTCCAGAAGATAAATGTATAATTAAATATAGAAATTAATTGCAATATAAAATGGTTACATTACTAAGATTTTGTTTATATACAAATGTATGTATATTCATACGAATTTAGCTGAGCACTCAACACAAGTGTTATATATCTGTTGGTCTGTTGTTTTAGATTTCATTCATATCGCATAACAAAATGCTGATGTGCTTTATTAGCACGGTTTGTTAAGTTGCAAATAAAGTGCACGATAAAACAACGAACAAAAACACGAGTTTCCGAGTTGCTTGTATTTGTACACGGTGCAGGTGTGTTAAAGGCGAGAATACGATTAATTCATTAAAGTAAGTACTGCAGATAGTTACATTTGTTTCTACAACTCCCAACAGATTCTTAAAAAGATTTAGTCTCTACTTTTGAGAATCTTTATTTCCAGTTTATTTTTCTACCCCCTGTAATTTAATTATTTAATTTCAGCTTGCATATTTTTAAGTAAGTTGTGTAAAATAAAATAAAATACTTATACAGCTCGATAAAAACATTGTCTACCTGCGTTTCAAACCTAATATAATCAATTAGAAATTACATATTACATTCTACTGACGGAAAAATAATATTTTAAATTTACAGAAAGCTATTATAAACAATTTTCATGCAGATATATAAAATTTGTACTTTAGAATATTGAATGTCCTACTACAACAACATGCCACTTTATTTAATTAAACTTACAGGGTATACAAAATAAAATGATTAAGAAGTCTGCAAATAATGTTGGGCATACGCAACTTTGATAAATATCAACAAGAAAAACCGGAGTACGAAATTTGGTGTGTGCCAAAATAAATAAATAACAAATAAAGATAAATTCCTATATGGGAATGAAAATGAAATAATCTGCCAACTAAAAGTCGCATAAATAGCTGTCGAATGACATTCATTTTCAGTTGTTCTTCTTTATATATGCCATTTTGTGTCTGTGTGTGTGTTTCGGTGAGAGTGTGACGTCATAATGTGTGTATATGTGTTTTGTTGATGCTGTTGCCTGTTTAATTTTTTTGTTTTTTCTTTTTTTTATTGCGGTCACTGACACGTGTACGTATCACTTCAGACATATACACTAAATTATGCAGACAAGATGGTCGGCAGATTTTGATTTGATTTATCGCTGAGTGTGGATTTTTACAGGCGGCTAAGGTAGCGACCATGTCAAATCAATGCCATCAAATTACAAATCATTAACATTAAATTAGCATAATTCATTTCGCGCCCATGTCCAGAGCCAGTATTGATTAATTTGATTAGTCAGATCTCTATAGATGTAGTGGGTGTAAATGCCAGCAGCACCATTTGCAATTTCCCGGCACGTATATCAAACTCAAACAACAGCACACTTGCACACACACACTTGTCAACAACAAGGACAACTGACGCAAGCAGATCAAAATTACTACATACTTGGCCAAAGTTGAAGTATCCCAAAGCTTTCTGTAATCATATGTTTTATTTGAGTCCTTTTCGTATCGAGTATCTCTTCAGCAAAACTTTTTGTTAGAGAAAAGAAATCAAATACTTGTGCAGGGCTCAAATTGAAAGTTTTACAGTTCTCGCATTCTACAATTGATTGTATGTATTCACAGATCCGGATGAATGAACAAAAAAGGTTGCTTGAAGTACGTCATCTACCAAGAAAATGTATTTTTGAGCTTTAATTTAAGTTAATTTCTATTTAGAATATAGTTAGTCAATTAAGAGCAAGATAAATATTGATAGCTGGAATGTAATTATCACTTCGAGATATCGTTAACACTGGATGAAAGTTATTAAATAGATATTATCTCACTATTGAGTGAGGTTAATGAGCTTTAAAAATTGCTTTCCTTCAATTGTTTCCCTTTAAATATATGTGGATGTTTTTATAAACTTTGATTTCACACCATTTTCTATTTCCTTTTCAATTTAGTCACGTACACACTATTTTAATCAGTCAATCGGCCAGTGGGAAAAACAACTTGATTGATATAAAAATACACATAGATTAACTATTATTTATTGTGTCATTCTTATATTTGAGCATGATTTTAAGAACTAGACAGCATAGTTAGCTTAAAGCTTGATATTAACACAAATCTGCATAGCTTCCATAAGAAAATAATAATTTTGTTATTGCTAGCAGACAGTAGGCATTCAGAGGCCATATGCATACATCTAAGTCGATGTAAATACCCCTGTTCTGCTGGCCAATTGTTAGAATCAATAAAATCAAATATAACTTCTTTTAAATATTTGTATTATTATTATTATTATTATTATTTTTGTCTTTAGTGCAAACAAATAACTTTTCAGAATTTTTGTATAAAAACTGTCATAAAAAACAGATTCCGGAGACAACAAAAAAGGTGCGCACTTTTGATAATTGGCTGCACAACAAAGTCAGGACATGAGCGCACACAGACAGACAAACTGTCACAAAAATAACAGGAGCATTATGTACTCACAACGCATAAGAGAAATGAACATAATTGCTTGTTTGTGCTTAATGTACCCTAACATTGCAGCATTTGGGCTTGTCAGTTAGTGTAAAAAGTAAAGTAAAGTTTTGCAGAAAATAAAATGCGGGCTAGCGAAGCGGCGAACTATGCAAGAAACGCATTTCCAGTATGCGTCGCACTATGGAACAAATTGAGATTTTATGATACACAAATTTGATTGGCGTATAGATAAATTGAAATTTTTAAATCTAACTTAAACTTATTCTCTCAAGGTTTCCGTTTATATGAATAGTAAATCATATTCTTTTGTATCTATAAGTTGTCTACAGCTTTTTAGCGAATTACATAAACGTTTTATTTAAATTTGCAAACCCTCAAAAAAACATTTTACTACCTATTTTTAATTGGAGTTGTAGTTCGCATATTTATTCACTTCTAGTGCTTAACATAGTTTAAAACGCAATTCAAAATATGTACCATTTAAAGGAACATTAATTAAGAGATAAGATGCACAAACAAAGATTAAACAATCTACTTAAGCAGCCAAGAAGAAACCAAAGCTTCTGGTAAAAACTGCTAACTACCTTTTGGTTTTTGTATACATGACTAACAGTGTAATTTTATTAATAATTTATATAATGCAATTTACTTTTCAAAATGATTCTATCTCAAAAATTGCCAATCTATCCCATAATGGTTCGGTGAGTGTAAGTGTGTGTATGTGTGCCTCTGTTGGTGTGGGTGAAAGGACACTGTCACACTGTAGATTATGTCCCTTGAACAGCAGCTGAACAACAATAACAATTTTAAGCGGCACAAAGTGCATGTGGATGGGCAGCAGAAAGTGAAGAAAGACAAGCATGGAAAAGTACACCAAATATGCAACACACACATGCCCACTTTTCTATATTTATTTACGCTTATGCATGTGTGTGTGTGTGTGTGTATGTGTGTTAGCAGTTTGGCTGTCTTGAGTGTTTGGGCCAAAGATTAAATGGTGTTTATGATTGCACCGTAGCAGCTCTGTGCGCATTTGGTGCTGTCTCTGTAATACTTCTGACACTTCTGCAAAATTTATGAGTGCACACATTTTCACATACTCACACTCCCACACAGAAACACATAAATGCTTGTAAGCCTTTGAGTGTTTCACACTACAAGTAAAGAGACAAAAATGTACCATAAAGTATTTGTAATGCAAATGCATCCATAACTTATTTCTGATTCTGTTTGAAATTTCTCTGTTTCTCTGTCTTATCTTACAGGGTTGGACCTGGCCTAAGATGGGTAGCGTGCTCTTTGCAGCTGTCTTCATAGCATTACACTTTGCCACCGGCGGCCTGGCCAACCCAGATGCTAAGCGTCTCTACGACGATTTGCTAAGCAACTACAATCGACTCATACGACCCGTGGGCAACAACTCCGATCGTCTGACGGTCAAAATGGGCTTACGGCTGTCACAGTTGATCGATGTGGTAAGTAATATTAATATATAAATAAACTATAAAAAGTCTATAAATTAAAAAAAAATTATTTATATATTTGTTTTATTAAAATTGAAAATGTAAAAGATATAAACACATTTTGAGGCAATATAAAGATAAAATATAATAATTTCTTACAAAGATTGGAGAAATCCAGAAGAAGCAAATTACACAAAAAGTATTTAAATTTGTAATTTAGATGGTAAATTACAGAAAATGGCAAAGAGAAAAATGAGAGAGTGAGAGTGGAGCCAGAATTAAAGTCACTGTTGTAATTAGCCAAATATATACTGTGCCGCATTTGAGAAAAACAATACATTGTAATACTGTAATAATAAATTACTCACAACTTATCGCACACAATTACTGAAAATCTTCAGTAAAAAAAGTATCATTCTGCTAATAGGTAGAAACACCATTTGCTGCTGGCTAACTGAAAATACATTAATTTGTTGTTAATGATTATGTCATCCAGCTTAACTGTCATTTCTTTGACAACTGAGCTGCTTGACTGCTTATCAAACGACAATCAAAGCAGATTAATTTGCAAAGCCAGTAACGCCGGTAAGCGAGCAAATAGCATTTGCGGAAGCTGCGACAAAGTATCAGCCGCATAATTAATAACTGTTTACCGAACGCTTAATAGGCAGTCGAACTAAGCCAGAGCAGTGTTTACCCAATCCCCTTCACCCTCGCCAACACTCTTTCACTGCGTAGACAACATTGTTTGCATAATAAATCAATGGGATTTTCGATTTATTGTACAACGACTGATGATTGTTTCCTTCATTAGGTCTGCAATTGCAGTTGGGGACTTGCATACGGCTCAATCAGACCAGCAAAATTGCGCAATATATCATAGGTCAGAACTTGGGCCAAATTGCGTTAAAGCAACAAAAAAAAAACAAAAAGGGAACTCCAATTGCTAGCAGATTTAAAAGCAGCAACAGAGCTAGCAAATGGCCCACAATTTCTTGCCCAGTTTGGATGCACATACAACAGGAAATGGAAAACCGGTTAACAGTTACGTGAGCTGTGTTGGCCAAACAGTAGCTGAGCTTTACGGCTCCCTTCTGCATTTGGCCTGATGCTTCCTGCTTTCTACATTCTGCTGCCTGCTGCTGGCTTCGACTCCTTTTTTTGCTGTTATAAATCACGCGCTAAGCACCAAGACCACTAAAAGGCATGCCAAACAGCAGTCAGTAGCAGCAGCAGCCATAGTAATGCACATTGGGTTATGATGTCTTAATATTTTGCCAAATTGAAACTTTGTTTGCCCAAAAAAAAGTTTGTTTCACAAAGTTTTTATAACAATCTTTATGGATTTCGCGAATCTGCTTCTGAGTAACTTCAAAGTGTATTTTGCAAAGTCATTATGCCAATGCGTATTTAATAAAAATTCGTTCATTTTAGAAAATAGTCTTATTAGAGCTACCTTCTTATATATGATGTATGAAGTCAGTAAGAGTAAATATTATATACATATTATTTGTAAAATGCATCGAAAAAACTTTTAATTTCTTAAATTTATTTAAGTTTCTAGTTTAAAAATGCATTTGAATTAAAATTCGTAATTTTTGCACACTTTCCCATACATCTCCAGGCACTGTGCATCTGGCATAAGGTGCTTATAGACGAAATTGCTTTTATGTATGCGAGTGTGTATGCTTGTATACTGCACAAAAATGATATTGCACATACGGTCTGTGTGCCCTTCTGGTAACCGGCTTGAAATATTTGGAGAATTTCTTTTATTGCAAAAGTCCACTGGTCACTTTTCGTTGTTGTTGTTGTTTGTTGTAGTTGTTTTCATTGGAATGCACGTGTTGCCTCTTTCCCTTATTGGCGTACAATTCCTTGTACATTCTATCGAACAAAATCAGTGCACTTGCCTTGCTCAATTTCTACTTAGATTGAAAATAGCAATCATCGGACATACAGCCAGTCATACCGTACATACTATATATATATACATATAACAGATCCAAAGCCAGATGCGTTTGAGCCAGAATTTATAATTTTACATGTCCCATTTGCCTGTCTCCTACCTCTAAGTCCGAGCAGTAAGTAAGGCGGTAAGTAGCTTAACTTACTGATTACAAGCAAGCCAATAACTCATTCAGGACAGGAATTATGGAGTGTATTCAAGGAGAGTATGTGAGAAGAGATAGGCTAATAACAGAATGAAAGAGAAGGAAGTTGAGCAAACTAGTTGAGATCGGCTAAATTGTTGGTTGCAATGCTGCAAAACGCAATCATGCGAAAACTCCAGATCATAAATTGACATAGAGAGAGAGAGAGAGAGAGAGAGAGAGAGCGGGTCTCTAAAATGTACACAAAAGATTATATTTAAATATTGTTTATTCCATTCAGAATACATTTTATATTTGCCTCTTGTATTTCTTAATCAATTATAACAATCATAATACTAGACTGACTTATTTACAATTGTCACAGCCACAGTTTGCTTACTTTTATGCAAAGCTCAAATATTTAGCCAGAGCTCAAAATATTTTTATGGTGCAAAACTTATTTACGGCAAACAGGATATTCGATTTAAATTGTAAACAAGCTGGAAGACGAGAATGTGGCTAAATTCCATCCCGGCCCAGTGGCCACAGACACAAAATGCAAATTCAGTTGCAGCTGCCGCTGCACCATCATTATACTTTAAGCCTTAGCTTAAGCAATTTAAACACTGTATATCCTACATCCTGTTGAGTAGTAATGCAACCGGCCGTAGCTCTAAGTGCAAATAAGCAAGCAGCCGTAACAGCAATAACAACTAGACCAATTACATAGCTACAAACCCAGTTAGGCTCTAGCCAGCACTAGCTGTAAGTGTGAGCCGACATGGACATGGCCATTCACACTCAGAAAAAATAATCGCTCTGAAATTTAGAAATAAAATAAAAAACGACCTGAAAATCATCATGTTTGTCTAGTTTCTAAATTTACGGAAAAAATTTCATAAAATCAGAAACGCTTCTCCAAGTCAATAATCACTAAAAATAATGTTTTTTTTCTTATAATAAATATTCGAAAAAATTGTAAGCTGTCTAAAATCTCTTCATTTGTGTATTCCACAACCTCAAAATTCTGTGTTGACATAAAAACAGCCTGAAATTCCGAATTTGTTCTTCAATATTTAACAATTGGAATCCAGAAAACAGAATTTCAGAGAGACACAAAATTACTTCACCAGCTTAGCAAATAACTTTATTGAAAAATGAGGGGGACTTCCCTTTGTGTTAAAAGTATGGTGATTTTTAATATTTCGATCTGTTTTTTCTTAGTGCAGTAGCAGACAGAAGCAGACTCGGTGGAAGTGTTGCTACTGGTGCGGATGCCGCACATAAAACATAAAGGATACGCGCCACGCTTGTCGTCGTCATAGACGCCGCTACTGCAATTTTATCTCTTCCTTATGCCACCTCTGTCTTTGTGCTTGGTCTTGGCTTTGTCGTTTTATTGCCGGTTTTCCGCGTCGCCCGCACTTAATGACCTTTTAGACGCTTAGACTTTCAGACGTTCATGCTGCCTCTGGCTGCAAGCTGGGGAGCTGGGAACCAGGCACTGAGCGGGTGATTAGTAGGTCACCACCACGACAAACACAGTTCACATGGCAACCGCTGGCAAAATCTATTAACACTGTGTATCCCAACTTATATTGCTCAGACTACAGCTCTGGGTATTGAGCATCTATCTCGGCTCTGGCTTTAGCGTGGTGACGTTATCTGACTGTCTCGGTGGGAAACGCATTACGGCGCATCATTATCATTTTGTCGTTAATTACATTTTTCAACGTCTAAGTGATTTATTCCGCAATTTTATCGTTTTCTAATTTTTTTCTATTGAGTCTCTCCTATGCTGCCTGACGCCAACGTACTTACGCTCAATGAGTTGCTTGCCGTATGGCACCTAAGTAAATATGAAAGGGAAGACACAACAACCATAAATATAATGAAAGCGACTCCATGACATGAGTTCGTCCCTTTTATATATATATACTTATATATATATATACATGTCTGAATTGAAAGCTGTGGTGTGTTGTCGTGCGTGCATCTGTTAAGACACAAATTAGAGCACTTTGCCCGGATGTTGATGATATGGTTGAATTACTTACGCTGAAAGCTAGAGAAAAATACAGTATTATAAATTATTTTGTGGTAATGCTTTCTCATTTCTAACAGAGTGAAAATAATAAAGCTGAATGCAGCAAGGAGGTGATATGACTAAATATGACTAAATCGACTACATTTTTTGGCGATAGTTAGTGAGAGATTCAACGAGACTTTAATTACTATTCACAATATCGAATAGGTTCCGAAAATAATATTTTAGATATAAAATTTAAATACCTGGAACTTGAGTTCTGCAGATTCAAGCAAATTCTAGTCGTTATTATTTATTCCATCTCATAAATGTTATATTATATATATTGTCCTTCCGCCTGATCAAATACTCGAAATGTCTGTGCCATCTTTATAGTTGAGCAAACTTTTAAATCCACTTCGCAGCTTCCTGCAGCGATGATTAAATGTTAAGCTTGTTTAGCTGCTCTTAGCTTTAAATGCAGCAGCTGCTCAATCTGTTTTCTCTAATCCGGATTTCCATCGCTCTGACTGCCTCACTATTCTGTGCCACATAAATTGATTAAAACTCAATGATGCTTCAAGAATACAGTCTCCAACAACGACTGCGACTGTTTCTTATTACTGCAACTCACTTCAAACTGCAGCGCCATTTAATTCACTATATGCCATGGCCAACCACTTGACAGCCACCGACTGCCCTACAACTCCTTAGCCATACAGCCACAAATGCCCTGGCCTCCCCATAAGCAAACCGACACTCTGCACACAGCTTCGCAAATTTCAAACCCATTTGTTAACCGACCCCAGAAGCAGTCCAGTTGTTCAATTCACTAAAAAAAAACACTCACCCGTCGTAGCGATTTTCAATTTGATGCTTCCCACTCAATGCTCAAGTTGTCACAAATGCTGGCACCCTACAGCAAACCCCCAAACTCAATCTTCAATCTCAAGCCATATCCTTTCCGAAAAGGTTAGACGGGATTTGACATTAAATTTGAGTTGCTTACGCAAAAGTTAGGTGAGCCAACGTCAATTTTTTAAAATATTCATATGAACTCTATATACATTACGAACAAAATCTTAAGTTTGATATTTAGACTATATATATTTTAGATATAAGTGTTTTGAATGCCCAACTGGCTTCATATAGCCATATATAAAATTAATTTGGAATTAATATAATATCGATAGCGAAAAAATTGATTAAGGGACAGTATTAAACGCAAATTCTTGCCTAATTAAAAATTTTAGAATGTTTATTATTATTTGAAGAGTATTTGGCATTGGAATACGTTGATTTATTTACAAGCAATTGGTCAATCGCTAAGCCAATAAGCATTCGAACTCTAAATACAAATTCAATTATAAGTGGTCTTTGTAAGTAACAATTTTTTCAATTTATTCTCATTTCAGAATTTAAAAAATCAAATTATGACTACCAATGTGTGGGTGGAGCAGGTAAGCTGAATTTTTCTATTTGACGTATACTTTTTTTTGGGAGGGAACGTCTGCCATTTTGTAATCTGGCTGCTGGGAAACTCGCCAACGTTTCCGTGAAACATGAATATACCATTTGCATGCCACGCTGCAGCCAAATCCAAAATAATTTCGCTGGCCAATCCTTGCGTTCGCATAATGCCAATTTGTGACCAGCTCTTGGTTCTCGTATTGAACTTGGCCAAGTGGCGGAGCTGGCCGCTCTGCTGCAGATATTCGTACATGAGCGTTGGCTATGCATTAATGCGCCATTTAACCAGCTGAACCATGAACAAACAGAAAAAAAAACAACAAGAAAACACAACAAAAAATGAAAACTAAATATATATATATTTATATCTATTGTCTGCACTGAGAGTTCTTGGCTGCTGCTTTTAAGCACTCCAATAGAGCGGCTTTAAAGTTTTTTCATAAAATATGCACACAAATCCCCTGCACAAATTGCAGTCAATAGCTTTTGAAAGCTTATGCCAAGTTTCTGGTTACCCAATTGACAAAACAAAAGCAAACCCCAAAATTACAAATAAATAATGCATCACATCTGTTTCTGTGTATTTGTGCATTTGACTTCCAAAACTGTTCATGCACATTTTGGCAATTATTATTTTGGCGTCATAATAAGTGTAATTTGCTTGGCTTCATGTAAGTGATTCCAGCAGGATTTCGCCAAATACATTTTTCAGGCTCTTTATGTTACTTATATAAATTACAATAAATCAGCAAAGAGGACTACAGAGTATTACAAAGCACCTTTGCGATATCGCTATGTTTTATAAAAATTACATATTAAAGTATTCCAAAAAATTAGCAAAGATTAATATTTGCAATAAACATTTTAAAAGTGACCGTATTTTTCAGTAGCTCACAATTTATTTGGGAAAGAATGCATATATTCGTGATGTAAATTGTTTCTATAAATATGCAAATTTTTTATGCTTCATGCAAGCAAAAAAGGGAAATCTTGTTAAATGAATTCCGAAAACAGAAAACATTTATTGTAGTTTTATTATATGTTGTTTGTTATGGCTGTTGACGTTAGTGCAGTTTATGTTTGGCTATGGTTACGCAGCGCGCCCATAAATATGCAACATTATGTCAATAAGGCCGCAAATAATTTCGCACACAAAATATACAATTGGTTGAGTGCATATGTTTGCGTTGGTGTGTGAGAGTAGAGATAGGCTTAAGTCGTATTTTCTCATTGCTGTGCCAAAATATTAATTAAATGTGCACTGTATTTAATACCCAATCATACGTCGAAAAAGCATATTCATTTTACGTACTCAATTATGAAGCAGCTGTAGAATGTCCGGATATTAGCATCAACCATTTCGGCTTTTGAGTGAAATGAACGCGTGTTTAATTGTAGAGTATGTGCTTATATGGATATACACATATGCAATGCACAAGCACGTATACATCAATTAGCTGACAATGAACAATCATTGATTAAAAACCACATATCACAATGAAAATCGCGAATTAGTTTAATTCAATAAAAATTACTGAGTCCTTAACACATAGCTCGAAAAAAGGAAATAAAAATTATTTTTGGACAGATTATTTTAACTTAATGGGAGTCTCTACTGAACATGTTATTTATTTTATTATTGCGAATTTCATGCTTGGCAAACAGCCCAGTTATCCGATAATCCCATTGTGAATTGCAAACAATGTTCACGTTTCATACAGCATACATTTAAAATTAATATAGTGGGAAACAATGATGTTGCTTAACTAGAAGTTACTCTACATATTACATTTGTCAAGAAGATCTTCATAGTAAAAAAATGTAGGCATACAGCTTATACTAAATCAATATCATTAATCACATTTGTGAAAGCAGAAAATCTGGAATTTGAGACATTTGGTTTTCATTCTCTTGCTTAAACCCAATAACGATAGAAGTTGCGACTGCAGCCCAATTAAATTTAACGCCAGCAGCTTAGCAACCAATAAAATTAATGTATAATTCATGAATCGTAATTGAAACATTATATGCAATAACAACAAAAGCCATTGTGCACAACAATTTCCATTCAATATTCATCCATGTACAAATATGCAAATTATATAGCCAAGTGGTTCTGCCCAGCGGCAAATATATTTATCCATAAAATGCACCACTTTACAAACATCTATTATTATGTGAAATAATAACAATTGGTGAAAAATGTTTGATATCATCTATTTTGCAGGAGTGGAACGACTACAAATTAAAATGGAATCCCGATGATTACGGCGGTGTGGATACTCTGCATGTACCCTCGGAGCACATATGGCTGCCGGATATTGTGCTATATAACAAGTAAGTGGCCTCCTAAGTTTCATATGCCCCCTGACCAAATATACGTTTCAGTTATGGTTAGCATTGAGGCTTTGGAATGGTGATTTTTTTTTTTTTTGGCGCCTGGAACCATTTGCATAATTGCCCAATGGGCGCGACGAGCGCATAAATCAAAGCGCACAGTTACGCTTGCAATTTATCAGCCGATGATTAACGTATTTTTATTTCAATGTAACATGAGAGCTGGCCAAGGGTTCACAGTGATAGGATGGGAAAACAGGAACGGCGTTGGGAGAGGGGCCTTTATGCTAAGCATAAAATGGCTGCCAACTCGTCTGTTTTCTCAAATTGGACCTTTTATTTTGCTATGCTCGGTGTAATTATTATAATTTGGCTTGTGTCGTATTTCACTTGGAGTGAAGCCAACGCAAGCGAGCACTACAGTGGTAAGAGTGATGCGAAAAGCAACCAATTCAAAAGCAGTTAAACACTCCTTCCTATATTAGCCAATACTATGGGCATTTGTCGGTGTAGCGATTTCTTACAAAGAAACTGTGTATAATTTAAAAAGCATTATATTATCAAATGCTAGTAACTTTGAAATTTAACAAAAAGAATTATAAAAATATATAAGTAACTAATAGGTTCCCTCTCTTCTTGAATAATTATTGCTATCTTTCTTATCTTCATTTTCACTAGGTGTCTTGATTTTATCTATATAAAAAAAATAAACTTTTTTAATTTGTTTTTAATTACGATTTTTATTTTAATTAAATTTAATTTTTGCCACTGTTATATTCTAACTACAAAAGTTGGATTTTTACTCACATTTTCGATTTGATGTACATATATGTTTTGCAATGAACTAAAACATGACAACTTTAAATTTATATATATAGTCATAAATCAAAAATTCTCTTATTGTGGCGCTTAAATTCTTTCTCACAATTCTTAAAATTGATTGAGGAATTTTGTTTCGCCAAATTCCGCATCGCTTCCACTGTGGGGTTTGCTGTGCTGGCCAACACTTGACTTTGTCGATGTGGCTGGCACTTTAGTGCCTACAGCACCAGGGAGGACATCGCTCCTTTTGCAGATCGGCTTACGCGCTTTATGTGCCGTATTGGACTTTTTTCTCTTTATTTTATTTATTTATTTTTTTTGACTGGCTCGACTCTGCTGCTGGGCTTTGGCAACTATTCGCATAGCATACTTTTGGGGTGTGTGCTTTGGCAGAGTCATAAAAACTCGTAATTTATTGCTTGGAAAAAGCTTAAATTTCATTTGCCAACAACGACAAAAGCATTGTCATGTTGTTGTGCGTAACTATAGCAACTCCACGGTACTTAGACACACACACACACACACACTATGGAGTAAAGTGAACGCATTGCGTGTTATATGGCTGCCATTCTCGTTTGCTGTGACAGCCGCCGCCACCGTGACCGCTTTTTAAACTGAAAAAATTATTTGTACTGGCTATAATAAAGCAAAGCTTTGGCAAGCCGCCCCCTCTCCAGTAGAGTACAATTTTTTTCTCTCGTCTAGACGTATCAAATTTATCTTGAAGTATCTTTGTTCGCCTTGCACACTTGAAGTTAATTGTGTTTGGTCAAAATAAATTGCCTCTATAAAGTCAATTTAACTTGTGTTCACATCAGGCTTGAGTATATGTTGGATGTGTACCCCTTTAAAGACATCAGTTGGTAGCTTGTAAAGCAAAAAATATCTTTTGTGATAGATAGTTTTGTTCGGCTATAACAGAAAAGCATATTCAAGTTAGAATAAATTAGATTGATTTATGCAACCAATATTGAAGTATATTTTTTAAAAGAGGAATAGAATATTTAACTTCTATGAAATCCAAGAGTATCTTTACATTCTAATCACATTCTATTCCTTAATCAAAATCGAATTTATGGCTTAGATAATTAAGTATTACTAAAATTGCAACTGTATTTGTAAGTTATCTGAATAATAAAAATAAAAAGTAGTAGAAAAACAATACGCCTAAAAGAAAGTCAATATATTCTTCATAAAATTTGATTCGTTATAAAAGCAAGCCGTACATGCTACAAATGATACTTATCACCTAGTAAATCTTTTTATCAAGTTGTCATATTTTAAAACAGTTCGGGGCAGTGTCTCTATAAAATTCAACAACTGCAAACATTAAGTAAACAAACAAAAAATGCTACAGAAAACAACGCCAAGCGTATATCACTGAGAGGTTTATTGTTGTTGTAATCTTGAATGCAAATACATTTTGGCATGTGTCTGTGCTGCAGCTGAAAATGCGTTTATTTTCGCAATTGCGTTGCAACTGGCAATATTTTACGCAGCGACTTTTTGCCATCCAAGACAAATACACAGCGATCATAGATACACACACACACATACACCCCAAAACGAGATGGAGAGCGTTATTCGTCGAAATTGCGGCCATTTGTATGCAATGAAAAATGTTTAATTGCCTGCTAAATGTGGAATAGCATGCAAATAGTTAGGCCAGCCTTTGTAAACGCATAGCGAACCAACAAAATGAACGCCGCACAGATACCTGAAAGCGTGAACCACATACCCACATACACACATATATATGCAAGGAAAGAGACGCGTTTGCACACGCATTGGTAGGCCGCAATGTTGGCCCATAAAATAATGTTAGCTATGCTGCTGTGCGGCCTTTGAACAAGCTTCAAAAATTGTTATTTATTGAACCTACATTCAACAAAACATTCTTACTATAAATGTAAGAAATCGCTCTTAAATAAAATTCGCTCTGAAAAATGTTAACAAAAATCAAGATATAATTTATAAGATTACGAAACAAAATTTAGTTTATTTTTATTTATGAAATATATTACTAAAAAGTCGAAATGTAAAGTATTATTTTTCAAACATTATTTCCAACAACCGCTCTTGCAAAGGAAGGTTTTTAAATTGAAATCAGCTTGAGTTCGATTAGGTATGTTTTTCTTAATCAATTTATTATAACTTACAATGTATTTTGCAGTATTTAAAGTTAAGAAGCAATTGTGAAATATTGTGCTTAATAATTTTTGTAGAAAGCGAAGAAAAGAGTTTCGGTTATATTAAAAACTCCTTGAAAATTGTAAGTTAGGAAAATCTACCTTGGCATAAAAATATAGTAAGCCTGATTTTTTGAGAGGCAATCGCTTCCATTTTAGAAATTCAGTTGCTGAAAAATAAGTTCTGATATTCCAAATTTCTGGCAGAGATTTTTCAGAGTGTAGCTGACGCGTGTTGTTGTAATTGTTTGCGGCTTGCCTGCATAGCGAACCATTTGCATTCGCAATCGCATGCGGGACGTTTGTCAATTTTAAATTGGAATTTTGGTCCATTTGCAAATACTGAGCAATGCGACATCCTAGGAGACAGATCGCTCTATATGTGTCATGGCTTAGCTGCTGACCAGGCATAATTAGTCGTGTGCTTCAGCGGGCTCATTAAATACGCATCGAAGCCGAGATGCCGTTAACATCAACCACATCGTCTCTCTCTCTCTCTCTCTTTCTCTCTCTTTCTCTCTCTTTCTCTCTCTTTCTCTGTCTCTTTGTATGTATATATGGTTGTGTGTGTTTGGGGAGGGTACCCATTAGACATCGGCATCAGCCGAACTGTTAGGCCCCAATTCGAGATGGCTGCCAATGACGACAACTACAACGAAGGCAACGTCAACAGCAACGTAGACACTGTTTATATTTGTGAAAGCCGCTTAATTCCAGCAATTAATTTTCATGTTGATCCAAGAAATTAAAATCGCACTCGAGATGCGACTCAATGATGTTGGCTCGGTCCTTGTTTTTCGGTTCTGGTTTTACTTGGGGCCTACAATTGATTGCAATTGTGGCTGCGTCTCTTAGCATGCCTCGCTTAATGGTTTCCAAGTATTATTTGGTAATATTTGAAAGCTTTTCATAGCGTTACAGTGCCAAAAGCCCAGACACAATAAATATGGGCTTTATTCTGAGTCTGCTCTTGAATATATTTACCATTTAGACAGAGTGCCAAAATTCATCCAAGTTGCTACTCGGCTATTCAGCTGATATTCTGGCACGTTCAACCTTAAATGATGAAAAGGCAGTAGAAATCTACATACAATTCAATATTTTTTTTACAAAAAAAAATATATATAAACATAAAATTCATTGTTGTTTGAAAATTTGTTTTACATAATTCTTCTTTTCGAATCGATAGTTAAAAAAAGGCTTACTTTATTTTCTAAAAGGGATCACTGGTTTCCATATACAAAAATTCTTTAGAAGTAAACAATAAAAAGCTCAATTAAAATATTTATAGTTCGACTCCTTCTAGTCATTTTATTTATTTTAGTTGCCCCCCAAGGCTACCAAATTCTGCTACCAGCTGCTTTCTTATGACTGCATTTGCCTTACTATTAGTTGTAATGGCTTCGAAGCAATAACATAATTTGACAGCGTTTCTCACTGGTGGGGATGTGGAAGCAGTCTATGGCAGAGTTGGGAATTTGCGCTATTGAAATAAAATGGGCTTTGCTGGATCAACTAAAATTGTGGAACTAATTAAAAATACATTTTAGCTTCTAATTACAAATTTATTTCAAATACGAAAATTGCCTCTAATGTTGTTTTAGCCATGTACGCCCACGGCCAATGGCTCAAAAACCAACGCTAACACCCTCGCTGTCCATTAGCAATGAAGTCCTTAGGCGTTGGTCGTTGAAAGGCACAGACTAAGCCATTGCCATAGCCACTGGCAGACATAGTCGCACAGTAAACCAAAGCAAATTTTTAAATGTTATTACAACAACAGCAGTCGCACTAGGAGTAGTAGCAACAACTTTGTTGGCAAGCCATTAATGGCTAAAAACCATTTAAAATGGCCGATGGCGCTGCAAAAAGCACAGTACAGAGGCAGCGTGAAAAAAAAAATCAACGAGAACAAAAGTTTATAACCAAACCGAAAAAACCAAAACCACGCCTGGGGGTCACCACAATTGCAGCCATTATCCACGGTGATTCGGTGGTGCGCGATGTCACACACACACACAGATATATATACGTATATATATACGGTGGTCAACGCGGCGTATGAGTGTCAGCCTCATGGTGGTCGGCTGTAGACGCCTCACTGAGCGCCATCTTTATGTACGATATCTGTTTGGCCAAAGTTGAATCGGAACCCGAACGAAGCCGTAAACTCAGCCAATCCGCAGGCGTTCAAAAGTTTTGGCTGCCTTTGCTTTGCTTTGTCGGCACTTTCAATGCGCCATTTCTATTTTTATAAATCTAATGAAAGATAATGATATTTTATTTCACTTCTTTTGATTTCCACGCAGTTGCTGCTGTAAACTAAAGCAGTTGCAAAACGAAACATGGAGTGTAGGAGTATGTATGTCATGCATGTATAAAGAATTTTGGAAGCGTTCCTTTAGCGAGCTGACCGCCTCCATAATACACAATAATAGAATTAAAGTGATTGTGACAGAGTGTGGGTATTGCTGAGTGTACTGGGCACTTTTGGGGTTCACAAAGTTTAGCTGATAATAAAGTTGTCAACAGCATTCATTTAATTAAAGAAAACAAAGGCAAAGCTAAAGCCATAGCACTTTGGGAATATGAATTCTCCAGCGGATGTACCACGCTGACAGCCGAGCAGAGAGAGTACCGCAAAGATATGAAGAAAGATAGGTAGTATATTAGTATTTGCGTGAGTGTGTGTGTGTGTGTTTGTGTGTGTGTCGAGCAGCCAAACTGTGTCTACCGCAGTATAATGCCAGAGCGGAGATTTATGGCGTTAAGTTAATATGGCCGTCTGAAATGGTAATGTGGTTTTGCCTAACTGTGTAAGCATCTGTATCTGTATGTGTGGTTTCAGCTTTTAAGCTTTTGGTTAGAATGTTTTAATTTGAAAAAGGTTACCATGCTGCTTTGTGACACATCCGAGCCAAGTAATTGATACTAAAGCAACTGCTTCACTCTAAGGTTAAATACACACTTTTTGTATATATTTTGAAAGTATTGCCTCTTTTTATCTAATTATAGGCAAATGTTGGTAATATCCATGAATACCAAAGTCCGTTTCACCGCCACTGATAAGCTTATCATCTATACACAGTAAAATATCTGCATTATGAATATTTGGTTGTACTGCATAAAATTTATTAATTTGCGATACCATTTCCTATACATGTCAATAATGTGCAAGTGAATATATAAATGAAAAGTTTTAGAGTTAATTTATTCGACTGATTGCACAATGTCGATTTAAAATATCAACTCCAAGATGAGAAAAATTAGCTTTAGCGCACATTCATTAAATGTATGGATGCATTTTTCATTAGTTATTCACTTTATTCACTTAAAAACAAATCGGTAAATAATAAATATAAATATAATATATAACACATTTTAAATATTCTCCCCAAAATATAATAATAAATATTTAACACCTAATATCAATTAAAATTTTACAGCGCCGATGGCAACTATGAAGTGACAATAATGACAAAAGCAATTCTGCATCACACAGGCAAAGTGGTTTGGAAACCACCCGCCATTTATAAATCCTTTTGCGAAATTGATGTCGAATACTTTCCGTTCGACGAGCAGACGTGTTTCATGAAGTTCGGCTCGTGGACATACGATGGTTACATGGTAAGTACTTACACAAGTATGCTCGTAAACAACAAGTATAGTATATATGTATATAAATGGCCTGGCTCATGCTCCAGACAGCGGGCTGTCAATCAACGGAATTGGCACAGCTCAACTGTAAGCCATCCATCAATGTTGCAAGGAGCTCGGCGTGTTTGGCTCTGTGCTCTGCACTCTGATTGACTGGCTGCTAATCAAACGTTTAAGTCGATTATAAAAGCATTGAGTCGCAAAAAACGAATCGCCCTGCTAACCGGTCAAATGAGTTGTGGGGCGTGGCACATGGGACCAATTACATATCTGAACGTATGTGATGTATAAGGAAATGACTTTTAAATATTTTAGAGCGAACAACAGCAGACTGCGACGACCTTGGAAAATGGCAAAACAAAAGGACTCACTGCCTGACAATTGATTATTTGCCTCACTTATATCGAGGGTAGCATAAGGTAGTCATAAGGGCTTCGCAAAGGGGCGTGGCACACTTGAGGCGGCCGTAGCTGTTATGTATTTATTTATTTCAATACTGTTGTTAATGTTTATTGTGTTTTTTGTACACTTGACACGTTTCGCTCGCTCGTTCGTTGGCATGTGATAAATCACATGACTCACACACGCACACACTCACACTCATACTCACACTCAGACAGATGTGACAGCTGGATGTGTGTGCGTGTGCGTAGTGAAGATAACAACCAGCAGCTGCGTTTAATGAACCAGCCGCGCCTTTGAAAACTTTTTGGGAGTCCTTTGTCAAACGAACAGCAGCCTCAACAATATCGGGACTGACACCTAACAAAAAGCTAGACAAGTGAAATACTACAATACAACGAAATAATAATTCATTATATAATAAAATTATTTAATTTTGTTTAACAGTAAGGAATAAAAAATATACAAATAACCTGTATGTCATTATGACCATCATAAGTATATAATAGAGCATAAATATGACCTTATCTGTTACTATCCGCTCTTTGACAAAAATATAGAAGCAAGATTAGTTAGTAATTTAATTTGGAGTATTTTATTAATGACATTTTTATTTATTTCAAACATTTTGAGAAGTAAGACTAGCTTTAAGCGTCATTCATCTTAGCTTGGTTAATAATGCAAGTTAATGCAGTTCATTTTTGAAAGATGTAGTCTTTGTCCAAATCTGATTTGCTCTTGTTTCATCAACAATCCAATTTACTAGCAAAGGAAAAATACTCTTAGCCAGGTTAAGCAGTGTAACTGTTGCGCTATTTACCGCCATTGTTCAATGTAAGATGAACAATCAAAGTACGTTTACCCTGTAGAAAAAAATATAATAAGGTCATATAGAGTCATATAATAATATAATAGGGGCATACAGAAAAATTGAAGGGAATACTTACATAATTGCATAAAAATATAAGAGAACAAAAGATGATACATTTATATATGGCTTAAGGTCTATTATTTACCAGACATAGTTATCAACAAGGTATCTTCATGGCTAGCATTTTTGTTTATTATGATTACACATCCATAAGCAAATAAGAATCTTTTTTTTTTCTTTTGGCAAAAAAGGCGAGTTTACGCATCGGAAGCTACAACATGCTTCATTGATTTTAACTTCATAAACACACGCACACTCGCCCATACGTACGTACTACATATACATACATATACATATTCATATACATATATCAAAAATGGAAGGAGTATCCTGTCGGGCCATATATAAAAATTGTTGCCGGTTGATTTCGTTGCTTATTCAGAACTCTGTCTGTGCCAATTTACAGCATCAGCGTAAATGTATTACGAGGCATTAATGATGTTACTGTAATGGTTGGGAAGTAATTGAAAATTATGTTTGTATGTGTATTTTTGGTGCAAGCCAATTCTTTTTATTCAATTAATAACAGTCAATGTGTAAAATCCGTAAATAAGTATTGCAATATAAATATAAATTCAATGATCTCCTGTAAATAGATGAATAAAATGAGCATGACTACCATTAGTCGTTCGAACGATGAATAACCGTAGCTCATAAATAATTTGTCATTGGAAATTCAACTGCCACATGAAACATGAAATCTTTAAAATAAATGAGCGATACCAATAACAACAACATCACTAACAAGAACAGATACATATATAAATAAACTGAAATGAATGTTAAAACGAAAATGTCATTTACGCTTAGAGCCGCACGTGATTGAAACTTATCACAGCAGCTGCCATTTCCAACCCCATTCCCATTTCCATTTCCATTTTCTTTTGCCCATCGAAGAATCTTTCAGTAAACACGAAGCAATCGCAATTCGTTGCGCAATTGACGATTGTCAAAATTTGTCACAAGTACGAATACGTTTTACCATCATCAACATCCCGCATCCACCTCGGCATCAGATGAAAATCAGCATCACCTTTGATTTGCCACACGGAATTCATTGCGCCGCCTGTTTGTCAAACCGAATCTTGAGTGTTATTGCCGATGCTGTTGTTGAATTTGCCATTGCTTTCTGTAAAAGAGACCAACAAATCAAACTTAATGGAAATTCAATCGCACAGGTGCTGCATTATCAAGCATATGCTGCATAAATCAAATACTCAGAAAACAAATACGAAAGACATAAAAATGTATGCTTATACATTGTATATTGCTTATTACTCCAAGCTAATTGGAAAAATACAAAAAATAATAAAGCATATAATTTAGTGAACACAAATCAATCACAAAATCAGTTCAGCTGCAATATAAAACCCCAAAGGTATCGTCTTGAATATTAAATCAATCTTATAATACAATATATGCACATGTATATTTATGCCATTTTAAAATTCAATTTTTATACAAATTGATCGCTATTAAATAGCAACCATTCTCATCATCATTTAACATTTGACTTTGTCGGTTTTTAATTGTACATATTTAGCATACGTTATTAATCATTGACTGAAATATAAAAACTGATACCATTTTATAATCAATTTTAAAAAGATTTATTTAAATTGCTAGCTTAATTAGTCTACTCTTTAAAAAAATATATTATTTTTGATGATCAATTTGACTAATTATCCATTATAAGAACCAGAAATATTAATGTACAATTTGTATTCTCTTCACAGGTCGACTTGCGACATTTAAAACAAACAGCCGACTCGGACAACATTGAGGTGGGCATCGATCTGCAGGACTACTATATCTCTGTGGAATGGGATATTATGCGAGTGCCGGCGGTGCGTAATGAAAAGTTTTACAGCTGCTGTGAGGAGCCGTATCTGGACATAGTATTCAATCTGACGCTGAGGCGAAAGACGCTCTTCTACACCGTCAATCTGATCATACCCTGTGTGGGCATATCATTTCTGTCCGTGCTGGTGTTCTATCTGCCCAGCGATTCGGGCGAGAAGATCTCACTTTGTATCAGCATTTTGCTGTCGTTGACTGTGTTTTTTCTGCTGCTCGCCGAAATTATACCGCCGACATCGCTGACAGTGCCACTGCTGGGCAAGTATCTGCTATTCACCATGATGCTGGTCACGCTGTCTGTCGTGGTCACCATTGCGGTTCTCAACGTCAACTTTAGGTAAGTTTTTACTACAATATATATTTTGTGGATATGGATACATACTGACTGATCACAATGTTTTCAGATCACCAGTGACGCATCGAATGGCACCTTGGGTGCAGCGCGTCTTCATACAAATCCTGCCCAAGTTGCTCTGCATTGAGCGGCCCAAAAAGGAGGATCCCGAAGAGGATCAGCCGCCCGAGGTGCTCACGGATGTCTTCCATTTACCGCCGGATGTTGACAAGTTTGTCAACTACGACACAAAGCGCTTCAGCGGTGATTATGGCATACCAGGTAAGTGCACCCAGCACCAAATTGAAAACCCCCTTATCCGAGCCCCTTTCAAAAAGCTTTACTCAAAGTACTTCAGTGCACCCACGCCGACGTAAAATTGTAAGAGCCTTTGTTCGTATAAACAGAAGTCTTCAGAAAATAAGCAAACTTTCTATAAATTTAGCCCAGCCTCAAACTTTTTGTTGTTCAGAAACTTTTTGAATTGCTGCAGTTGCATTTGCAACTAGCTAGATTCGCCTTTCTATGTACTGCCGCTTTTGTTGCCGGCTTTAAATTTATGCGTGTTTTCAACTGGCTACAGCAGGCGCATTAAGTGAGTAAAACAGCGTTTCATATACTTGTGACAAACGACGAGACAAGCAGCTCCAAGGACCGCGAAGTTTATATTTCGTTTTAAATATGCACAAGTATATTGAAATTATATACATTTTGATGGAACCACCATCTCTCCGCCCCCTCCCCCTCCCCCTCCACCGCATCATCATGCCATTGCTGAAAGCACAAAGCGCAAGCAATTTATTGCAATTAACGGGCAACTGCACCAGCAACGGACACAAAGTTACCACAGAAACAGACACGCACAGACACACCGACAGCCACACACAAACAAACACAGAAGACGAGGAAAACTAACAGGACGACAAGTAACATAAGTTGGGAGTGAAAAGTTGCTGCAACTCAGCAAAGAATTATTCGTTTTCTAAATTACTTTTGTATCGTTTTGTCACTGTCGGGACACCATTTGGGTTGCTCATTAAAAAATTGTGGGGAAATGTTGAGTGTGAAAAGATACTTTAACTGGAGTACAAAGAAAACTGTTTTCAATAAGATTGCAAGAGCTGAGAAATGCTTTAACAGCTACGAAAGTAACTCAAAGCTTACTCATTGTTAACTTTTCCCTGCAACAGAATAGCAATGGAAAAAAATGTGAGAGCATTATTTAAACAATTTGTATTTATAAAAAGATAAGAAATTATTTCTATGGCAGTTAAAAATAGTACGATTTAAGAAAGCGAGTGTAAAGAGAATATATTTTAAGTTTATATAACTTTTAAAGTCAAAATGATCCTAATAATAAAGGATTTTAATTTAAAATGTAAGCATTCCTAGTTATCAAATAAATGCCAAATTCGTTTTAATTAGCGGCTTGCATCATTTTATTTGCAGTTGCCACTTAATATTAAGTATTCGACACCCATTTAGACTTCGTGGAAGAGTAGTAGCCCATGAAATTCAAAAACAGGCACAGAACTTCAGCTAAAGCTACTTGGTGACTACGGCTTTCTCTGCGGAACTCGAGCTTTCTTTGAATTAATGATTTTTCTTTACTTTTTCTCTCGTACTTTTTCCACTTATTAGTTTTCCACAGTTGCCTTGCATAGGCGAGGAAGAAACAGATATCGAAACTTTGAGACGGCCAGCCAAGTGAATACCAAATAAGTAAAATGCTGCCATCTATTTACTGAGTTTCTTTATTCTTTCTGTTTCTGTTGCTGCTGTCGCTGATGTTGCTGTGCAGCCTTTGTCCTGCACTTCCTTAGCGACCTTATGAAAATAAAATTGCCCCAATACAATGCGGAGCACAGAAAAGTTACAAATTGCATTAGCGCATCGAAAAAAATGGCAAATAAAATGAAAATATAAAATAAAAAGAAATCTGCGAAACAGCTCACAATTTGATTTACCTAATGCTGTTATCATTGCTTCCTTCTCATGGCTCTCTGACTTTCTTCCACTTTCCTTTTAACGCTCTGCATGCTTTATCGTTTTTTTAGTACTACCCGCCTCTCATCGCTTCGACTTGGCTGCGGCGGGCGGCATTGCCGCCCACTGCTTTGGTGATCCGCCGCTGCCCTCCTCACTGCCACTGCCAGGTGCCGACGACGATCTGTTCAGTCCATCGGGTCTCAATGGGGACATAAGTCCTGGCTGTTGTCCAGCGGCCGCGGCCGCGGCAGCAGCTGCTGCTGCTGCTGATCTCAGTCCCACATTTGAGAGACCCTACGCACGGGAGATGGAAAAGACCATCGAAGGATCACGCTTCATTGCGCAGCATGTGAAAAACAAAGACAAATTCGAAAGCGTATGTACAAATATGATTATATTAACACTAACATAATTTCATAATTTCTTATTATATTGGCTTAAAGCTCATGAAACATATTTGTACACACACCATCAAAAGCCAAGTCTAGCTAGATAAAATACATTTGTAAAAGATAATATAATTTAAATTGAGAAAGCTAATATTGCCATATGACCTGGTCCAACAGCCCGGTTGGTTCCTTGATATACATTGTACATGTAGATAGGCATGTAGTTGTTTGAAGACAATATTGAATTTGTTACATTTTATGTCATCGCTAAATTAGCTTTTAAGAGCTAGATTGCTGAAATCAATATTTCCTATCCATGCTAAATTTGGTGCTATCGATAAGTTCTCTATTAAGAATAAGGTTCAGCAAGAAAAGTCTATTTTAGCATCCACACACTGCTATCTTCCTGATTATATGGAAAGCTACTATGTATTAGCAGGCAAAACTTACAGTTTTGTTAATTGAGCAGTCGATCTATTTTGACTTGAGCATCAAACATGTTTCTCAGTTAGTTTAAAGAGATTGTCGTACATATTTCTGTAATTCAATTTTCACTTAGAACTGCAAAAATACGGTGGCAATAGCAAAATGAAAGGCGGCATTGCATCACTCCCCAAAATATTGGTTAGCAAAATCTATTTAATTTCTGGCATTGCCAATTGGCTCCAAGCATGAAGTGCCTGTCAGTATCCAGGCCAGCACCACGAATCAGCTAGTTGGTATGCCCGAATAAGTTTCGACGTGTTTGCGCTTGCTCCTGATAACCCGCAGCTACTCGAACCACGATGCTTGCATTTCTCTAATCAAAAATCGTAGATGTGGAATAGGGCACTGTCTGCCACGGAGGTACATGGTGTGGCATCGTCCCGTTGAGCTAAATTCAGGCTGAGTGATTGAATTGTTTGTGCACAAATTGTGTGCAGCATGCAATTGGAAAGCGCAATCCTGGAATTCAGAGTGCAAGTTTGCCAATCATTGCGGCCAGAGCGAGGCAATACCCCAAATCAGTTTCGTTTGGTTTCAACTTTAGCTGCTTAGTTCGAATCAATATCGAAATTAAAATTGATTTGATAATGAGTTTCAGGAGTGTATTTAAGGAGGAGGGTTGAGTTGCAATCATTGCTGGTTCGCTCCTTTGAAAACTTCAATATATCAATTTAATTTATATTCTAATGGTATTCTCATCAAATAACAGACATACTATATGACATATCTATGATATAACTTTATTTAAATGATTAAGAATTATTATACCACAGCATTGCTCTATTAACTAAATATGTTATCATATTGAAACTTCTATTATCTGCGACAGGTTGAAGAAGATTGGAAATACGTCGCCATGGTATTGGATCGTTTGTTTCTTTGGATTTTCGCAATCGCTTGCGTGGTCGGCACAGCGCTAATTATATTGCAAGCGCCAAGTTTGTACGATCAATCGCAGCCGATTGATATATTATATTCGAAAATTGCTAAAAAGAAATTCGAGCTGCTTAAAATGGGCAGTGATAACACCTTATAACGTCCACTTGGGTTCGCAGCGGGCTGGTGGAATTTAATCATCAGCTCGTTGCGAACCCTGTTCGCCGCCCGCGACGATGATCGTGGATAATATACAATGAGCCAAACCATGAGCGTCTCATCACCGTTATCCAACACGAACAGCAGCAGCAGTAGCATTATAAACGATAACGATATCGATAACGGAACGTTGACCAACTCATGGAGCCCATTGTAAGCAGCGGAGCGAAGCGAGCATTGGAAATTTAAACGAAAGGAATCAAAACGAAATGAAACGAAACGAAAATTAGTATAAACAGTCGAAAGAGTGCAAGTTTTGGAGCAGTTGATCAAAATTTGTATGTAAAGAAAGTAAAGCAAAACAAGTACTTAAGTGTTGGATAACGTTAACTACGTTCATAACTGGGTTGGAAAATCAACTTTAACATATGTATGTATGTATAACGCTGACAGTGACCAGTGGATTTAGTTTGTAAGTTTTGAAGAGTGTATGATGTATGGTATGGTGATTGTGTGGTGAATCGTACATAGTTGTTTGCTTGGTTGTGCAGTCTTGCATAATGTGACGGCCAGTGTTGTAAAAAATAAACTTTTTGTAATTTGTATTGTAATTTTGAGCGCCAAAAAGTTCCTTGTTGATTTTTAGTTCTAAAGTTTCATAAAATAGAACAACAACAAAAACACATTAAAATGTTTTAAGATGGCATTTTAAATTAAAAAAAAAAAAAACAAATTGACTGCATGTGTTCAGTGTGTTTGTGTGCGTGCGTTTGAAAGTGTTATCGTAATCAATTTTAATTATTTATCGATTTGTGCATATTTTTTGGCATTATTTTTAGCAACATATGAATAAAACTTTGCTAGGTCAAATTCGAAAAAAAGATGCATAAAATTCGAAACTGGTTTTAGCATTAGTTATGCCTAAATCACAAGTAACTATATATTATATGATGAACTAAACATAATTAGGAACTAAGTCTTATTTAGTCTTAGCTAAGCTACATACATTTTAAGCAAATTACAATTAATATTACATACCAAACCAAAATGTCAGCCTCAAGGCGACTTGGTCAAATGAAGCGCGAAATTCTGAAATAAATTTAGTTAAATGTTGATAAACAAACATCAAATTTTTAAACTCACACACATTTTTACTACAAAAAACACATTCATATTACCATATATAAGTATATCTAACAAGCATATGTATGGAACATATGTACATACACTAACACATAGCATAAAGTCACTCACAAATTTAAGACAATTTAAATTCAATAACTTACCAACTACATAAATTGCAAAATTACAAAAAAAAAAAAACGAAACAAGTCAAGAAAATCCAATAAAAATAACACTGAAATATATAAAACAAAAAGAATGGCGCTTTGGTGTAGTATTGTACGCTATTCGTTTGTGTAACTGGCAAATCTTTTAATTGCATAAATTGCACATATTCTATTTACACAAGTACTATTTATTTATTCTACTTTAAATCCGAAAGGTGATTAGTTTATGATTGTGCAAGCAATACAATTCTTAACCGAGCAAATATAAAGTACGATTCTGAACCAGTGACGAATAGTTAATCATTATGCATTTTACTGACTTTATACTGGCAGAATCAATTTAAAAACTTTATAATTGCCAGCAGCTGCAGCTGGAGAGGGCCAGAGCATGGTATTGAAATAGCCTTGGATGAGCGCAACACAAAGAAACACCTTCAATTTAAATGCCAAAGCAAACGAAGCTTGCCGCAAGGTTTTTTATTTGCATTTTTAATTGATTTTGCGAAACTTTTGCCACAGCAACAACAACCACAACTGGCAAATATTACCAGCGCGAATGCCTCTGAGCGGCTGCGAACACCGCAGGGCACGCCACAAATTAAGTGAGGAATGCAATTCGCATGTGCAACTGTGTGTGAGGCCCAGAGAAAAAGTGTATGTGCGAGACAGTGTGTTTTGAGTCAATAAAAAGGCGAAAAGTACACAAAAATGTGCACAACTTGCACACAAATGGTTGAGGCAAAAACCATAAATGAAAACTACGGAAACTATTAGCAAGAAATGTCGCGACAATTCTGCTCAGAACTGTCAAGTTCTTCTTCTGTTTATAATTGTTTAACTCGCTCTTACTGTTGTTGTTGCTATTGTTGTCGTTTTTATTGTTTTTGCTTATGCCAACGGCTCGACTTTGGTTTGGCGTTATATGCGTGTGAAGTGGCAAAAAGTTTAATTAAAATTCCTAATCGAAAATATTCAACATTTGTGAATGTGTAATTAAAATAGTTTTCCAAACCAACAAATGTGCAAGTGCCACAACTAAGTTTCAACGGATGCACACAGACGTATACACAAGCCTATTTACATAATTATATTATATATAATATATATATATATATATATATATATATATATATATATATATATATATTGACTTTGATATAAATGGCTTATTGCGACTGCAATTGTAATTGGCATCTAGTTAGGAAAGATAATAAAAGGCTGGTTAAATTAAACAAGAGTCAGACATAAATCGGTAAATTTCTGTACATTTTTAAATGAGTTTAAAATGTAATTATTATATATAAATTACTTATACTATGCATCAATATTTTCAGCATGCAATACAAAAAGTTTTTTTCAAAAGTTAAAAGTACAGCATTAATTTATATAACTATATTTTGGTTCAATTGAGTACGACACCTGATGTGCACGTGACGGATACATATATATATATATATATTCTTAGTCCGCCTTACCAAGTGGCAATTGAGAGCAGTCAGTTGCTAAGAGCGAACGAATAGCGTAACACACACTGACTCACAAAAAGACACCTACATACACATATAATTAAAAAAAAAATGACAGCAACAAGAAATATGTAAAACAGAAATAAATAAATTACAATTTAAATAACTGCGCCATTTTGGTGTATTTAAATGTAAAGTGCATAAAATCAACAGTTAACATTTTTTAAATATTTAGCTATTAAATACACGTAATATAAATGTTAAAAAATATCATAAATCAAATTATTAAATAAAACAACAACAACAAAATTGCATAGGCATTTAAACACACACACATACACATTCAACCACAGCAGCCCCATAATAAATTATGATAAATGTACATTGAATAATTACATCAAATATTAAAAGTATTCAACTGAGCTTATAAAATTTAAAAAAGAACACACATACACACAAAAAACCATCAAATAAAAAATTAAATAAATTTAAATGAAATGCCAGCAGAATGAGCAAAACTATTTGACAACTGTCTCGACTTCCGATATGAAAAGCATATAAATAAAAAGTCTGAAAAAATATATATAGACACGCAATAAGAGTATATACTATATATATGCATACACATATACATACATAATAAAAAATAAAAACAAAATGCAAAATATGCACACGGCGAATGTATTGAACTAAGAGCAATCTAACTAAATACTCAGATAAATCAGAGAACTCAGAAGAAAACTTGAATGATCAATAAAAATGCGTTCCAGCTATTCACAGATAAATTCCATTGGCTAATATCGGAATCAGTTAAATTGACCTTCAGAAATAGGCACAATATATGATTTTGAATTTAAGTTGTTAAGTATTTCCAGTTCCTGTCGAAATGTGTATTAAAAACACCTGCGCATGTAAATAGGATGTACTATTGGGACAATTTTTTAAATTTAAGTTGTTCATTAAAAATTGAATTGTACAAAGTTAATACCCATCAATATAATTATAATTATTTCTAAGTATTTATTTATAAGACTTGCTTGCTTTGTTCCCTGTGTGCATTTCTTAAGTAATTTTCGCTTGTATTCGTTTGTTGTGTTGGGGTGTTGGTTTTTCTGCAACTCTTTTAAGAAATTGCTGGGAATTATATGTAAGGAATTTTGTGTCTAACATTTGCAGTAGCTTAAGTCTTGCACTCATTCAGCTTCACTTAACTTAGAAGAATTTACACGTTGGAATAGCGAAACGCATAACAAATTTTAAGCTAAACAACTTTTTGTTATAGTTTTAGACAATCAAGTAAAAAAAAAAAAAAACATTAACTATAAAACCAACAAAAAGAAAAAAAAACTAATGACAAGTAAATGGCGTAACTTTTCTGTGAATAAATTAAACTAAATAACGTAATTGCATATTTAAATTAAAATCGCATATAAATTGTGTATAGCAAAAACTACTAATGGGCTTTAAATACTTGTTGAAATTGAAGCCAACATAAATGAATGAATGCAAAATCAAACGATAAAATGTCATGCAAAATTGAAAAATTAAAATTTCAACAACCATTTTTGTAAATTGTTTCACTTGGGAAAATCGACACGCTAAAGCAAAAACCAAAAATACATTGAGAAATAAAATAAACGTATTTAAATAAAAATAAATAATAATACAACTATAACGAAAACGAAAACGTACCAACTATGCAAAATCGAAGGCGATTCGAAAAGTCAAATACAAAGACGTGTATATGCTCTCATTGGTTGTGTTTTTAGGTTATAATCAAAGAGGCTTGTGCGTGGGCGTGTGCGTGTGTGCACACTCAGACACACACAAGCAACCAATCGGTCATTCAATCAATCAGTCAGTCGGTTAGTCGGTTAGTACAATTCAAATTCATAATTGTACAGTTCATTTGCACATTAATTAATTTATGTATGTAATATATTAATAATAATTATTGTTAAATTTAAATATATATAAAAACAAAAAACCAAAAAAAAACAGGAAGTAAACACATCGTGTTTAGCTGCAAATTATGCTAATAATGTCAAACATTTTAAATTTGCCTTTTTAAACGCGTTTTACTTATAATTTTAGGTTATAGCTAAATGTTTAGTGTGCTTCATGTGAAAAACATCAAAAGTTCAACAAAGAAAACAAAAACTTAAATGCAGCATAGTTTTGAGCACTGCAAGCAAAAGGAAAAAAAAAAAATTCGGTAAAAAAAAACATGTAATTAAAATACTGCCACAAATAAGACAAAATAAAATTATAGTAATATAATACAAATACTCATTTATCTGCATAAATACATACATATTAATTATATATATATATATATGTATATATATATATATATATGTATATATTTTTGATGTGTGTGTCTCAGCTTCACACTCAAAACTAAACGACTAGTCATGTAAGGTACTCGTACGATAATTCAAACATTCCGAAACGGGGCTCGAAGTTAACATTGCGGTTAAGTCATAACACTTAATGCAACCACTAGTAATAGCATACTACTAAGCAGAAAACCAAAAAAAATTCATACTCTCATATTGTGTATATATATCAACGATAGTGCCCCCCCCCCCCCCCCCCCATCCCACTCACACACACATAAGCTTACACACAGTAACAACAATCTAGTTAAGCAAATGAGGCTCAGATCCAAACCCCCATCTGATAATTATTATTATCACTCCAACATTGCACGACACGTATTAGAGTCATAAATTAAAACAGAATTGAAAGCAACAAGAATTTATTCGAGGAACACTTATTTTGACTAATCACAGAAGACAACGAAATCGTATACACAATTCGCTAGCCAACACATAAAGTAACCTAATCCAAGACCGTAGCAGATGAAGTGCCCTTTCCAACACCATGAGATATCCAATCTAAAGGAACCCAGGTTCCTAGCAGATTAAATAGTATTGGTCGACTTTCTTCCTTATTGAGAATATTTTCCATTTTTTGGTTGAGCTGTGGAGAATTCATACATACCGTCTGGCAATTTTTACCTATTGGTAGGCTTGGAATAATTAGCATTCGGAAGGGGCATTCACAACCACAAAGTGTTTCATTTTATGCAATTTTTGGAGCCACACTTAGCACTTACAATAATCATAATTAGTTAAATGAGAAATAGTTATTAACAAAATATATTAAACAAGTAAATTATGAAACGAAAACTAAGTATTTGATATATATGCGGCTTGACCCTGAGATTCAAAAACATAAAATCGGATGTCTTCCAATCAAAGGTCGTCTTTTGTAGCAAACACAACAAGAATCAAAGTCTGCGTATTGCTAAAAACAAATAAATGGAAGCGCACTGGCAAGTGGAGCTGATAAATGCAAAACCCAATAGTAATTCGACTACTACAACAACTTCTATTACAGCTACAACAACACACAGACACACCCGCACACACACACACACACAAACACAGCACGGCAATTCGTACCGCCAAACTCTATTACAAACTTCTTGAGCAATCAGTTCGAGGTCTCTTCAAGCGTTCTCTTATCATGCAGTCACAGTCTTTAAATTCACAGCAAGAAAAAACTTATTAAGTACCTGACAATAGCAACCATATGATTCCCAATTTTTCTAACTTAACCCAATCACGATTCTAATAACAATGTCTTGTACATACAATTACTGCTATGACATCAAATTCGGCTCACAAATTAGCGTTGAGTTGCCAAAAACACAAAACAAAAACTATTAAAGTGCAATGAATAAAAGGTTTCAATGACAGCAAAAAAAATTTCAACACTACAAAAGCACATAAAAAAAAACAGCAACGAATCAACGCATTTCACATCAATCCATTGTCAACACTAATGTAGAGCAACAAAATCCAGTTAAACGAATTTCAAATATTTCATTTTGTTCAAACTTACAAATTTACCCAAGTGCTGTAAGATATTTCGAGAGAGAGAAATTGAGGACAGAGTGGTATTAATTTAAAATTAGTCGAAACTTGATTTGCCTCTTGTACATTTGTTTTAAAGGGTTTCTGGAAACACCCACTAGATGCATAGAATTTCACATTAAATATGTATATACATTTATTAAAGTTGTATGTAAACTTCTGAATTTATTTTCTTTAAACAGTTTTTCTATTAGTTTTATCCGACAAGTCTTGTAGAACCTGCAAAACAATTTTGCTCATTTCGCCAGAAGCGCAAAATCAAACAAGCACAAACACACAAACAAATGCACAGACACACACACATGCACACATAAGCTCGAACGTAACCAGACAGACATTCAGATATACACTGTAACCGAAACTTAAATTGTATAAAGTGCATACGAAAACGTTTTAATCACTTTGTTTTTATGATAGAATATTAACTTGTATTTGTGCAAATGTGTATGCAAGCACGCAAGTGAATGAGGAAACCGAAATCAAATGTGTACGCTACGTAGTTAATGAATCTAGTTGTACTTTTTAAATCACATAAGAACTTAAGTATTTTCATGATGCATATTTACGTATATACATATATATATATATATATATATATATATACATGTATGTATGTATATTTTGTGTATTTACTGTTAAGTGCCGTTAGTTTTAAGCGCTTCTGTTAAATTTTTGTGTACATTTTTCGAGCAAGTTTTTCAATTTCAATCCGTATTAATTTAAAAACAAATGAATTTCTACATTTTAGCATCAAGATTTTTAACTTAGAAAAACAATAAAATGACATAAAGCAAACTAAGAACAAAAAGATCTTGCAACTCACTGGAGAAAACAACACCACAAATTAAAGTTAAATATTACATGCCATCGAGCATGCTACACTAAAGAATATTTGATCAATAAATATAAAAAATTAAATACGAGAAAAAAAAAATTAAAAATACCAAAAATAGCAGTAACTGATGCCAAATGACATGTCAAAACTAAACCAATTTTTAGTTAGGCGCTTATAGCGCTGACTAAAATAAGTTTTGCGAAAAATTATACACAAATCAAATTTTAGCTAACGAGTGTATTTAGTTAAACGAAATACAAAATGTAAGTATCTTAAGCTATGAGTAAAGGAAACGTATGTAAAATATTTGCAACTAACATTAAACAACAACAAATTTTTGGCATAAGTGTAGGCTAAACAAATATAATTACACAGCAAATTAACAACAACATAAACCAAAACAATGAACGAATTAAGAAAAGTTTGCGCATAAGTATTCAAGGTAAATGTCAAACAAGAATTACATTTTAATAGTTGCATTTACATTTCACATCAAAATACATACATATATGTATATATTTATGTATGTACACAGACATATGGGTACACATATTTACATATATATATAAATACATGCAAATATATACATAATATATTCAAGCTCCTTTGAATAAAACAAACACAAATAACAGCAATGATATTAACTAAAAAAAAAAGGCATAATACACTACACTGAGAGAAAAACTGTACACGCGCAGTCACAAGCACACAAAATGTAACTTGAGCATTAAAGTAACTTAACAACAACCACAACAAACTATACAAAATAACGAAATTAACAAAACAAACAAAGAAATGCTAACATACAAAATGTATAACGTAAAATTTGCATTTGCAAAAATTTAAAAACAAAAAATTACATTGAAGCTAAAATTTAAGACACTAAGAAAATGGCATGCATGAAATAAAAACATAATAATAGCAACAATTGCAAATGAACGACATTAAAAAATAAAAATAAAAAAACTAAGCAAATGCATAAAAACATGAAAAACAATTACTATATAAATAAATGTTACGCGTTATTAAATAAAGAAGAATGAAAATAATTTGTTTTAAAAAAATTCTTGAATGATTTATTTGTTTGAAAAATGGTCATATGCTTGTGGGATTAAATAATTTATTCACATAAAATTTAATTTGTTAAACTGCGCCGGTGCTGTCACATACTTTCCCAGAGCCATGGCAAGCAAAGAAAACTGACAGCCGGGATAGAGCTCATGGCAGTCTCGAGAGTGCCGCTTGGAGCGTCGATAAATGCGGTCATAATGATGGTGCGCCTGCGGCTCATATTCCACAACCTCCGATCTGGGCATACTGAGAACAAATCGCAGCCTGTGCAAGCGAGAGTATTAATTACTCTGTGAAGCTACAACAAATTAATTGACTTCACTCACCTCGAAACTGAACAGCCCTCCGGAAACGCCAAATAACTAATCTACAACTGAGTATATTGCACTTTAAACACTTAAATAAAAATATATATTTAAAAATTCAATCACTATTATTGATCAGCCAATATAATATATGAAAATATATTTCAGAACTTTAGAAACAATTTGTATGTGCACACAATATGATCTGAATTCAGTTTGTAAGAAACTTTTCTATTTTAAATATATTTCACAGGAGTATTCACATCGAGATTCGCTCAAGGAATATCTATCAGATTAATTCAACAATGGCAGCCACTAGCTTTGTGTCATACAACAGCATACAACAGCTGGCCACTACAGTTCCAAATAGGTTCAGTACACTGACATATTTGCATGTGTCTTTTGCATGTGGCTTTATTAAATGAATGCACAAATTAGGTCAGAATATGTTCGCTCAAACGCAGCAAAAAACTCTGGGGACAGTGTGCGCCATACCACTGTACGCACTCATGCAGCGAATGGCCTGTTGTGAAGGCCTTGTGATATGTGGGCTTATGGGCAATCTCTGGATGCACATATCGCAGCAGAATGCGAAAGATATCATGGAACAACGATTCACCCGGTGGTGCCAACAGATGGCGCGCCTCGCAAAGTGTTCGCATGATGCAATAGCGCGGATTATACTGATGGCTATACATGATAAAGAAGAAATAGAAAAGAGGCGGAGAATGAGACAGACAAAGTAAGCGATCGAGCTGAGCAAATGGCATTTAGATTACGTACATCTCAGACAACATGGCCAGCAAATCGAAGAGCATGCTATGTGGACTCTCTCCCTGTTTCAGAAGATTCGCACCATTCCTCTCAAGCTCCCGCCTCAGACGACGAGATACGGCAGTGGGTCGACAATAGTAGTTACCATAAGGATCCTTCACCAGTTTTGAAGCCGGACAGCCACTATGCACCTGGTTCACATAGGATTTGCGCTGACCCAGAATTGCTTGTGGATACGTATAGTAAAAGGAATGAACGGGATCGGCAGGACTTAAGGGCACAATCAGTCGTTGCTGTGCTACTGGAACTGGTACAACGGGACTTGGAACTGGCAAAGCTAAAGATTGCGGTGGTGGTGGCGGTACAACTGGCGGTGGTGGTGGTGGTACTGGCTTTGGCCTGCCTTTGCGTCGCGGAAACCAGTCCTCAATGCCTGCAGGCAACGGATAAATTACTGCAACCTCGAAGAGGAAAAGCAAGCTACTGGGGACGGGATCCAGTAAAGACTTAGTACTGCTGCCAGTTAGCTGTTGAGCAAAAAGGGATACAACGGTAATGTTTTTTTAACTAGAAGAGATCAATAGCAAATAGGTATTGGTAACATATATTCCTATATATTTTGCATTTGTTTAAAAATGTATATACATTCAACTCACTGATTCATTTTAATTTTTAAGCAACTGAAACTGATGCGGATCTTTTAAATGCAACGCTACTCACTGAGATGGTGGCGCCAAGTTCAAAGATAAGCCAGCGCTTTTGTCTATGCAGCAAGTGCGGTAGATTGAATGATTCCTTACGAAGATAACTGACTGCACGATTGGAGCTGTTGGAATTGTTGAAACTGTCCGAGCTGAAGCTACTGTTGTTGGCAGCGTTGGCCAAGGTCAGCGACACAACTAACAGCAGTTCAACCAGCAAAAGGACAATGCGATTTCCCATAACGACGACCCGTGCAAGTCTTCATCAACTGAAATACTAAGGCAGACGCCGGCAGAACTGGAGAATATAGTTGGCCAAAGAAGTTGAGACTTGGCTAGTCAATTTATACCTGTTGTGTGAACCATTTTTGAATACAATGCAAATTAGATTGCTCAAACATTTAGTTGAAATTGCCCGGGCTGCACTCTAAAGAAAATTCGTCCTAAAAATTAGTAGGGTTCCCTAAAATGCAAAATGCAATAGAATAATCTCTAAATTATTAATTAAATTTCCTGAACTCAAAATCGCACAACTTTAATCGACAATCACAATTTTGTTTTTTTTTGTTTTAAAAACTTTGTCGGAAAACGCATGCAAACAAACGTATATTTTCAAGATCAAGTTGCAGGCAGGATGAAAGTTTTTCAAATTACTTTATTTCAATTTATAATTTATAAACTCTCTTTATAAAGAATAAAATAAATAAAACCTTTAAAAAAAATTTCAGTGTATTTGCAAGTTTTTAATGTTTTTTTTTTCTCTTGTGTAAGATTGTATGCTGTGACATTCAAATTTGCTCACAGATTAGCGCTAAAATGACAAATACAAACCAAAGATTTAACTGTGGAGAACGTTGCAGTCGGGCATAGCCGACTGCGAAATACTTTGAGAGGTAGCAAAGAAAAGTGTGGGTGTAGCCAGGAAATACCTGTCTTTGAAGGAGATTTTTAGTAATCTACTGTCAAACTTAGTCCGTAATATTTTAATAGATATAGGATTTTGTTTGATTAGGGGCGGGAGTGGACGTGGCTTGAACAAATTATAGAGAAGGATTTTCGTAATCATCCTTGTTTATGTTTTGGGGAAAAAAAAATAATGGTCTTGAGTTGGGAGTTACCAGCAAAATACTTTCAAAATTTTGTGGCTCTAGCCACACATTGTGGAATTTCTAACAACCCATCAACCAAATTTTGTCACTGTAGTCTTAAAATTGTGGGAGATATGAGGCCTAATCGATTTGCGACTATCGATTTTATCGATTTCCTTGGCTCCCAGTGGAAGTAACACTCCAATTTTTGCACTTTGTCTGACGGGAGTACAGACCGTTCACACAGACGGCGTTTAATTTAAAATTGGTCGAGCCTTTCTTTAATATAATTTCACCTTAAATTTTTATTTACACATCTTAACTTATTTTGTTTTTCCACAGGGCTTATAAGCTCTTAAGATGGAATATTAATTTGCATGTTGGCATATGTGAGTGCAAGTATGTAAGTGAATGATGAAGCCCAAATCAAATAATTAAGCTACGTAAAACTTCATCAAGTTTATTCCGCTGTTTATGATATATATAGCTCTTATGATCTCTGAGATCATAGATTGATCGACACCGCTGTTGATTGTGGTTAAGAATATATATAGCTTATGGGGTCGAATAAGCATTCTTCTGCCTATTAAATAGCTTTGCTCAACTGCATTATAGCCTTTTTGCTAAAATAGCATAGAATGAACTCAACCAAAATGTCAAAAATAAATATAAAGAAGTATAAAAGTAATTTATTTAACATAAATCTTGAATGATTTGTTTGAAAAATGGTCATATGCTTGTGGGATTAAATAATTTATTCACATAAAATTAAATTTGTTAAACTGCGCCGGTGCTGTCACATACTTTCCCAGAACCATGGCAAGCAAAGAAAACTTACAGCTGATGAAATTTGGGCAGTTAATCAATAATATGTATATGCATAATATATATTAATTAGAAGAATTCTGCCTTTAAAATTGTAGCATTTATTGCTATCGGAAATCGGTTATTATCGGTAGTTATCGATAAAATAAAGCAAACTCATACAGTCTCTGAGATCTGCGTATTCATACCGACGGACTGACAGACGGACATGGCTACATCGACTCGGCTGTTGACCCTGATCAAGAATATATATACTTTCTGGGGTCGGAAATGCATCCTTCTGCCTGTTCATTCATTTGCACAAAACCATTTTACCCTTTTTACCCATTTTTAATGGGTTCAGGGTATAAACATATATATGTAAATGTACAATAATAATTTATTTTAGCCTTTTGCTAAAATTCAATTGCACTTTTTGGGCTGACCTACAGTAAAATACAACTTTTAAAATTCCCAATTTATGGAAAAATGTTCTTGGCAGATAGTGCAGGAAAATAATAATAATATCTGAATTCAGTTTGTAAGAAACTTTTCTATTTTAAATATATTTCACAGGAGTATTCACATCGAGATTCGCTCAAGGAATATCTATCAGATTAATTCAACAATGGCAGCCACTAGCTTTGTGTCATACAACAGCATACAACAGCTGGCCACTACAGTTCCAAATAGGTTCAGTACACTGACATATTTGCATGTGTCTTTTGCATGTGGCTTTATTAAATGAATGCACAAATTAGGTCAGAATATGTTCGCTCAAACGCAGCAAAAAACTCTGGGGACAGTGTGCGCCATACCACTGTACGCACTCATGCAGCGAATGGCCTGTTGTGAAGGCCTTGTGATATGTGGGCTTATGGGCAATCTCTGGATGCACATATCGCAGCAGAATGCGAAAGATATCATGGAACAACGATTCACCCGGTGGTGCCAACAGATGGCGCGCCTCGCAAAGTGTTCGCATGATGCAATAGCGCGGATTATACTGATGGCTATACATGATAAAGAAGAAATAGAAAAGAGGTGGAGAATGAGACAGACAAAGTAAGCGATCGAGCTGAGCAAATGGCATTTAGATTACGTACATCTCAGACAACATGGCCAGCAAATCGAAGAGCATGCCATTTGGACTCAGTCCCTGATTCAGAAGATTCGCACCATTCCTCTCAAGCTCCCGCCTCAGACGACGAGATACGGCAGTGGGTCGACAATAGTAGTTACCATAAGGATCCTTCACCAGTTTTGAAGCCGGACAGCCACTATGCACCTGGTTCACATGGGACTTGCGCTGACCCAGAATCGGCGTAGCTTGTGGATACGTATAGTAAAAGGAATGAACGGGATCGGCAGGACTTAAGGGCACAATCAGTCGTTGCTGTGCTACTGGAACTGGTACAACGGGATTTGGAACTGGCAAAGCTAGAGATGGTGGTGGTGGTGGCGGTACAACTGGCGCTGGTGGTGGTGGTACTGGCTTTGGCCTGCCTTTGCGTCGCGGAAACCAGTCCACAATGTCACCAGGCATCGGATAGACGCATGTTGCTTCTATAACTTGCATCAAGCCTAGGGGTATGTCGCCAACCACATTTTTAAGTACAGTGATAGTTAGCTGTTGAGCAAATGGAATAACGAGTATTGTCAATATAAATTTACTAAGAGCAAAGTAGCAAGCAATTTAAGCAATATCGTCAGATCAGATTTCCCTATATTTTAAAAACATTCCTTAGAGAGACTATTGTTTTAACTTTGCCACATGTGTAGTTTAAAAAATACGTTTCATATTTATAACTTTTCATGTATATTTTACACACATATTTAATATTATCATTGTTTGTTTGAAACGTTTATTTTAATTACGTCTTTTAACGGGAAGATTATTTTGAATATTTATTTATCTTTAGCACGTCACAAACAAAAAACCCAAAAGCAAAAAGTTCTGAATTGAAAATTTGTCAACTTAAGCAATATTTCGATTGACTTGATGATTATATATTTAACTGCTTTTTATTTTGTTCTCAAATTATTAATTTTTTCCTATCGTATTAGATTAAAAGATTATTTAATCCAAAAGCTATTCGATTTTATTGTGACTAATAAAATGTACGTGATACTAGTTTGTGAAAATGTTACTTACTAAAACGTTGGACCCAGGTTCAAAGATAAGCCAGCGCTTTTGTCTATGCAGCAAGTGCGGTAGATGGAACGATTCCTTACGAAGATAACTGACTGCACGATTGGAGCTGTTGGAATTGTTGAAACTGTCCGAGCTGAAGTTACTGTTGTTGGCAGCGTTGGCCAAGGTCAGCGACACAGCTAACAGCAGTTCAACCAGCAAAAGGACAATGCGATTTCCCATAACGACGACCCGTGCAAGTCTTCATCAACTGAAATACTAAGGCAGACGCCGGCAGAACTGGAGAATATAGTTGGCCAAAGAAGTTGAGACTTGGCTAGTCAATTTATACCTGCCGTGTGAAACATTTTTGAATACAATGCAAGTTAGATAGCTCAAACATTTAGTTGAAATTCCCTGGGCTGCACTCTAAAGAAAATTTGTCCTAAAAATGAGTAAGGTTCCCTAAAATGCAAAATGCAATAGAATAATCTCTAAATTATTAATTAAATTTCCTGAACTCAAAATCGCACAACTTTCATCAACAATCACAAAATGTTTGTGTTTTTCACATTTTCAATGGAAATCCTCTTCTTAAAAACATTGTGCGTTTTTTGAATGTCGGAAAACGCATACAAACAAACGCATATTTTCAAGATCAAGTTGCAGGCAGGATGAAAGTTTTTCAAATTACATTATTTCAATTTATAATTTATAAGCTCTCTTTATAAAGAATAAAATAAATAAAATCTTTAAAAAAAATTTCAGTGTATTTGCAAGTTTTCTAAATATTAGAGAGTTTTTTTCCGACAGTGATCTCTTGTGTAAGATTGTATGCTGTGACATTCAAATTTGCTCACAGATTAGCGCTAAAATGACAAATACAAACCAAAGATTTAACAATGGAGAACGTTGCAGTCTGGCATAGCTGACTGCGAAATACTTTGAGAGGTAGCAAAGAAAAGTGTGGGTGTAGCCAGGAAATACCTGTCTTTGAAGGAGATTTTTAGTAATCTACTGTCAAACTTGGTCGTTAATATTTTAATAGATATAGGCTTTTGTTTGGTTTGGTGGCGGGAGTGGGCGTAATCTTCCTTCCAAGTTTGGTAAATGTAGCTCGTAAATTGCGGGAGATGTAGGCCACGTGGGCGTGGTCCAAATACAAGTAATATACCCTTCAAATTTTGTGGCTCTAGCTTTCAAATTGTGAGAGATTGGTGTAATATGACCTACCCTTACAGGTTTATCGGGTTGGGAAGGCAAAGTGGGCGTGGCCATCCAGGTTTTAATCAATCTCTTGAGTTGGGAGTTACCAGCAAAATACTTTCAAAATTTTGTGGCTCTAGCCACACATTGTGGAATTTCTAACAACCCACCGACCAAATTTTGTCACTGTAGTCTTAAAATTGTGGGAGATATGAGGCCTAATCGATTTGCGACTATCGATTTTATCGATTTCCTTGGCTCCCAGTGGAAGTAACACTCCAATTTGTGCACTTTGTCTGACGCGAGTACAGACCGTTCACACAGACGGCGTTTAATTTAAAATTGGTCGAGCCTTTATTTAATATAATTTCACCTTAAAGATAAGTGAATTTACATATATTTCATTTTTACTTACACATCTTAACTTATTTTGTTTTTCCACAGGGCTTAGAAGCTCTTAAGGTGGAATATTAATTTGCATGTTGGCATATGTGAGTGCAAGTATGTAAGTGAATGATGAAGCCAAAATCAAATAATTAAGCTACGTAAAACTTCATCAAGTTTATACCGGTGTTTATGATATATATAGCTCTTATGATCTCTGAGATCATAGATTGATCGACACCGCTGTTGATTGTGGTTAAGAATATATATAGCTTATGGGGTCGAATAAGCATTCTTCTGCCTATTAAATAGCTTTGCTCAACTGCATTATAGCCATTTTGCTAAAATAGCATCGAATGAACTCAACCAAAATGTCAAAAATAAATATAAAGAAGTATAAAAGTAATTTATTTAAAAAAATTCTTGAATGATTTATTTGTTTGAAAAATGGTCATATGATTGTGGGATTAAATAATTTATTCACATAAAATTAAATTTGTTAAACTGCGCCGGTGCTGTCACATACTTTCCCAGAGCCATGGCAAGCAAAGAAAACTGACAGCCGGGATAGAGCTCATGGCAGTCTCGAGAGTGCCGCTTGGAGCGTCGATAAATGCGGTCATAGTGATGGTGCGCCTGCGGCTCATATTCCACAACCTCCGATCTGGGCATACTGAGAACGGTGCGAACCAATTCCTCCAACATGTTGCCTTGCTGGCCGGGAGCATGCATATACTTGCCACTTTCGCATAGAGCACGAGCAACACAGGCGCGTCCATTGAAGCCCATGCTAATAATGGGAAATATAGCAAGAAGTCATAAGGTAAGTCCGAGCACACTTACCTTTCAAGTGCGGACTGCATCTCATCATAGAGGCTGCGTCGCGATCGGCGTTGCAGCATCGCCTTGGTGAGATTGGCAAAGCCATGTGCATGCTGAATGACCCAATTATGATTGGGCAGGTTGTAGGCAACACCCCAGTTGACAGCCCAGCTAAGATAGTCCACATCGGGATTACCAATCATGCCGATTGTCAAGCAAATCGCAGCCTGTGCAAGCGAGAGTATTAATTACTCTGTGAAGCTACAACATCAATTGACTTCACTCACACCGAAACTGAAGAGCCCTCCGGAAACGCCAAATAACGTTTTTGTCGGCTAAGTATCTTTGTCACCGCCCTGGTGACATTGTCACCACCTGCTACCTCAGCTACCTCGTTCACCTCCACAGCAATAGATGTGTGCAAAGCCGTGAGCAGAACTACTACGGTAAGCATTAAGTGGAGTAGGCATGTCATTTTGACAGTTTCACGTTCGGATTCAGACTGGTCTGCACTAAAAGCCTCCTCCTGTTAGTCACTCACCTGTTTAACTCTTTAGTGGCCTATTAGCTCAAGTGTTATTGACTGCACTGATTAGCGGCTACCTACAAACACTCTGACGACGAATCACAGTTAACTTTAATGTTTGCTGTTATGCGATATGGTAAATTCACATTAGTGTACAAAAAATGGACTTAATGTGTTAATGAAACTCAAAAACAAATAACTGGAATTACAAAACATGTAAGCTCGAACTTGTGAAAAAAATGCAACCCAAGAGACATGTACGTGTGTACAAATATATATATATATATATATATATATATGCCCATAAATATAACCGTATTTGGACATTCACTGAAATTCAATTGCAATTTTTGGCTTGACACATAATTAATTTTTTTTTTGCGTTGCCAATTTCTGGTAAGCCATTATTTGGCCAACATTAAAAAATTTCTGTTTCCGGCAGTAAAGGGAGGAAGAATGAGGAATTAATGCACTCAACAAAAAGCCAAGAACATTCGCCCTTAACCACAGTTATTATTACTATTAACTTACCTTATAATTAGCAACTCTAAACACTATCTTAAGTTATTATCACAAGATGAAACAGAAAAATAATAAATTAAAATTTGTTTAATGAATAATAAATTAAAATAAATATTTAAATATTTATTTACTGATAATTCATACCTATAAATACGTTTACTGGATAGTGAAGGCAAGTTTCTAAAAATACTAATCGAGATGTACCCAATAAAAATTATAAATGTTTCAAGACTATAACACTATAATGTTGCTATAAACAAAAACTCTACTTGAAAAGTTTTGGATTCCAACTTTCATCTTTAAGTTTTTCTGGTATTAGTTAAGGATTGTTCAACAATAGCTTTTTGTCATGCAACAGCTGCCTGCTACTGCACTCAGCAATCAGTAATCATTAGCAAAAAGTTCAGCACGCTGACCCAAATAAGTAAATGACGTAATTGCATGTGTCTTTTATGTGGCTTTATTAAATCTTGTGGAAATGTTCGCTGTAGCCCATCAAAAAACTATGGGGACAGTGTGCGCCATACCACTGTACGCACTCATGCAGCGAATGGCCTGTTGTGAAGGCCTTGTGATATGTGGGCTTATGGGCAATCTCTGGATGCACATATCGCAGCAGAATGCGAAAGATATCATGGAACAACGATTCACCCGGTGGTGCCAACAGATGGCGCGCCTCGCAAAGTGTTCGCATGATGCAATAGCGCGGATTATACTGATGGCTATACATGATAAAGAAGAAATAGAAAAGAGGTGGAGAATGAGACAGACAAAGTAAGCGATCGAGCGGAGCAAATGGCATTTAGATTACGTACATCTCAGACAACATGGCCAGCAAATCGAAGAGCATGCCATTTGGACTCAGTCCCTGATTCAGAAGATTTGCTCCATTCCTCTCAAGCTCTCGTCTCAGACGACGAGATACGGCAGTGGGTCGACAATAGTAGTTACCATAAGGATCCTTCACCAGTTTTGAAGCCGGACAGCCACTATGCACCTGGTTCACATGGGACTTGCGCTGACCCAGAATCGGCGTAGCTTGTGGATACGTATAGTAAAAGGAATGAACGGGATCGGCAGGACTTAAGGGCACAATCAGTCGTTGCTGTGCTACTGGAACTGGTACAACGGGATTTGGAACTGGCAAAGCTAGAGATGGTGGTGGTGGTGGCGGTACAACTGGCGGTGGTGGTGGTGGTACTGGTTTTGGCCTTCCTTTACGTCGCGGGAACCAGTCCTCAATGGCTGCAGGCAACGGATAAATTGCTGTTACCTCGCCGAGGAAAAGCAAGCCCCTGGGTATGGTGTCCGGTACAGCCTTAGCACAATTGCCAGTTAGCTGTTGAGCAAAAGGGATACAACGTTAATGTTTTTTTTAGCTAGAAGAGATCAATAGCAAATAGTTCTTAAGTAAGTTCTTAAGTAAGTTCTTAAGTTCTTTTAGAGATGTTGCGCTTAATTATTTTGTCCGCATTGCTTACAGAGACTTCTATCAAGATCTATTATCGTCCTTATTTGGTCCGTACTTATTATCTAACAATATAATTAAACATAATATTCCAAATTAATTACCTTTTAAGATTGATATTTAATATTTTCAATAATAATAAGAGTATGACTCTATGACAAGTTGCGATCAAAACAAATTAATTGTTTCGAAAATGCTCGTTTTTTTACTTTTATAAATTGAAAATATTGTTTTCGTTACCTTATTTGGTAATATGACTACTAAAATGTAAGTGATACTTATTTGATTTTTTTCAGTATAATAGTTTGTGGTGCCCTTGATAACAGTTATTCCTATATACTTTGCATTTGTTTCAAAACTGATTCATGCTTTTTAGAGATGCGAGGAGCATTGAATGGTAATACATTCGTCTTACTGATTCATTTTAGTTTTTATGCAATTGAAACTAACACGGATCCTTTGAATGAAACCCAACTCACTGTGACAGCGCTGCCAAGTTCAAAAGTAAGCCAGCGCTTTTGCCGGTGCACCAAGTGCGGCAGATGAAAAGATTCCTCACGAAGATAACTGACAGCACGATTGGAGCTGTTGGAGTTGTTGAAACTGTCCGAGCTGAAGCTGCTGTAGTTGGCAGCGTTGGCCAAGGTCAGCGACACAGCTAACAGCAGTTCAACCAGCAAAAGGACAATGCGATTTCCCATAACGACGACCCGTGCAAGTCTTCAGCAACTGAGATACTGAAGAGCAAAGTTGGCCAAAGAACGTTAGGTTTGATTAGAACCTTGTGTGCGGGCCTTGATTGATCGCAATGCAAGTGTATTTACTTAAATAATCAGTTAGATTTGGCTGCGCTGGCACACTCAAAAAATATTCACTCTAAAATGAATCGGCCTGCAAAGCAGTAGCAGCATTATTTTATCTCGTTTTTAGAAATAAAATAAGTTGGTTTGGAATCGTAAAATGGTTTTATTAACTTTAATGTCAGAGCAGAAAAAAATACTTAATTGAAAATTCTGCAGATGTGAGACTATGGAATTTAGAAAAGTGTAGCAAATAGTGTACTTTGAAATAACAACATATTTTTTACAAGGATGCACCTTCCGTTTAGGAAATCTACTTTCTTAATTTGAATTCGGTTTTTTTTTTCTGAGTGCATAAAACCAAAGCGTGATTCCAGAATTAGGTCAATCTTTAAACCCGTTGGCTATCTAATTTAATTAACAACTTGGTCATTTGGCACACACATTTAAATGGGAATGATAAATCAAATGCAGCAGTCAATATGAAAGAAAAATTTGTGGTTCAGTTGTTAAATAGTACGCAGCGAGAATATGTCAACAACTTGGCTGCTTTCGCTGCCGCTGCTGCTGTTAGGCCATTCTCATGGCGATATATCAGTGAATGCCATAGCCAACAGTGATGTTTTGGATGTGTTTGCCAAAACGCCGCAACTGGCATTGCCCACTAAGGCGCATACAAACTTCGAAGCCCACGTCAACAATGTCTCGCTGACAAATGCTGAGGAAATGCCAGTGGATCCAGTGGCACCACATGCTGCTTCATTGATGCCACTGTCGCAGCATAAGCTTTCGAGGGGTAAACGATTTGTGGCATTTCCGGTTGGCTCGTCGGCATCTGTAAGTCAACAAAACGCACAGCACATAAACAAAAGCCAGCAAACTTTTTGCATAGTTTAAGCCAAATTCTTTACCAATCAACTTAGGCCGCTGTGTGTCTGACCACAGGCGTCATTGGCAATCCTCACTACTTGTATCTTAGCTTTGGTCTAAATTGGGGCATTGCGTACGATTTGCCCAACATTACATGGGTGTTACACAACGCCCATGGCTGGAATACAAGGAAACCCGGCTCGGCCCAGGCCAAAATCAAGCGCAGGCATCGACGTGATCTCTACGGCAACTTCGAGACAATGATAGACAGGTAAGCCTTATCCCACCCATCAAAGGGAAGTCTATGTGATATTTTCGATGCGGTAAGGTATTTAAATAGCATAAGCTTAAATAATTATTTCACCTCTCATATAGCCAAATTTTACATTATATTGATTTAGTGTATCTTTATTTTAATTTAATCCTAATTACTAAAGCAAATTTCTTAATGAGATATTGTTAATCAGAAAAAAATATTATGAAAGTTATTAGCACCAAAAAATATTTGAGTTATGGAAATTTAAAATATCTTGTAGCTTGAAGATGAGAGATAACTATCTGAATCTACAAAGAAAACAACGTTTTAAGCTTTTTACAATTTAAATTTGTATACAATTTAATAATGTTAGTTGATCTGAATTTAAGACATAATTTGATTTAACATTCAAGTTTTCAGCATGAATCACAAGCTTATGTGCTGGTCTACACTCATTTGTACTAAGTTTGGCACAACTTAAGTCAAACTGAATATATATCAGAACATTTTCATTATTCTAAATTTAGTATTTGATTAAGTCTAATGATTGTAGTTAGAACATATGTCATAACTTTCTTTAAGTGCAACCACAAAATCGTAAAGTTAACAGTCGAAATTGATATTTGCATTTGTATTTAGGCATCGAAATAAGTAGCACAATACCAAAATCATATGTATCAAATGCTTCGAGTGTCTGTTAGTTTGCCTCCTGAGCTGTGTATTCGTATATGAATGCACTCACTATTCCAGTCCACCCTCTAAAGTGAGTGAGTATAGATTTATACACACTTATGTGCACACACATAGAGATACATATATATAAATGCCTATATATCTACACGTATGCGAGTTTGTGTGTTTGTATGTAACTGCCAAAATCAACCCAGCCACTTGGCTTTTCACGCACAGTGCGGCCAAAGCCAAGATAACTTTCACACAGCCCAAGTGGTCGTCCCTCTTACGACCTAGACCTGCGTCCCCTTTACCCTCTCTCCTTACAACATTCTGTGTGTGCTTCTATTTGTCTGTGTGTGTGTCTGTGTTTGTGTGAGTGTGAATGCGTGCGGCTGGCATAATAATAAAACGTTGGTATTTTATATTAGCATTTAAATTGGCTTTTTGTATGCTTCGGAAATAGTTTAATATCCGAAAAGTCTTTTTGCCACTGCGCGCACAACTTTAATATTGACCCCACCAAAAAGGAATTGCATAACAAAATAGACCATAATTGGTGTGAATTATGTGCAACGCCTTCGAAGCAACGACATCTGCATATGGATATCATACGAATTTGCCTGTACCCATTTGGCCTGGGTATCTGGTTCCTTCAATCTGGAAAATGTCTTGGCCTTATCAAAACGAAACAGATATGACCACACGCACAAACACACACACATACACAAATTCATGGTAAATGTGTGTGTGTATGCACATTGTCATGGTAATCAAAAAGCTTTGGTCCACTATTTGTGCGTCATTTGCAGTGTCTGCTAAGCTTCAAGTGGTCATCAGAAGTTTTTGGCCAGGCAATTTTACTTTAACTTTTGCCGTCCATTTTCGTGGGTGTCCCATTGACCTTAGCACGGCTCTTATACACGTGCTCATCTTGGGATTGGCATTTGCCCTGTTTTATGATTGTTTTCATTCGATTCGATTCGTTTCGTTTGGTTTCGCTTCGATTGTCTGTTTTGCTTAGCGCCCACAAATGATGCCTGCCAATTGTACCATTGACTTTTGCCTCTTGCTCTACCAGCGTTTCTAATGGGACAACTAAGCGCTTTGCTATGCCCCCAAAGATTCCACACACACACACAGGAGATATGAATGTGTGCGTTGCATGCCCCGTGGGGTTAATGAAGTTGTTTGTTTGTTTACCTGTTTTAACATTTCCAGACATCGGCATCGTCGCTGACACAGACACTGTGCTGTAACTGTGCTTGGCATTACCAGATATGCGAACATGGTCATAATTATCAGCTTGTCAACTTATATTAATTTAGAAAATGTGTTGTGTATTTCATTTAATATTTGCCATTATTATTTACTAATAGTAATGTGCCAACGTGCCGTATGAGTGATAAGGAATATTCAAAATTGATATTATTTGTTCAAAATAAATAATGGCGCCTTTAATAGTGTTAAAATTCGATAAGAAAAGTTATTCATTTATAATTATTATCTTGTTTTTGTATGATAGCTAAATGTACTACTTGGCCGAACTAAATGTGCTCTTGGTAAAACTCTTAAAGTTTAAATATCATAAGCTACAAGGATGCTTTCCACTCCATCACTTGTCTGGATTTCAAGCCATAGATCTTCATCGCCGCTGTTGGCGGAATCTTTGACTTTGGCACAGGCGCTAACTTTTTTTCTTTTTTTGCCTTTAGACACATGCAACGACATCCACCAGGTGGATGCCAACGAGCCCAGACACCCAATACAGACAATTCAATTAAACTGCAGAAACTGTCTGGGCATGTCACAGCCCAGTGTCTATTTGTGTGCTATGTGGGTATGTATGTGGCTGTGTAGAACTGTGTGTGTGTGTGTGTGTGTATGTGTCTGCCTGTGTGTGGTCTGCATGGGCCATGTAAACGTGACTATGACTGCGGCGGCTGCTGCTATTCGTTGTTCACTGCTCTTTGTTAAAAGTGGTTTGGCTCTGAGTTCCGCACACTAACTGTCGATTGACACATTTTCACTTTGGCAATATTCTTTGTACAACGATTCTTGGCGCAAGGTGCAGCTATCTTGTGGCAGTTGAATTCGAAGCACTGACGCGTGTTGCACGTAGTAGTTGGCCATGATTTACGCGCACTTCGTGTTGTTTAATTATCGTTTAATTGTTGTAAAGTTTTTGATTTACGATTTAATTGCAAGAACAAGTGCTGCAAATGCAGCCATGCAACAGCAGCAGCAACCATCCACTTTCATGAGCCATAAAACGAATGCGGCACTTGCAGCAACTCGCCGCGACAACGATTCAAACAATGATTTATGGCCGCCGCCAACATTGATGACTATGATGGAACGTGCAAAGACATCGTCTGTGTCAACTGCACCACCAACCGCTGGTGTCGCTCTGCCACCATCAACCAAAGTGGTGCGCTTACTGAGCCGACCCAAGCGATATCTCAGCTTTCCCGAGGGCTCCTCGTTCACCGTATGTGTCACTGTCAGCGTTAAAACTGAATAACATATCTGATTTCGTGCACATTTTCAATGATCAGGTTGCTGTGTGCTTCACTGTGGGCATCATCGGTAATCCCAACTATGCATACAATGCTTTCGGCCTCAATTGGGGAGTTGCATACGATCTGCCCAATAACACGTGGGTCCTGCAGAGTTTGCATGGCTTCTCCCAGCATCCGATTTCAGTTGCATTTTTACGCCGTCGCACCAGAAGCGCTATCTATCAGGATATTGAAGCTATTGTTGACAAGTAATTTGTATTACTATACACCAATAATCTTATATCATTATCTTTTTTAGACATAATAAATATTATTTTATTTACTTATCATATTATCATGTAAAAATGTATATAAGTTCTTTTATTGCTTAAAGAAATTTTAATGACAATTTTCTTGAGCTAGACGATAACTCAAAACATATTATGTTTCGTTTTTTGAAAACTTTGTTAACCTTTCCAACAATTGTTTTAATATTTTTACTAATATTAATAATATTCATTCTTTAGACATAACATAATTGAGTAAAATTCAATACATAATTGGCTTACAGTCCTAACAATCCTAATTGAACATTTCAGCATGAACCATTTATCATAGAATAAAAAGTTCATTGCAAAGCGCTCTTCAAACCCCAACAATGCTGCAGATTGTACTTGTTACAAACTTGAGTGTGAAAATTATATGTGCAGCTTTAGTCAACATATTCTCAGAAAGATTTATCTACTTACAGCATGGGCTACAATGGACGCGATTGCGTTTTACGGACACTCTGCGAGAGTCGTCAGTACTTTCAGCGCAACAAGATGAACATGGTGGGGGAAATGCTGCGCACAATTTTCAGGTAAGCCCAAATAACAAAAAAGAGAGTTTAATAATAAAGAGTAACTACTTGACTTAATTCCCTTCCCCTTCCCCATTCCTTTTTTTTTGTGTTTCTTGCAGTCTGCCCAAGCAACGAATTTTCAAACGAGAGCTGGAGGAAAATTCGGACATTCTACACTATGATAATGCCTATAGACATGCTCATAATTTTGATTGTGCCCGGCACTACGACTGTCAGTTTTCACTGCTCGAGCTGGCCTTTGGAAAGTACTCGACGCCGCCGAAAAATTATTATGCCCAATAAATTTGTCGTACCAAAATTGTCTTATGAAATTGTTTTAATGGCCGTTTACCTATCAGTCCCATTACGCGGCGCACCCCGCTCACTTGTTGCCAACAGGTTATAAATGGCGATTCATTTTTCTCGACTTCCCCTTACCCACCCCAATCAGCTTTCATGCACCCCATTGTGCCCAATCAGTGGCATGTCGAGAGGCGTTGTCCGCCTCTGAGAGTGGAACTGGAGCTGAACGAGGTTGAATGAGCCTGACTGTGGCTGACGGATGTGTGTCAGTTATCCGTTGCCGTCTGGCGCCTCGACCTGCACAAAAGCCCGAACAATATTTAATTGAAAAGAAATACATATAGAACAAGAAGCAACAACAACGAAAAACATTTGGCCAAGTTTTCCAAATTTAATTCAATCAACAAGCCCGGAAAATTGCTTAACATGACAGTTGAGTGAAAATTGAGTGGAGCATTTAAGCGCTGCAAAACTTTTGGTTCACATAGCCAACGAACAATACTAGCACAAAATATCCCAGGGCTGACATACAACTCATTTTTCGAAATTCCTACAAATACATTTTGATTTAAGATAAAAAAAAGCAGCGCTGTGGAAACATTGTTGGATAATACTTTTTTATAACTTACATTTTCAAACGAGTCATTTTTTAAAACTCATTTTCAATCTATAGAAGCCCTGAAATGCACGAACATAAATCGTCTAATAAACTGTGCAGCTGAGCCAGGACAATTTAATGATGTGTGGCTTTATTGAGCAATAATACATGTGTACAGAAAACTCTTATTTATCGGGAATGCTCTAAATGATTTATCAATATATTGTTGTCATTGTAAATGGGAAAACAAAAGAACATGTGCTCAAACTTATTTTGAGTAAACAACTATTTATATGAAGATACATTTAGTAATTGAGAGTTGAAGACAGTAATAAAATATAAATATAAATCTACATGTTTTGGTTTTATCACGATATTTCTAGTGAAAACATTTATTTAATTTCAGTTCAATTTATTTGGGCAACCAAGTAATTAGAGTCCATTTTGTTAAGATGGATTGATGTACCTATCCATATATATTGATAGCTTAAATCCATACAAAATAATATTCCTATATTCTTTGCTTAAATGTACCAAGGAAGGTAAAAGGAGCATGGTCTTTAATCTACTTAATATCTCGAATATTTAGTCTTCTTATGGAAAGTAATACAGCATGCGTGAAATATAAAAATATGAATTTACACTTCCTTCTAAAATAAACAGGTTGCATAGTCCTCAAATGTATATTAGATGAAGAATTTACCCAATGCTTTCACTACTAAAACGTCACTAAGCCAGAACGTCAGATTTGGATCAATTAGTGAGGCAAAGTTTCACCCTAGCCAAGCTCTATTCAAATTTCACATCTACTTCGTGACTGTGCCCACGATTCGCTTGGTAAATTCTTCATGTCAACACGAATCAGCACGAATAGAAGCGTCATGAATGATAGATAAAAAGTGTTAACAAGTCGGCGTCATGTTCGGCTCTCTTATTCTAAAGACAGCCGGCAGGAAAATAGAAATGGAGACGGAACGAAACACATACAAATGTAAAAATACAAATAGAATAGAAATAGAGACATGCGGTGTCACAGAACCGAACAAAGCGATATATAAGAAAATAAGCAACAACAAAAATAAAGACAACAACAAACAGCAGAGGACAACGACTTCTCAGCTGGTTGCTTTTATTTGTTTCATTGTTTGTCTGTTTGCCATAACTGGGCCCAAGTTGGGGGACTGGTCCATACCGGTATTTATGTCAAATAGATTAAATGTACCAGCCATATCAGTCACCGGGAAAAACTGGACCGAAACGCGTCGCACAAGTAAAGCGAAGTCACAGCGAGTCGGTAGCTGTAAGCGCTTAAGACGATGTGAGCAATAATTGGTGTAAAATTACTAAAGAAGTTTGTGGAAAGTGAAGCTCATTGTAATATATTTATGATGATGTCGACGGCCAGTGAATCAATTAGTGCTAGATTTGATAGACACAAATACCAAAGCAGTTACTCCTTGATTTGCCTGTCAGCACGCCCATCAGCATCAACGTTGATGCGACTGTTGCTGATACTGCTTCTGTTTTGGATGTGCTTAACTGTCGTTCAAAGTACTGACAATTTCGATGCGGTTGCTGATGCTGGGCCTGCCCCCAGTTCCCTTCCCATTCTCATTCCCAGTTTCAGTCACAACACACACATCGACACCCACAGCCATTACAACAATAGCAACAGCTTTGACATGCATTATGACAATTTCACCGAACTGGCAGCTCACAATGATACAAGGATACTGCGACGAGGGAAACGCTACCTGGAATTTAGCAAGGGGTCGCGTATGTCGGTAGGTTGTCCACAGTTTATGTATTGTAGGCCCTATTTTTTATATTTACATATTTACATTGTTCCTTCAGTGGCGTACAAATGGCAAGAACACTATCCTCAAAATCAATACACTCTTCGCCTATGGTTATGGCTTTCGTGCCAATTATCCGTTTCCTGACGCGAAGGATCAGCGTAAGAGCAACCGCGTCTTTTTCAAACGCGATTTGTTTTCCAAACTGGAAACGGCTTTAGACGGGTAAGTCCTATATATCCCTTATGGATTAGTTTAATGTCCCATTCCCGTTCCGTTCACTTAGACATGGCTTTGATGGACGTGCCTGTTTGTTGAAATCATTCTGTACGGCTATTTTGGATGTGGATAAGCCCCAGCAGAAGAGCGGAATGCTGTTCAAGTTGCTTAAACTAATATTTAGGTGAGTATATACTAAAAATTTATTTTTTTTAATAATTGCATTAAATAGCATTTTAAAATCATTGCCAAACATTGCCCTTTCTCTTTAAAATTCAAATTTTCCTCGTGTAATTATTAAATGTACTTGTAAAATCCTAGATGATAAGCAGATTTTCAGAAGTTGAAGTTCCCATCTATGCTAGAAATCGTGATCTCTAAATATTTACCACATTCTTCAAGTATTATGCTGTGTGCCAACTAAACCTTTGAATTGGTTCACTAAGAGTAATTAGCAGGCCAAAAGTATAGTGCTACAAGCCCAGCTAGTTTGATTTCACCAAGTATCCCGAGCACTTGGCCCAATTACAATTGCAAGAACACATGTCACTGGAGTTTCTGTTCAGCTACACGGATGCAACCGCAACAATGGAGCCCCCTTCAGGCTTCTCAGTTGTTAACTGCTGCTGTGGTTAGGCACTGGCTATGAAGCAGAATGGAACGCAACGTTTTCTGGACATAATCGAGACAGCCAGCATTTGTGTGGATAACTGTTGAGAGGCAGTAGCTTCACATGCCACTGTGCTTAGCGCAGCTGACGCATTTGTATATCCTGACTGGGTAAAAGGGTTAAAAGGTTCCCATGAAGTTTTGCAAAAGTATATAATATACAACGTAAGATTCTGCCGATTATAAAGTAGATTCATAAGCTAGCAAATGGGCTCAAGGATTGAAAACGTTTTAATGGTTAAGGGGTGAGCTGAAGACCTATTACAAAGCGTTAGATGCGAATCATAGTCCAGACTTCGTGTTAAATATATTAAAGTATGTGTGAGACCTCAATTGCTTTATTTGACTTTTCTTTAATAGCCTCGAGGATCACGAGAAACATCATATGCCCTATTTGAGAGAAGAGAACTGCCAGCAGATCTTACACAGCCACTGTCCGCTGAGCTTTGACAGCATTTCACCATATACTGATGATGTCTGAATGATATTTTATCTTGAGTGAACAATAAACGGAAACTGGCAATAGAAGAAACTTTTTAATTAAAACTTTTTTTATATATACTACAATAAAACTTGCGATTGAGATAACAAAAAAACGTGTTATAATATGTTAATAAATTTTAATACTTGTAAGTAGATTTTAACAGTATATACACTGCAAGCACTTTTTATTAATTCTCCATTAATTAATGATAGTTTTTTTTGCTGATGTTGTGTTTGGTATTGTCAGAGTTTTGTTATTTATAATTAAGCTGTGTCATTTGCAGGTGACCTCTGTTTTAATTGCAGCACAGGCAACATGCATATAATTGGCATTTTTATTAAACAGTAGAGCAAAACAGAAAACCAAGATGAGAAAAAATTATAGCATACTTTTTTTTTGCCTGCGCTCAATGTTGACCTCATTGCATGACAAAAGTTGCAGTCGCTGTTGGTGTTGTTGTGGCTGCTGTTGTTGTTGCTGCTGCTGCTGCTGCTGCTTAATGTCACCAGCATGAAATGCCAAGTGTTGTTAAAATGTTTGCGAGCGGCTTTGAGGCAGTTGGCATGCTCATGCCCGCAGACCTGTCGTCCACGCCCAGCATTAAAAATTAACTTTAATTAAGTTGAAAACATAAATTACACGCACACAAACACCACACACACACTCATACACATGCAGGCATTTTGTTGTAATTGTATAATTGCTCTTGCAGTTAATGCAGTTGTTGTTGTTGTTGTTGTTGCACTGTTCAAGTTTGTTGCGCATACGGAGACCTTTCGCTTCTGAGTGGTGGGGGACACTTTCCCACAGGCACTGTGGTACGCACCCACACACTCACATATGCAACCTCAATCAAGTAATAATTGTACTTGCTGTTTGAGAAATTGCAGCAGCTGCAGAGAACCAAACCCACATGCAATTCAAATTTCAATTCCAGTTGCATTCCCATTCTCATTCCAATTCCATGTTACACATTTTGCCGTCAACTGACAGCTCAAACTTTTATAATATTTGCTTGCTTGTTTGTTCTTGTCTTTTTTTGCCTGGTTCCTGTTTAATTTGTATACCCTGTACAAACAAACCATATCGCGGAAAAAGGATTTAGAAAAGTTAAAAATAGTGGCATAGAATTAATTGACCAATTTAAATATGAAAATGTATAGCTCTAAACTATCAACTATATGAACAGAACTCTGTTTTTAGTGATATACATTTTTATTTAATATTCAAATACAGGGAATCAAAAAGCTTTTAACTTGTTTCACCACTTGTTTCATCTAATCATATTTTTTAAAGCAATTAAAATTAATTTGAAGGCACTCTAAATATTTGAATATTCTCATTGCTAGTGTCATTTTTGTGGCAAATAACTATGAGTTGAAAGCGATTCACATAATTAATTTAATATCTATACAAAATATGTAATAAAAGTGGATCTGGATATGACACGGCGATTAAGGTTTATTTTAAATATTCAATGCACACCTGGAATTGTGAAAAGATAGTATGCTTAAGATATGGTTTGAAAATACTTTTTTTCTTTAGGCATTGCTTTTTGAAGGGCTTATATCTTTTATTATTGAGACGGATCTAACGATACATTTTAACCTGACACATTGACTTGAAGAAAGCATAAAAACTGAGGATAAATCTAGCAAAAATATATATACCTTTTGGGATATGCTTCTATTACATAGTCTCCATAAAATTGAAAAGCAATGATTTACGATTTAGATTAATAGATCTAAAATGTTCAATTAAATAAATAATAAGCAATTAAAAATCTGTTAAAATGTGAAATTAAATTCGAATTACTTATTTTCTTTTTAATAGTTCCATCGTCCTTGCGGACTGTTTTATTTGTCTTGTCGGTCAGATTGTATGGCCCCAAATAAAACGTAAGCTTAACGCACCCGGATGCACACCTACGACAATTTACTGGCTTTCAAAGGAACAAGAATATTAAATTCACAGCCAGTTCCACAACACCACAACACGGCAAGTGGCAAACAGGTCCTGATCTGGTTGTATTTATTCATTAATCGCCGTCTGTGTTGCAAATTGATTTGATACGTTGTCAATTAAAATGCGCAATTAATTGAATTTAGTTTGCCTCACTCATTATCGAGCAATTGGAGCGAGCAAGCAAACAAATGGCAGTGCATTGATATTGCCTGCAAGCTGTGTATATATACGACTATACCTTCTAGCCGGAGGGGGCGGGGAGCAGCAGACGGTGGGTACTAATGAGCTCAGTTAGCCAATTGGGTTTGCGGCTATACTATGCATGCATGTGCAAATTAAGCTGCCTATAATATCACACTGAGTGTATTCGCAATTAGTCAAATGATAGTTAGCACACTCACAATACTGGCCACTTCCATAGTGTCAGTTTCTGCAATTCAAATACTTAAGCAATGAGAAATGAGCAAAAGTCGGTAAATGTGCATTAGAAGAAAAACTTTCTCACTTCTATCTTCAAATATGAGAATGATTTTGATATAAATCGCAGCCTTAGGTATTATTAATTTATAATGATTTCGATTTTTATTCATGTAAACTAAATTTGATATATGATATAATTTCAATATTTATTTCAATTGAACCATTGAATAAAACATAGCTTATAGCATATATAATTGTTTATTTCTTAAAGTTCTATGGCACTTCTATTTGAATCATTATTTTTGTTAAAACGTATATGCCTCAGATTCATTATGAAATACCAAGCTGAGGAGCTGCAATGGTTCGTTCTCTAAATTAGTTCAAGGATTAGTGTAATAAAACTAACGTGCTAAGGATTTTCTCAGCCCTTCTGTTGACATTGTGTGTGGGTGGTCAGGGAGCTGGCTTGAGGCATAAGGCATGAGGCATGAGGCTCGAGGGCATGTCGCAATTTCCCAATTAGCTACTCATTGAGATAAATTTCTTATGCAAATGATGACAAGGCCAAGCAATAGCAGCAGCAGCAGCAGTTGTTAAGGCGAGCGCTGAAGTGGCATCGACATCTTCAGTCGCTGTCGTCATAGTCAACACATCCCTCGCTGGGAGTTGAGGACCCTGCTAACCTGTACCAGCGACAAAGACTATTCTCAAGCTGAATGACATTGAGTGACTTGCGCCACGCCGCTGGCTCACTCTCTCTAATTAGCTGCTGACATTTGCCTGCTGCTAACAACACAGCAAAAACAAAAACATCAACAAACAACACACAGAAAAACATCGCGAATTTGACATAATTAAAACACCGGCGACTGACAGAAGCAGCACCAAAATGAAATGCGAGTCAAGTTTACAGTCCCAATCTCAATCGCAGTCAGAGTCACAGTCACACTCAACGTCACCGGCGCCGTCCTCAAGTCTCAGTTACTTTTACGCTCCATTTTAATAAAATAAAACGCAAACATTTCGCTAATTTCTTTTGAGAGCTTTACCCAAGGCGCTAATCCGTTTCATCAACTGTGCCATATTTCTCTACAAGATTATGATGAAATACCGTTAACCAGCGCAGTTCATTGAACGCCCCAGTTCTAAGTAGGGTTTCTATCTAACACCTAGGTGTCAATTTGAAGCGCTTTCAAGTCTAACCCAGTTCATTGGACTTGAAAATGGAGCTGCTAATTGATGGCACATGCTTTCAGAGCTTCAGAGCGTGCATAGGCAATGGTTTACTTTAAGCATACAACGAACTACTGTTACATTTTCCTATAATTTTTTATTTATTATTGTTACCTTGATTAAAAGCCAATCTTTAAACTTATTAGTATTTAATTTGGCTTACCTTTATTTAAAGTTCGAGCTTTAAGTTTATTCGCTTTATAAGGAAAGTGCAAGCAAGCTAATATAAATTTATTGATTTCAAATATGTTTGCTTAAAATAGGAAATTATTGCGAAAAAAAATATTTTTAAAAATTAAAAAATTAAAAAAAAATTTTAAAAAAAAAAGGGGGAGAAGGAAAAATTTTTTTTTTTTTTTTTTTTTTTATTAAATTTTTTATATTGAATTTTTAGTGCATACACAATCAAGCCCTTAATATTACAACAGAAACACACAAATATACGTTATACATAAATCTATTTATTTTATTCAATCAGCGCTCACAGACAATTGATTCGATTAAGCTTTGATATTCTAAAGGGTTATGCACAGAAACAATGATTACAAAGTTTTCTCTTCAAAACTCGAAATTCGAACTAATTTCTAACAATTGTGTTATCTACGCGAGGAATGCGCCTCAAAGAGCACATAAAATACAATGTTCACACAGCACACAAACACAAGAATACACATAGAGAAAGGCACAGCTGACACCCGACATGTAAATGGCTCATACGCATTGAGGGCAGCACCCGCTCCAACAAATTGCAACAAAAACAACAAAAGCAATGGCGCTTATTAAAGTTTGACTTGTACTTTTTGGTAGGGTGTCGAGTGTCTAAGGTGTGGCATGTGGCATGCAAAAGTTGTTGCAATCCAAAAACTAAACGTAGTTTTTGTACGCCATGTGCGATAATTGGGAACAATAGAAGAAATTAGTTTCAGAATGAGAACTGGAATTGGGGAATGGGAATGGGGCATGTTTAGTGTTTCCGCATTTGACTGCAATATTGTATTTTGGGACAGTGTATGTGTGTGTTTGTGTGTGTGTTTTTGCATACACCCCTTTCTGGGAAACCCTCTTCAAATGCAAGGCTCCTCCCCCAGCTTGTATACGTTTGCTTGCCGACGACATTCACGTCTCGGTGAGATGCCTGCGGGCATTATGTGCGATTTTATGCGCTTAGTTCCGGGGGAACTAACTAGCCACCGTTCGTGAACCACTGCTATGCAAAACAGCAGCAGCAGCACCCACTGCTGCCCAACCCATTTCCCATTGCTAATTTACATTTGACAAATGTTTCGCATGCTTGCATGAAAATTTTTGCCACTGCTGCGACTGCGACTGCGACTGCTTGTTCGTTAGTTTCTGAGTACCAGCAGCAACTAATACAAACATTTACAACAAATGTAACCCGCAGCGGCGCAATGTGTTTTGTTTGCTGCATTTGTTTTCATTTGGTTGCAATGCTAGCATTGTTTACAGTTCAACTTGCTAAAAATTAACGAAAGAAAAAAAAGGAAAAACACTAAACGCACACCAAAAGCAACTGAAAATTTGCTTAAATTTAAATTTATGTGGGTTTGTGTGTGTGTGTAGAAAACTGAGGAGAAATTACATGTGTGATAATTGCCGTTGGTGGCAAGTTGAACGGAGGTGCTGCTTGTGTCTGTGTGTGTTTGCCATCCAATGCGAACATATGAATTGCAGTATGCATAGGTCTTCAATTTTCCTGCAGCACCAAAAAGTTTACTTTCAAACTGGGTAATCCCAGCTGGTGTATTCAAGAGTTTACCTTAACGCCAGGTAATTTTACGCAGCAACTTTCAATATTTGTTCAAGACTCAGATCGGATTTTGATTCCTACAAGACAACTTCTAAACTACAAATTTCAGTTAAATATATATTTTTGGAATAGACAGTATAATTTAAGCAAGGAAGAACAATGAAAACAGGAATTATAATAATTTACTTCAATTAAGCTTTCCAAAAATCGTTGCTTGAATCGTTGTTAGATTTTAAAAATATGAAAACAAAATTTAATAAAAAAAATATATATATTTGATAATAATGTTTGAATCATTGTTAGATTTTAAAATAATGTAAACAAAATATATTTTAAAAAAATATATATTCCGAATATACAGCAAATTTTGGATTGCATTCAGAACAATTTGTGAAAAGAAGAAATGGCAAATCTAATATAAAAGTCATATAAATTGATAAGCTAATTTAAAAGTAATTAATAAAAGCATAAAAATATTAACATAATGCGACTGGCTCAGATATACTTTTGCATTTGTAACATTTAAAACATTTGACCTGGGGCCAGCGAAAAACAAATTTAAATTTCAGTTTATTTAAATTAAATATAAAATTCCTAGATATTATACGAATTTTTGCATAATATTGATTTTTTTTTTTAAATTCTAAAGTTTTTTTGTATTATTGTAGTCCATGAATTTCTTATACTAAAAAAATAAACTTAGAAATTCGAGATTCGACATATTTTATGAAGTACGTAAGCTATCAATGCCGAATAAATCCGAATTTGGCTGATGCTCCATGAATAAATACTAAGCATGCCTGAGCGCACTGGAATATATCTCTCTACAGCATTGGTCATTAGAGCGTTATCGAACAGAGGAGAGCGCATTTTGCACCTTTAAATACCTCTTTAAGCGACACAAAAACGAGTTAACGATACTCAATTGGGTGCTAATTGTACAATTAAACTTTGCTGACACCAACCCAAAGAGCCACCAACCGCAGAGTCGCCACAATGTCGGACACTATGCGCGCTTGTCCGTCGTATCAGTTCAGCTCTGACAGCTAATGGCATCAACGAAAAAAAAAAATATTATCGAAAAAAAAAGAAAATATCTGAAAATTCGATCCGTGCGCAAGTCGTCGCCTCTAATTGTAATTATCTGCATCATACATTTTGTGTCCAATTGCCCTCGAGGTATTGAAAATGGACGCATTTTAATTGTGGACACGATGCCAGCTTTTGCCCACCTCTCAAAATGTAACTCTGCACTCATTGTTAGCTGTTGAAAACTGCATTAATTTAACGCATGATTGACAATTCCAGTAAATGGCATGAATCGCGTCGTGTCGTCACTAAATTGAAAATATGCAAATTGTGACAGAATGTGTGTGGTGTGTGTGTGCGTGTGTGTGTGCGTGTGTGTGTGCGTGTGTGTGTGCGTACATGCGTGTGTGAACAAGGCAACCGAAAATTTGGCGTCTCATTTAAAGGATTGAGAGCGAAAATAATTAATCAATATGTGTACAATTGCAGAATTTGCTCCCTCGTGCTAAAATTTAACATGAAGTTTGCTCTTCTTAGCAACATTTGCGTTTTATCCCCACTGTTTTAGGGCCCCTGACTAAATTTGTGGATTCATAAAAATGTAATATATTAAACATATGCATGTGTACACATATATCACATGTATTTAAGGTAGGAAGTAGGTTGTACATTTAAAAATATTACAAAGTTAACCAAAAATCGTTTTCTAGTTTTGAAAGACACAGATTATGGGCTCCTGTTTAAAAAAGTTACAATATTGACTTGAGTATTTTATTTATTTTTTGTAAGCTGACAATTGGAATTTATAATTTATTTTATTATGTTTGATTTTTATTTTCATTTAAATTTCATTACAAGCAGCTGTCGTACGCTATGATTATCATGCTGACCCTTTTTTTTAAGTGACGTCGAACAATGGTTAAAACAATTATAATTGTGATTGGATGTGCGATGGGCATTACCATGTTACTGCTGCTAAGTCAGAGTAAAAGAATACTGAGCAATCCAATAAGCATGAATGAATCATATAAGTTGAGGACATCTGCTGCACCAGGTGATTTAATGCCACACCCAATAAATTCATCGCGCGAACAGCTTTTGTTGCTGCATCGTCAGAAGCGGTATCTGGAGTTTCCCGAGGGCAGCTCATTACAGTTGGTCTTCGATTTAATCATACCCATTGTGGACTACACCAATTTCGCAATTCTTGGCATCACATGTGCCGTCGCCTGGGAGCTGCCCAGCAAGCCGCCCAGTGAAATTTTGGAGAACCTGCGCACCCGCCTAAACGATGGCACCCTGGGCACGGTGAGGCGCAACGGCAGCGTTCCGAACAACGGGGACAGCATCATCCAAGCTGCCACTAATTGGCAGGCAATGCACACACAACCATCATCGACATCAGCATCAGCTGCGACATATGGATCCAATGCACACAGTTATGCGTACTATTCGAATGTCCAGAGGGAACCGAGCACTTACGCTTATGCAAATTCGCCTAATGGACAACAGCATGGAGGGAGGCCGACTAATTGGCATGCGCGACAGTCAATACCAAAGTTACCACAGTGGGCAGAGACTCCTCCTGTTACCCCCGTTTCATCAGTGCCACAGCCAGTACGTGGCAATGCTCACAACTGGTCAGACAATTGGTGGCAGCGCAATAAAGAGCGAGTCCAGCTAAATTGGCGTGAAAAGCAGCAACAGTGGAGCACCTATGAGCAACCAGCTAAGCGGTATGTTTCAAATACAAATAATTTATTTCAGTGTCAAGAAACTACTTTGAATTATCCAAAATAATTGGAAACTGTTTTGGTCAACACCTTTCTTAAATTATGAATCTTAAAATTTGGTAAATATTAATGATAAAAAAAATGTTCTTAGTATCCTTAAACTGTTTTGAGAAACTTTCCTACTATCTACTAAATAGAATCTATGTGTTTTCATTTTAAGAAGTATTATTAAATTATTATTACAACTTCTTAAATTCACTTGCAACGGAAATATATTTATAAAAAATATTGGGTTTTTTGGCTTTGTAAGTATGAAAGTATATTTTGCATATTTGAGTCGGAGGTATAGAAGAAGTTGAAAAAAATTTCTTGGTTTTATATTCCAAAATATTTCCGATATAAACCGATTCTAACCGCAGTTTTATTCTTCATTTAAATCTCAGTAAGCAATACAACAGCTATAGTTACCCACAGCGGCCACAAGAGATGCTGCAGAATCCGCCGAAGCACCACGTTTATCCTGTATTTGGCAAAAAACGACGTCGACGACGACGAGACGTGGAGGGATACCAGACGGATGATGACGTCATCGAGCAGATGCATTTGCGATCACATCTAAGCTCAAGAGCTCTTCTTTTTGGCAAGATCGAACGCTTGTACAAGTCGTAAGTGGCGTAGTGTCCAACACGTTGCAGCATTGACCCACTGTCCTTATGTGCTTTACACAGGCGTCAGCTGAATGGCACCGCCTGCATTCAGCTGGCACTTTGCGAATCGGCACAGCGTCAAGAGCGTATGGAGAGGGGATTGGGGGCAGCAGCTGAGCCGCAGAGCTTTATTATGGAGCTGCTTTCTGCCATTTTTCAATTGCCCGGTAGCAATGAGGCTGGTGATTTGTTGGAGCACATCTCACCACATTATCTGGAAGCGCATCAGAAGCGTGGCAACTGTCGTCAAATTTACAGTGATTGCAATCACACATTTTGGTTGGAATGAAGAAAGAGTGTATAAATATTTTATAATGTTCAATTTAATTTTAATTGCCATCTTATTTTGTATTTTGAGACAAAAAACAAACAATATAAGTCTGATAATATCTTGTTAAATTTTGATTAAATAAAGGAAAAACTAAGACAATAGATCAGTAGCAAGACTGTATTGAGATAGAGACATCATTCGAAAATGCAGAATTTTTTTGTTTAGTATTAAGCTATTCAGATATATTTGTGTCGTACTATTTTTGTATTTATTAAATCCATAGTTATAAATTTTTAGCATTGCCTTAATTCAAATTGGCTGCTGACAACTATGGACAACAATGTCATACAAAATGCGAAAATTTAGAAATATTTCGGCTTAAAATATTTGTTAAATGTATTATTATCAAGTAAATGGATATATATTTTTAAAATAAATAAATAATTTACCATTCTAATTACATGACTTAAAAAACGACTGCTCAATATTCTGTACAATTCCAATTGGGTATGTGTAAAAAAATCCCTCACGCACTCCGCAAAATAAGCTATCCTGTTGAAACTGTGTGAGATGCTCGGTAAATCGTTTGTCTTAAGCAAACTCAAAGCATTTGACTAAGGGTTTTCAAAGCCCTTATGTAGTTAAGTTTTGCCTCTTAATTGAGCGCTAAATAATGTAGAATGTATGTCATCCTGTTACTCAGTGTATCACCAGAAAAATATGTATATTTAGCGCATTTGACTTAGTCATGTGCCATATACAATACAAATAGCTGAATAGCCAATAAGGTTTATCTTAAGAACGTGCCAGTTTTGTTCAGCAAAGTTGGCAGCGTGAAAGTGTAATTTGAGCCTTTAAATAGACCAATGAATACACGAAACAAAAACCAAACGAAAGACAAACTGCTTGTCAGAACAAAACGGAGCGCAATATAAAGATAGAAAAAATTGTGCAGTGTGGCATAGGCGACTAGCCAAGTGCCCCAGCAGATGTAAAGTTTAAAGTACCATTTGTGTTAACTGGTGTATAATAAAAGATTGACATTATATTTTATAGAAGGCTATAAGCCACATGCATTCAATGTGTAAATTTACATGTTAATCAAATAACTAATTATAAAAATAAAAATAATTAACACCACGTAATTGGTTATATCAAACAATTAAAATACTGTTTAACAAATTAACAATGAAAAAATTTTGGTTATATTTTTAAACAGTCTCTCTAATAGTCTGATATGCCCCGTGAAGTGCTGTAAAGCCATAGACGAAAAGTGTGAAAACTAATGAAGAATTAACAGAAAAAGTATCACGCAAACATTAAACAAGCGATGCCAAGACAAACTTGTAAAAGTCTTCAGCGACGAGTAGCTGCTCACCAGGAGGAGGATGATGAAGGGAAGTCGCACGGGGGTAAGTAGAACCGAGCGCAATTAACAGCCCGATCAAGAACTAAGCGCAGCTTTTTGTTTTTGCCTTTTGGACGGTTTGGTTTTGGACCAGCACATTGAAAGTCTGACTGGCAGTTTGTGTTTGGAGAACGCGTTCACCGCAAGTGTAGGAAATGTGCATCAACAGCAAAACAAGGCACAAACCCCCAGTTGATTGTTTGCTGATGCTTCCGCTGCCGCTGTCCCTGCCGCTGCCGCTGCTGTTGCTGCTGGTAGTGGGCAGCCTAGATGTTTGCCAAGGAGATGAACTACTGACAACCGGCAAAGGCATTGAGCTGCCAACATTTAGGCCACTGTTGAATGTAGACAATGCTGTTGGTACCGATGGCAGCTCCGATTTTGAGCAACTCATCGAGTCGAAACTTAACGAATCAGCCAGCCAAACAATGCAGACAACTCAAGAGCTGCTGTCGAGGAAGCGACGCTATTTGGTATTTCCGGAGGGCAGCTCCTTTCAAATGGGTATGTCTTGAGTCTCATTCTTGCCCCTTAAGCGAACTCAAATTACTTGCCTCATTTATTTCTGGCTATATAGTTTTCGATGAAATCATTTGCGTTGTGGACTACACCAACTATTTGGTACTGGGCATTACCGTTGCCCTCGCCTATGAATTACCCAGTAAACCGCCAAGCGAAGCGCTCGAGGATCTATTACTCAAGCTAGAAGAGGGCACCATAGACGTTAGTCGCAATGACACTGCGTCCAACATAACGTATGTGGATGAAGCCAATAAGCCGGCAGCCAACAACAATAATAACAATAACAATAACGGCTATAAGCCCAACTACATCAATTTGTCAAATACTGGGGGAGTTGTTGGAGACAATAGTGGCACCTATAATTCTTACTACAGCAGTTCACCGGTGTTTCGCACACCCATGCATCCAACGTATCAGCATGTGGACAACTACTATAGACGACCCATTATTCCGGCCAGACGCAAGGACAGTCACTACTATGTCAACAGTAGACCGATGGGCAGCACTCGGAATCCCTTCCAGAAATACAGGCAGCGTTGGAGTCAGGCACACAACACACGCTATCCCTACTGGGCATTGGGTTCGCAGTAAGTAAATAAAAAATCAACCAGAAATTTAGAAACTTAGATATTTGTTGATATATTGTTTCACATAGTTTAAGGAACACACTGCACCAGCGGCATAACTATTATAGTCCAGCCAAGAAGCAAATTCAGCACAACAGCTACTACAGACCAGCCCCACCCAAATCGAAATCGGAGCAACCGCGCCATCATAAAATCTATCCGGTGTTTGGCAAACGCAGCATCCCAGATGCAGAAATTCCCCATCATCGTCACAGACGCAGCGGAGTCGCCAGTGTGCCAGATGCAGATCTAACCAATATGGAGGGCATACAGATCAAGTATCATCGCAACAGTCGCCAAAAGTTGTATGAGCGAATCGAAAAGTATTTGGATAAGTGAGTTGTTACAATTTTGACATTTATCCTAAGATAAGCCCAACGCAATTATTCTCAATTCTCAGAAATGGGACTTTAAAAATTACATATCATTGTTTCTGTACCTTACAGACGTGGTCACAATGGTCATCAGTGTGTGCTACGCACTCTTTGCGAAACCGGACAAAAATCAAATGAAAAGGAGCCCGGCAGCTTTGTTGGCGAACTGTTGCGTGCTGTATTTACCATACCCGAGGCACTGGACCATGAACCAGTTGCCTATCGAGACACCCGCTACGACAAAGCCCATGCCCATAAGAATGATTGTGCAGTGCTCTTTCCGGAGTGTAAGCATTCCATCTGGGATGCACCATTTATACAATAAAGTATTACCAACTTGAAAAATCAAATTCAGTTTTATTCAATGTCCCCATTTGCCATCCAGCAACCAAGCCAACAGGTTCAATCTGCACTTATCCCGAAACACTCGATCACAATGCTCCGAGTCCATGCGCATAATTCGACTATAGTCGTCTTCCATGCCCGATATGGTAGGCATTCTAAATGGAAGTGTAGTTTTTTAATTATATTTGCTCAAAATGCATATGGAATCACTTACGTAAAGATCAGACGCACTATGTCCTGCAGCATAGAGTAGCCGGGTGGCAGGAGCAAGCGCTTACTATCGCAAATGGCGCGTAGAATGCAGGATTTAGTATCGATGCCGAGGCTGCAATAAAGGAAATAGATGAGGTTGTGTAATACATTTAAGTGAAAATGAAAACGCTTTCTTACAGCTTACTAAAGCCGCCAAATGTGTCAAACAAATGCCGACGATCGCGATGTCCATGGTAATCCCGCCAATCTGTGAAATGTTCCAGATCTGGATAGCTAATAGCTTCATAGGGCGCTATTTCGGGGTCATAAGGCTCATCTTCTTCCTTTGAGTCGACGGACCTGTACCAACGTTTGCCATAGTTGCTCCAATTAGGTGATGGCGTAGTCCACTTACTCCACTTTCCGGGTTGGCTATACTTCTTATAATACGGTCGTGCTGACGTCCAATTCTCGTAACGCTGTCCGTACTTGGACCAATGATGCCACTTTGCCGGATCAACATAGCTCGGCGATTGCGGTCTATAGTCGATGCGTTGGTGTAATCTTATCGGATTAGGTTTCTTAACTGGTGTTGCCTTAAAGCGCCAGTCAGTACCTGCGATCCAAACATAGGTAGGCTCTGTTGGCGTTTTGGGTGCGGGAGTTGTTGTCGTTCTGGGTCGGAAACGTTTTGGATAGACATCCTCACGACTCGAAGGCACTGGGTAGTACAATGCCTGCTCCATGTTCATCGATATACCCTTTGGAAAGCGGGACAGCAGACCTTTACTTATTGAACCAGTAAATTTCAAGTTCGCTCCCTTTGGAAATAACACAAATCTCTTCTGACGAGAGAAAATCCGCTCCACAACATGATTCATCTCAGTCTTGTTGGCCCCTCCAAAGGCAACCAGTACAAATGTCAAAATTCCGAGCCACAAAGACCGCATCGCATGACAGAAGTTGACTGATTGAGATGTCTAAATAAAATCAACTACTGCAGGTAAAATAACGCAATTTACTTAATAATAACTACTGTCAGTTGGGATTGAGTGTAAATTCTTGAACAAATACAATTATCATAGAAGTAAAAAAAATGGAGACACTTTCAAGAATAAGTCAAATAAAATTGAACTGCTAAGCCGAGCAGTTTGTTAATACTATTAGTATATTTTTGTTAAAATGAAATTTTATCAATACCTGAAATAATATCTTGGCAAGTGGAAGGAAGCTGAAATTAAGCCTGACAACGATTAATGAACAATTACTCTAATATATTTATTGTTTTTTATTTAATGCTAAATATTAAAAGTACACAAAAATTCTAAGTTTCTTAAAAATACAATTAGAAAAAAGATTACATTTAATAATTTAGAGTACGAATTACCAAATAAAAACTTACAATTAATAATATGAATGCAACATTATGAAAATCATGATAAGCATGATGAATGCAAATTAAAATATTTTCTGGTGTTACGAATCTCAAACTGGATTTGATAATTCTACATCTTATTATTATTATAATATCATCAAACCATTCCACAAAGCCACAAATAAAAATTATTACGTCGTTACAAAAATTGATCACAACTGCCTATGGAATTTATACGTAAATTATACATAGAAAAAATGAGGCCTTAAATAATATTTTGACATTTGTTGTATTGTTTGTTATTAAGATCCCGCAGAGACCATTTTGACCAGAGATGCGAACTGCTGAGTTTCCTGGTTACTTATATTTTGCGCAGCTCCTTACTATTGCAAGCTACCATTTTGTACCAGGCACATAAGCATATCCACAAGATCAGTAAATTCCAAATAATCCCTAATGAATAGTGCTATTGTTAATTATATTTGGTCGAGTCTACCACTCAACAGCCAGATGAGTAAGTTCATGTTACAATTGCTCTTTAACTCCAAGGCACAAGCATCGGAATCTTTGCTCATGACACGAGTGTAATCATCCTCCAGACCATCAATTCGAGGCATGCTATTATGAAAAGATATTAATAATTAGAAAACGTCAAAGACGCAAAGGTTCTAAAACTTACGTAAAGATCAAGCGCAGCATATCCTGCAGCATGGAATATCCAGGTGGCAGTAAAAGTCGCTTAGAATCACATATTGTACGCAAAATGCAGGCCTTGACATTGATCCCAAAGCTGCAAATGGAGTTTGAAATTAGTTGTAGGCTAATGTAATTATGAATGTTATACGCACTGCGAGCTGAGTCCGTTGAAAAACTGAAATAGCTGTCTTCGATCACGATAGCCATGAAAATGTCGGGATTCGACAACCACATTTCGCCTCGATCTTTGCCAGTTATTATTAATCCATTGGGCTGTCCACTTTGGAGCAGATGTCGTCCATTTGGACCATTTGGTTTCGTTGGAAATTTGCCAACGTTGTTTGTTAGCAATGCTCTGCCATTTTTGTGCCTGATATAAACCATACTTTCCCCATTTCTGCCACTTGTTTGGATTGGCATAGTCGTCAACGGCATCGATTCGTTGTGTCTTTGGTGGATTAGGTCTGGGTCTTGGCTTTGGCTTCGGCGTTGGCAAAGATTGCGCCTTGAAGCGCCAATCGGTGCCGGGTATATAAATAAACGTCGTCTCTGGCTTTGGTGTTGTTGGTTTCTTTGTCAGGAAACGCTTTGGATAGAGATCGTCTCGGGTTCCGGGAATTGGATAATAGGCAGCTTCCTCCAAATTAAAAGTGATGCCACGCGGATAGGTCGAGAGTAGTCCCTTTCCAAAGTTGCATGTGAACTTAAGAAATGAACTCGGTGGAAAGATTATTGCACGCTTTCTGCGACTAAAGACTCGCTCATAGGCTGGTCTCAGTTGAGTCTTCTGTTGGGTCATGAAATCCCCATGGCTGCAACTGAGCAGCACCAAAAATATCAAGATCTTAGCTTGCAGCATTTAAGACCCAGCGAACGTACAGATTGAAATGATTTCAAAGACTTACTTGCATATGGAGTAAGTACTTTCTGTGAACAGATTAATTCAATATTTACGCATTGAGTTGATTGATGTCTTGATTATTATTGACTGTTCTCATAACTTGTATGCCCACTTGGCCTACAGACCCAATTTGGTTACAATTGTTGAGCATATTGATTAACAGGCTGATCAGTTGAGGTATCTGATTCAAACAGAGCAGTTCGCTGGGTTTACACGATGGAACTCATTCGGTTGCCGTCCCAAGTTCTTATAGTGCTTATGAGCTGCAAATATGGTAGCTCCTTACTTTATCCAACATCAACTTCTCTTGGAGTAAGTACAATAACTAATTGATGTTTTATGATATTTTTACAAACCTAAACTTATTATAGGTGATCAGTTTCTTTATAAATGTATTGATAACTTATAAATACTAAACAATAAAAAGACTTTGTTATTATTTACAAGTTTACAAGCATTGTCTTAAAGTAAGTTATGAACTTACATCATTGTAAGTAGTTTTACATATATTCATTTTTGCATTTGATTAATTGTTAGAAATTTTCTTAGAGTTTTGTGTACGTTTAGTTTTAGGATGATTCTTTAAAATTTGTGGCGATTGGTTTTCAGTTTTACCACTTTCTACTTTTAGCTCACGTCATCCATTTCCGTGCCTGTCGCTGAATTTTTCCCGGAACGTCGTATACTAGTCGATTGGTGTTTTGCCATTTCCTACGACTTGCCACACAACTTGAGCTCCTTTTATAGCATACCCATCTGGCCGGGTTTTGCCAACTATAAAACGAAACGCGAGCTGGCCCGTAATGATTATAATGATCGAAAGATCTATGAAAAATATGGCTACAATTCATTGATTCAAACACATCCCAAGGATTTCTCAGCTGGTGAGCTTTATGCGAGCATTGAGGACGCATTGACCTCCTACGGATTTCACGATACCTGCCTATTACGTAGTGTTTGCGAGCTGGCCACGCATCCATTTGATGATCATCATCAGCATATATTAAGCGATATATTGACTTTTATATTGAGGTATGTTTGAATATATACTCAAAGGTTTAATATACGAGTACATCACATATTAAATATTTTTTCCATTTGTAGTCCTACGCAGCACGATGGATTTTTAGAAAGTGAGCAAGTCTATAAAGAGGCCTATGAGCAGGCAGAGCTTGATGGCTTCCTGGGAAAAGATTGCATTAAATTGTATGCGCATTGCAAACACGATATCCTTAGACTTATTAGTAATGTAATTTTCCCACATGCTAAAGAACTTGAATAAAAGAACAAGTAAAGTAACCCATAAAGTGTGTTTCTGTGTTTCATTCTACCTTTTACTTAAATAATATGTTTACTTTCAATCGATTTTATAATTGTCTAGCATAATTACTTTCCGACTTTTGCATATTGCAATATAGTTGCAATTGCCATTAATTCTGGTATTGGAGTTCAATATCCGAGTATGCCTACCAGTCCTAAAAGTTTTCGACAACTTTTGTATTCTCATAGAGAAAATCGTATTGCTCGTTTTTTTGGAAGATATTAAAAATACTCCAACTAAAAGAAGATTGAAATAATTAAGAAGCCTATAATTTTATATATTTATTAAATTTGTATGTTGTTTATAAAAGTTGGAGTCGGATTTTGTCACCTAGTATAAACAGTTAAGTATATCTCACTTTAATAACACTAAAAATGTTACCGAATGTGAAAAATTATTTTTTTTATAATTAGCTACCATTATTATTATTTATATAGCTTGTACGATTTTTTATTTTTTTTATATATTTTTTTTTTGTTGTGTATTTCTTTTTTAATAAGATTTGTTCATGCATTTTTATCCTGGTGAGAAAAGCTTTGGTTCGAATGTTTCCGATTACTTTATTAAACAAAGTAGTTGCCAAAATTTCTATCGAATGTGAAAAGTCTTTGGTAAGATTTATATACTTATTAATATAGTTTATAATGTTATTTGATGCTTTTCTCAAACTTTTGTATCATACAATACCAAAAGCAAAACATTGACTGCATGAGAGGCCTTCCATAAACATTTAATGGATTTAATTTTTGCAGTTATTTTTTTACGAACGCGTTTCTTCACATCTTGCTAACGTATTTGACTTAATGGCCTGCAAATTTGCATGAATATAAAATTGATTTGCATAGATGTATTGGAGACCGTTCATACACTATATATACTATTCATAAAAGAATCGTTGTTCGCAGCTTCAGCTATCAAAAACGAGGTGAGCACATAATATCTAAATATAATTCATAAGCAAGAAATAAAATTTGTATTAGTCGTATCAAGGAAATCTATTATTGTAATCCTATAAGATGGCAAAACCACTGCTAAACTATATAGAATAGAAGAAGTTTGAAATAGAATGCAATGAGGAAAATACAGAAAATCAGGAAATATAAGAATAGGGAAATTAAAGACCTTCAAGAAAGTTACCCCAACATTATACAAATAGTAGTTATTATTAAATAATAATAATCAAATCGAATAATCAAATCAGAGCAGATAAGAATAGAGAAATCAAGGAACTACAGGAAAAGTTAGCCGAACATAATGAAAATCATCAGGAAATTGAGAGAACAGATCAGAAAAAAGAGGAAATCAAAGTATAACATAATGTAAATGCAGATATTATCAAGAAATCGAAGAAATGAAGAAAGTTAGATCAACATAAGGAATTAGGAAATCAAATGAAAAGAACTGGAAAAATCAAGAATTTTTCACCTTAGTTTAAGATAAGGGTAATCAAAGAGCTTCAGGAAAAGTGAGTCTTTTACGCCAACATAAGGCAAATTCATTTTTTGGCAGTTCCTTGATTTCTCTACCCTTACATCAAGGGACTGTAGGAAAGATTAGTCCAAAATTGCGGTAATATAGCTATAATTAGAGAAATAATAACAAAAAAACATCAAGTAAGGATACAGAAATCGAAAATCCACAGAAAAAGTTTGCCTTATATTGGATCAACTACAGAATAAGGCAACCGTAAATGCAGACATTATTAAGGAATTGAGAGATCACTTCGAAATCACTTAAAACTCAAGTAAGCACAAAGAAATCAATGAACTGCAGAATGAGTTAACATGAAGCAGCTTTCATTAAGGAATTAAAAGAGCAGAATTTGATTGAAAATAATAGCACAAGCAAGTTCAGTTGTGCAAAAAGAGATACTATTGGATGGCGAATAAGAAACTGTGGGTTATTTGCCACAGCATATAACGCTCAACATCATTTCTGAAATATTTAACTGATTTCTTCTTTACTTTTACAGGAATTACAATGGGAACTTTGGTGTCCAAGGAAAAAATCTTATATGCCCATCAAAAATAAAATAACGATGTCAAAGATAACTATATACTAATTTTTTACGAATTTCCACCTATCTCTATCCCGGCTAAAACAATTTTCAGAAACAATAGAAAACATGTTTTCATACATATTTAAAATAGACCAACTTAATCTACATATATAAACTGCGGGACTATCTCTCATAGAAACAGACAGACGGACAGCCGGGCAGCCGGGCATGACTTCATCGACTTGACTAGTGATGCTGATAACAGAGTATGAAAATGTTATGGGGTCATCAAGATCGCCCACCAAAAAGTATAAAAAAAAACTGCTATCAGCAGGCGCCCGCATTTTTTATATACATACATCTATGTTTTAGGCAGCCGATTCTCTCCAGCCGGAGATTTCACTGTAGTGTTTGGGAATAAGTACATGTGCTGCTTTAGATTATTTTGTGACCTTTCAGTATCTGTGACAGCCATATAAATTGAGAACACTTGCACTATCATAATTAAGCTATAACCAGTGCTTAAATCGATTGAGTGGATATATTTAATAGCTGGGCTTAAGGTATTTCCATATCTTTCATTATTTTCTTTTTTCTTAAAATCATATTGTAACTTAAACCACACTTCAAAATCTTTAACTTATAGCACCAGGAATTGTATACTTAAACAGATTATCAATCTAAGTCAGTTTGAATTGATAACCTTAATTAGAACGCATGTGGGTATGTCAAGTTAAGCGATTTCAAATAACACTTGTGTACTTTTAGTTTCCAATGGCTTATTATTTTATAGCTAAACAATTTGAAAAACATGTTTTGTTAAAGCGTTTCCTATCAACGATCAACGACAAACACACACTCTCGACTCAATGGTTAGTTTTGTTCTGCTTGAGTCTCTTTGGCCCTGTAGTCGCTCGATAGTAGTCAGTGTTGATCAACCGACGCAGCGTTGCATATAATAATCGATATTTTGATAACACTATACTTGAACGTGTAAAATAACGTATTACAATTTCGTTCGCCTTCGGTGTCAATTTGGGCTCCAACATGCATATGTGTCCATCTTATAGATTTGTTAGCCACGCCATCCAACTCGTGAAAGTAAACCTGATAACCTCATGTTAAACATATTAAAATGTATACAGAAATGTATGTGATTGATTGATCAATTTTTATTTCATCTAACTAGTTTGGTAACTATATTCAACACATCCAACTGGCACTTGGGATACGCTGTCTGGCAATCACCGCCAAAGAAGCCCAATTTCTCAGCACGCTCATATCGATGTTGATATAACTTTTCGTGTGGACCAAAACCATCATGCTGCGAGGGTCTGTTGGAAGAGATTGTAATGCAGTTACGATAGGATATTTATGTAATACAAACCGGGAGGCACTTACGTTAGTAAAAAGCTGATGACCTGTACAAACAAGTTGTAACTATGATTATCTGCGAAGGGATGCAGCGCCAGCTCACAGACGCTAAGAAGCAAGCAGGATCTGTGGAAGCCGTAGTCTTCTAATACACGTTCTGCGCCAGCATATAGTTCGCCGGCAGTAAAATCCCTGGGATGGATACCACTCTCAGCCTCCAATAACGCATTGGCTGCCCCCGTAAAGTTTTCCAATTCACGCTTGCCGCGACGCTCCAACGCATTAGACCAAATGGTCGGATTGTAGAATGCGTCGAGACTAAATGGTAGATTATAGTTCATTTGGAAACCCAAATCCATAAAGACTTTTCTCTTGTTCAGATCAATTGGAACCGATATCGAGGACGTTAGTTGCAACACCGAAATTGGAGGATGAAGTAAGCCACGGGTGCCAGAGATAATAAGCAAACCGATGCTAACAACGAGGATGCCGTTGAAAGAGTTGACGTTGTGCTGCTTTGGTCGACGCATTTCGATGTGAGCCACACACTGTTCTTGGTCTGCAGCACATGATATGAGAACTGGACTCCAGTTTCCCGCTTTATTAATTTAGGTCTTCAATTAACCAAGCTGCTAATGAATCCCAACATTTGTTATGCGTGAGCCACAATTAGAACGCTTAGAATTGCAGAACTGGGACGCACTTAAATTAAGCAGTGAATCTGAGAAACAATAGAAAGTATACACAAACTATTATCCATAATGAAACAAACGTTATGCATACTATTCTTGTTGTACCCTACCGAAGATTTGATGAAACATATTCATAGATGTAAGAAAAACCGTTGGTCTTAGACAAATATGAAGATTTGAAAAGATTTTGTACATTCAACATCGAATAAAAGGTAAAGTTAATTTAAAGTTGAAGGTAGTCTGCCTTTAATATTTTTTGAGATACGATTGCTTTTTTCTAATAATTATACGAAACAAATCTGCACAGCTGTGTTATTTTCAGTGTAGCTCAACTGTCAATTTGTAAAACAAATAAATGGGCTATTGCCGCTCGACTCGAAGCTTCACATAGTCCATGGCCCACAGTAGCTAGCCACACTTTCCAATGGTAACAAGATGAGTCAAAACCAAGAGACCCATAGAATTCTATTCGTTCTGCTGCTGGCTATAATTTGCGGAACAACGATAGTAGCTGCACATAGCTTCACGCCCAACTTCAGTCCAGTTGGTAGTCCAGGTAATGGCACTCGAAATAAAATCCCGTTTGCAATCGAGACGCCTGTCAAACTAAGTCGCGCCAAGCGTGTTGCTATTTTCAATGGCCAGGGCGTAGTCAAGGTGCGTAATTAAATTGGTATCTACCAACATGTGTAAGAAATCTAAAATGCTTTATTTGAGCAGATATTCTTTTACGGGCTTGAGAATCTTGTACAACAATTCTTAAATGCTTGCTGTTTATTTCATAAATATATATTTACTGATACGCTTTTGCTTGTTCGATAATTTTAATATATAGTCACTTAAAAAAAAAACACAGTTGTTCATATCTATTAAATAAAATTTATTGATAATATATAAATTGCAATAGTAATTATTACAAATTAGTGTATTCAAATTGAATACGATAGTTTTCAAAAATGAATAATAAATATTCGATCTCAATTAATTTATTTATATTTTACAGTTCGTTCCTAGCATAGCCCATCCCGTGAAACAGGTGGATAAGGATCAATCCTTCTGGTACTTCTTTAATGTGCAAAGCCAGTATGTACCCACAACCATACCAATATATTGGTGGAGTTTTTGGAATACAACGGCATTTGTTTCTACGGCCCGCCAGCTACGCAAGGACATGCAGGCCACCATTCATCGGGATGATATGCGAAGTTTGCTCTATGATGGCATCGAGGCGGGCATGGAAGAGTAAGTCCTTTCCTATGCCCATCGACTTTATTTATAATGGCTATTTTATCTGGCAGGCTGGATGGCAGTGAACGCGGCGCCACCTGCTTATTGCGAGGCATATGTGAAATCTCCCAGCTACCCTTCGAGAATAGCAATATTTTTAGCGAGATTCTGAATGCAGTGATGATGTGAGTATCCAAGCACTATCTATCTATATATATCAATAACATAAAGGTAAACCAAACAAAACAAAAAGGCAAAACAAAAAAGATTTAATTCGAATGATAATTGAAAATCGGCCGAAAATGAATGAAAAATTTCCTGTTCAGGGTACAACCTGGTTGTCTGTTGGTATTCTACACATTTATTTTATTTATTTATTCACAGCCCTACTATTGATAACGTCGCTGAAAAGTATATCAATGCCAGAGATGCAGGTCGTGCTGGCGCCGACTGCATGAAAACCTACAAAGATTGTAGCCGCAAAGTTTGGGATTGGATAATGAACGTGTCGAAACTGACCTTCTGATAATAAATATGCTCAATGAAAATAAACGAAAGCAACCTTCTGTCACTGAAGAATTTCTTTTTAGTCACTCAGAACAAGAAGTAAAACAACAATTCTCTCTGAAAAAATCTTTGGGGTACCTATTTATAACACGATGCTTTCATTAAATCGCATTTATTACAAACATATTTCCAAATTATGAAACAGTCCATTTAGTTAATTTATAGTTATTTTATAAAAGCATATATAAATTTTATACATTCATTTCGCATTCTCATCGGGCAGTCTTATTCATGTTGCGCCGACGCCACTCGCACCAGACCTCACAGATCATGGGTCTCCTCCAGCAGATGCACTCGCTCAAAGGCAGTGCTTTGGGATGCAAACGATTGCACTCAGAAAAGGCCGGGTATGGAGTTAGCGGCTTAGTGCAAATCAATGGTCTCTTGACCTTCAGACAGTCAGGTGGGATGCGACCTTTGCGATGACAGCGACGTTTGACCCTTGGGCAGGCACTGTCATCGCAAAGGGGTGGCGGAGGACAGGCGGTCTTGGGTTTCCTATGCTTGCGACGCCTTAGCGGGGCAGCTCTGATCTTGGCAAAGCAGCAAATTTGTTTTTTCTTGATCTGCACAGGAGGACAGGATACCCAGGTTTGCCAATACTTTCTCTTTGCCTTGTCGGACTCCACGTAGTAGATGTCATCGAAACGTGGATTGAATGGGCAATAGACTTCGTCTTCGTCACAGAACGGATTCAGCCACATCGATGGCGGTTTTGTCATCTTTTTTTCGTTAATCTTTTTCTTTGGGATTAACATCATTTTCGGCCTGCCACAGGGGAACGATTTAAATTTTGTTGGACATTTGGATATCCGGACCAAGCCACATTTTTTAGACTTCATACGCAGGCAAGCGGCTGCCTGCATATTGTGAACCCTAGACCAAAGGCCCCGTCTCAATGTTGAACAAAGTCCAAACATTTTAAAATTTTTTACTTATTTGCTTACTCAATTTTCTTAAAATAATTTTGAATGAAAAAAAAACTAAAAAAAATGCCAAAAAGTTGAACCTCATACAATCAAAATTATGCGTAGACTGATCGTTCTACATATCTGCTTTCGACACTCCAAGTGGAGTTTGAGTTGAATTGCCATGTTTACTGAGTTTATGAATTTTAACATTCCTTGTTAGGGAACCAAAAATCCGATTGGATCAGGAAAAGACAATCAACATTAAAACTATTTTTGAAATTAAATATAAAAATGCGGGTAAACTTTAACTATTTATAGAAACACTCTTTTTACACATACAAAGTGTTATTTTATATATTTTTGTTATATTTATATTTGCTAATTACTGTTTACACCGAAGCCAGTGTGTCTTAACATATATTGTCAGGTTGGGCTGTGTGCATTTATTGTATACATATGTACATTGGCTATTCATTTATTATATTATTATTGAATTTATTGTTGACGTAAATTTATGTATTAAAATTAAAAAGGAAAACAGCAACGACAATACTTTAGTAACTTAACATACAATGGTGATTATATATGATCAAAAATATTAGATCAAGGCATCCATGATATTATAGTTTTTTATGTTTTCTTATATGTGACTTATTTAATCGTGCACTTTTTTATGTTAGTTAACCCAAACACATAAAAAATATTTATAAAAAAAAAGAATCAAAATTATACTAATAATAAGTAATAAGTTTTGTTTTCCACAATGGTGAATTTCAATAATCCCACGAAAATAATGGTGAATCGTTGCATGGAGCTGCTGAACGCGAAAATAGCAAACGCCCGGACCCAACATATTGCCAAGCGAGCAGCCGTCCAGCGGTTCATTCCACGAACCGTGGACACGAAGGCAATGTACCGCGAGCGTCAGAAGGCTAAGAATTATGAAGTCAGCAAACGACTCTCGATGTGGGAACAGGACAATGGTCAGGCTTTTGATACTACAAAGAATACCCGACTGGATCACTTGCACTACAAGCACCATAAAGTTAATGAGCGCACATATCATTGTACTTGGGCCAATTTTCCAGAGGATCACAGAGTAAGGCAATAGGCGCCAATTAAACGCTGCAGGACTGGACAGATATCGCATACCGCACAGCCTTGGCTTCGTTAGTCAGTGGAACAATAACAAAAAATCACGATCCAACGCAATAGGTCTTGTAAAAAATAAAGAAAAATTTATTGGAAAACTGATTTTTAATATGTGGTAAATTACATTTGTGTAATTTGATCAGTCGCTGTAGTACAAGTTAATAAGATTGTTTAAATATAGCGACGTCTATTTTCGTGCATTCATTTTAGTGTCAAAATTTTAAAATATATGAATGCTTATTTTATTGCTCACCTTTGTAGGATCAAATTACTGGTTTTAGCTAGAGACAAATATTTGTACATTTCATATTTGCTCTTAAAACGACAATGCTGGCGCTGATTGGGAAAGACTTGTTCTATAGAACTGTACGCTGTCTGGCCAGCCGCAAGAGGGGATCGTTCCGGAAGCCACCAAACATACCCAATATACCCATTAAGGGACCAAGGGATTTTGATTATCTGCGCTGCTTACGACGCAAAGCAAAGAGTACCAAAGAAAAATGGAATGAAAAATTGAATAAAGGCAGCCGAACTATTTACAAGCCCAAGAAAAAAAATGAGCGCCAGTCTGAAAACGACGAAACACCAGTATAAAAATTAATAATAAAAAAAAAAATTGTTGAAAATGGAAAAACAACTATTATTTTACATTTTTCAAATGGATAAAATAATTTAAAAAACGTTTGCAATAATTATGGCAACTCTGGCACACAGCAGGGGCGGAAATCTACTCATTTCTCGCTGCCGCTAAAAGTATCGCTTTGCAAAAATCATCTGGCTTTTGTTTTTCTTTGTTTGCGGCGTTCATCATTCGTTCGCTTCGATCCGAAATGGCGCTTCTGCGGAGCTTTTCAAAAGATATTTGCGGTGCTTTTCGACGCTTTGCCAGCGGCAGTTCGAGTGGCTGCACCATATATAGCCTCAGTTCGGGCCACATCAAGTGCGGTGTCTCCGTCATACGTGTCTCCGGTCCACAGACAAAGCAAGCACTCCGCGCCATTGTCAACAATGTCGATTATGAGCCAAAACAGCGACAGGCGTATCTAAAATCGTTTTATCATCCCGCCAATAAAGAGATTATCGACAGGGGTCTGCTGCTCTGGTTTCCGGGTCCCGCGTCCTTCACCGGCGAAGATGCATGCGAATTTCAAGTGCATGGCTCATTGGCCGTCATTGCGGCCATGTTGGATGCACTGGGTCAACTGCCGGGACTGAGACCCGCTCAGCCGGGAGAGTTCACCAAGCGCGCCTTCTTTGGCGGCAAACTCGACTTGACAGAGGTGGAGGGCCTGGCGGACTTGATACACGCCGAAACAGAGGCGCAACGGAAGCAGGTATAAAATCTTTTTATAAATATTTCAAGTAGTTCAATAATCCAATAGACCACACCTAATTCTATTCGATTCGAAATATATTCTGTAATTGTGGCATTCCTTTGCAGGCTCTGCTTCAAAGCACTGGCGCTCTGGCCCGTCTCTATGACAACTGGCGTAAACGGCTCATCCGCTGTGCCGCACACCTGGAGGCGTACATTGACTTTGCCGAGGAGGAGCAAATCGAGGGTGGCGTCTTATTACAGCTGTCCCGAGAGCTGAACGCAGTGAAGCGAGAGATTCGCTTGCATCTGAATGACCAGCGGCAGGGTGAGCTGTTGCGGCACGGTGTGCGCACCGTCATCATTGGCGCACCCAATGTGGGCAAGAGCAGCTTGCTGAATCTGCTGTGCCAACGTGCCGTATCCATTGTGGCCGAGAAGGCGGGCACCACCCGCGACATCATCGAGACGACGCATAACTTTGGCGGCTATCCGGTGGTATTTGCGGACACCGCTGGCCTCCGCCGCGACACAACAGACACCATCGAAGTGGAGGGCATGGCGCGTGCCAAACAATGCTTAGCCCAATCCGACCTTGTACTGCTGCTGGCAGACGCCAGATCGCTGCGTGACGTGGACAACAATAAGGCGCTTGCTGGTTACATCGAGAGCTATCTGCAGGAGCTGGACATTCCGGCGGAACTGTGCCATGGCAAGCGTTTGCAATTGGTGGCAAATAAGACGGACACGCTGTCCGCCGAGGAGACTCAGCGGATTGGCAAACTAAACATGCTAGCACTGTCCTGCCACAAGCAGGATAATCTGGCCGAATTCCTGGGCGCTCTGGAGCAACTGTTGCAACAGCTGTGTGGCACACCGCAGGCAGAGCATCCACGCATCACCCACATGCGCTACAGACAGCAACTGGAGCGTTGCATCGAGCACATTGACACATTTCAAAGAGATTACAAGCCCGACGTATACCCGGACATGGCCATAGCAGCGCAGCAGCTGCGCAAATCAGTTCGCTGCATCGAACGCATCACTGGACACGTCAGCTGCGAAGACATACTCGATGTGGTCTTTAAAGATTTCTGCATCGGCAAATAGTCCATAAATGATTTTTAGTTCCTAAGTTTGCAATGTACCCAACATATAGACTGTCAATAAATATGCCGAGTATATTATTATATGAACATAGGGGAGCAGACAGAGGCTGGGTTTTTGGGGAGAGGCTGGCAGCTGCCTTCCCCTTATCTCTCCTCGTCTTACTGTCAGTCAGCGAGTTGAATACTCTTTGATTAAATAATTTAACCTTGTTAACTAATAAAAAGTATCTCAGATAGATATTCTCTACATTCAACTGTGTAGTACAAAAGATATCTATCGGAATTTTAAATATATATAAAGATATATACAAGAATACACTGTTTCCGCTTGTGGTTCAACTGAACCAATAAATTTTTTAGACACTCAATTTTGAGTTATTTGAAACACTTACATTTCTTGATTTTGAAATTGTTTGCTCGCTTAAAGAAATTGTAAACATATCAGAAATAAATATTTATAAAATATATAATAGCTAAATGAATATTATATAGTAATATAAATATAAATGGAAATGTCTGTTTTATTCAACTTATACAACTAGGTACTCTTGTTACAAACTTTTTTAAATGTAAGAAATATTTCTCCAAAGAGCAATCGTTTTATTAAATACCACTGAGAATCATTATTCAAAAGCAAAAAACGTGCAGCCTACAAAGAGTATATTGCAATAATAAAGTTAACTATTTAAAATTAACGCCAATTCGCTTACTTGAACATCAATCAAATGCGTTAAGACAGAGAGAATATCCATATTAACTCAAACTGTCACTGCTAAATATATCGATAAGAAATTGCCTAAAGAAACATATCGATACATCGATTACTCAATGCGCACATCACTAGAAACAATGAAAAACATTGCTTACAATAATAGAATATAACGTGCAAATTGGCTTTTTGGTCAGCAACTTGGACGAATTGGAAGGAACACGCATTGTGTGTGTGTGTGCGTGCTGGTTGTGAGGAGGAAATATCCTCAAGGTTTGTGATTTTGCTGAGACAGCAGGCAACAAAATGCCAGGCAAGGTAGGCGTCAAAATAAAGGCTGCGCGTAATCTGCCAGTTATGGACAAGAGCAGCGAGACAACCGATGCCTTTGTGGAAATCAAGCTGGCCAACAAAGAGTACAAAACGGAGGTGTTCCGAAAAAGTCTAAATCCAACGTGGAACACCGATTGGTATGTGAAATGCAGCAAGCTTGCAAGTTTACAGTTGATATCTATGGCAAGGACAGGTTTCGCTTTGAGGTCGATGACGCCGAGCTGCAGGACGAACCGCTGCAAATACGTCTGATGGACTATGACACGTATTCGGCAAACGATGCCATTGGCAAGGTGAACATCAGCCTGAACCCGCTATGCTTGGAGAGCCTTACTCAGGCGGCCCATGGCAAGGGCACCGTGCTCTCCGGCTGGATACCCGTCTTTGATACGATGCATGGAATTCGTGGCGAAATAAATGTCATTGTCAAAGTGGATCTGTTCTCCGATGTCAATAAGTTCCGACAGAGCTCCTGCGGCATACCCTTCTTCCACTGTTCGTTCACCTCTCGACTCTATCGTTAATCCCAAATAATAACTGTTTTCATGTTCATTAGCGCCTTGTGTGCCCTTTGGCTATCGCGCACAGATCATACACGGCTTTGTCGAGGAGCTGGTGGTCAACGATGATCCCGAGTATCAGTGGATCGACAAGATACGCACACCACGCGCCTCCAACGAGGCCCGACAAGTTGTCTTCCTCAAGCTTTCGGGTCAGGTGCAACGCAGGATGGGCCTGAAGGCCATCAATATGGGCGCCAATGCAGTCATCGGCTATACGCAATGCTTTGATTTGGAGGGCGATGTGGGCGTCGTCGCACGCGGTGTTGGCACAGCCGTAACACTCATCAAGGACTCTACCAGCAGCAGCAGTCAGCCAAACAGCGCGGATATTGTCCTCATCGAAGAGTGAGTATAGATGTGTCAGATTGAATCTGTGTTCAATAGGATTGACTTTTTCATGGATTTGTCACATGGCAAGGTGATGATTGATTATAGTTCAAGAAAGCCAACAAAGAAAGCTATGCAAATTGATGACTTAAGACTAGAAAAAGAGATAAATACAAAAAAGGATTATTATTGATGTCCCCTGCAGAACAATAATCTGATCTTAGCTACACAAAGGCGATTTTCATATTGAATATTATATTGATTTACAGTTGATTTGTATAAAATAGTTTTGGGGTGGTATATGGTAGCATAATAGTTCTTGTAGACTGGATAAAGTATCTGAAACCCAACGACATTTTGCAGACAACTTGCTTATGGCAGTTATTTAATAACAGACTTATACAAAGTTGTATCAAGAAAAGGTTTCAAAACTAAGTCAAAAACAAATAGAATTAATATTTTTCTGAAAATGGAAGTGCATACAAAATTCAGTAATTAAACAAATACCAAAGAAATTTCCATGATGAAAAGATACATGCCTCAAGCATATTTTAGATAAACATCCGATTAGTAGTCTGCTTGCAATTCCGCGCGGCACCAACTAAAAACATGTTCTAAAGCGTATTATTCTTTTCTCTTGAATTTTCCTTCCACGTTCATCCAACGTTCACAAATTCAAATTCAAAACGATTTCGACGTTTAACGCTCATAACTGTATAAAACTTCTATAAAAATCTTGTCGTATTCGTTTCGTTGTTATAATGCACGCCTCCAATAAATTGTTGTCGTATATATTTGTAACATACGCCCATACACACACACATGCGCACACACAAACACACACGTAAAACCCAATCTCGCATAGAGTCCAAAAGTATTTAGATTTTCTCAACTGCACCGACGGCAGCAGCTCCAGTCTGCCTCTGTCCGGTCGCTCACCCCAGCAATACCGTCTCAGTATATATAAGCAGCCCAGTGTTAGTCCCAGTTCGGCGGCAGCAGCAGCAGCGGAGGCAGCGACGTTGTTCTACTTAGAGAGCGGCAGTAGCGATACGGAGGATGCGGATGTCATGCAGAATCTGCTCAGGCAGGAAGATGAGCGTGGCGAGCGGGTGCGCGAGAAGAAGCTGCGTCATCGCATGCAGCGCATGACTTTATCGTCGCGCAATGCTTTCAGCGAGAAATATGCCACATTGCTGCGACGCATGGAGCCCAAGATACCGGAGAATGCCACCCAGTCGCTGAGCAATCTGCTTGGCATTGTCGCTGGCGGAACGGGCGGAAAACGTCGCCGTAAATCACGCAACACAGTCGGCAAGCGGTCATCGTTGGCAATAACGCGTTCCATCAGCGATGATCCGGGTCGCTCGGGAACAACAGCAAGGAGTCAGCTGAGTGTGCCTCGGCACTCTGAGTATGAGGAGAACACACGCTCCGCACCGGATTTGGATGCCTTTGAGCGTAAGTCGACATACTCGACGGACTCATCAGAGTCGTTGTCAATAATCGAAACGATTGCCAATGCAGCCACATCCAGCGACAGCGACGAAGAACAGCAGCAACAGCTCGAGCAGGAGCAGGAGCAGGAAGAGCAGCTGCAGGATAACTGGATAAAGCCCGGCGAAACAGGCAGCTATGGCAGCCAGCTGGATCTAGTACCCAAGCGTCATACGCTTCTTGAAGATCTCAGGAGTTTCTCGCGTCGCTTGCAGCAACTGATCCACTTGACTCCACGGCAGAATCTTGATATTGAGGCATTGCCCAGACACTCGCTGCTGTATGCCACGGCTGCACTGGCGCCATCATCCATGGAGCGCAAGTCATATTATAGCTCACAGCCAGAGCTGGCCACGAGCAGCGAACTTGATTGGCCCACTTCGGCTGCAGTTAGTTTAGCATTCGCATCCATGTTGCAGCTAAATCGCTTGCCAAGCTATGAAAACAGTCTCACTCTAGATGCCGATCACATCGAATCCTATGCACCACATCCACTCGAATCCGAACCACAACTGAACACGCTGCTGCCTGTTGCTCCTGTGCTCTGCATTTGCCCATCGACTCCCACGCCCACCGAATCTGATAATAGCTCACAATTATCGCCCATTCAGACACGTGCTTTTGAATATTATGATCCGCCCGTTTTCAGATTAGACCATGTTGTAAATATCTCTAATACTAGTACTAACCATAGTAACAACAATAATGAATCATCGTTGCTTGCTCCATGCTATTCTGTTTCGTCATTTGCCATACAAAACCAACAACAACAACAACAATGCTCGACTAGGTCCAGCAGCGATCTTCAACAGCAGCCGCAACAACAGCAGCAGCCACAACAACAACAGCAACCACAACTATTACCGGCTCAGAGCGTCTTAATACCCACAACGATTGCCAACATTGAGAACAATGGGAATGCGAAGAAATTCACATCGCCTGTGGGCGGCAATCGTCTGAAGCTAACGCCCAGTCCATCGAAGAGTGGTATTTCAGGTGGTGCGAATGCGGACAGTGCATCCACATCTACCACATCGACGGCCACCACAATGGTGCCGAGCAAGGAGGTGGGTGAGATCTGTCGTCGCTCCTCCGACTCCGATTTGAGTGTGACGCCAAAGGGTATGTAGTTATTTCTTTATATATCTGTATATATATATTTATATATAGGATCTGAAACTAGGCTAAGTAAGCATTTATATATAAATACATATAGAGAGAGCGTTTTTCTCCTGCGTATGTCTGTGTGTGTCTCTCTCTCTCGTGTCTCTCTCATGAGTTAACTCACGAAACTCTTCTAACATTCTCTCTTTGCGCCCGCTGCTCCATCAAAACGCCAACAGGCATTGCCTACAATTTGTATCGCAAGCGTAAGTAGTTGTCGTCTCTTTCTCTCTCTGTCTCTCTCTCGTTTTCTATTTGCCTCTCTGTTTCACACATTATTGATGTCCATTATCGTTGTACTTTTGTGTCAAACTCCCTGGGTGTGTGATTGACATTGATTAAAATCCTTGCGCTCTCTTTAACACATTTGTCGTCAAACATTCTCCAATCTTTCACACTCTCTCTCTCTGTGTCTCAACCTTTGCCTGGCCATCTATAATATTGACGTTACTCTCTTGGAATGCCAATAAGCTCGATTCATTATTAAAGTGAATAAAATCATTATCCTCTCTGTCTATTTACCCATATATATATATGTCTATTGATAATCTTAAAATAAAATATATCTTAAGTCTGTGGCTATATATATATATATAATTTGGAGTCTATTAATAATCATATTTCTTCATCCAATTCTTTTTAAAACCCTAAAAATTCAAATTTATGCATTTAACACTGTTCCAATTGTTGGACTTTCATATCTCACTGTAGGTGTTTTAGAACTCAGTCTTTTGGGTATTCCAAGAATTACTTTTTTTCATTTTTCAACTCTTGATAATCCTAATGTATTAAATAGGTTCCACAGATACAGATATTTTTTCAAATTGTTTAGTTATTTACTCCTAGTTTATCATCATTTAAATGGGTTTTATTTCGAGGTATAATTGTATGTATATATAATATAAGACACTTGATCTGGAAAACATGTTTATATTTCTTCCAATCTTATACAAAATTTGGCTTCTCAAATTTGGATGAATTTAATTATTTATTACCAGGAAAAGAAGCAGATTTTTTTTGTTAGAATAATATCACTGGAAAAAATTTATTTTCACACACAGATAATATATGTATAATATGTCATCAGAACAGTGTAAAAAAGTACTTTGGAAGATGCAATCAAGCAAAAATCGATCGATCAAATAAGTTAGTATACTATTATATTTAATGCCATTATTAATGTATTGCCTTCAAACTAGTTTTAGCTAATTTTAGCTAACACATGGAATCTAATGAGAAATAAGTAACTGATTTTATTGATTATTGATTATTGATATTGATATTGCAATCACACATATTAAATGTCCATACTGTGTGCCCGCCTGTGTTACCTAATCCTACGACTAAACGTTGTAATCATGTGGACCCAAATAATATCCTAATGAAAGGTGAAAGATTTCATCGAGCTGCGATTTTTATTTGACAGGCAACTCAATTTGTGTGGCAAGCGAGCGTCTGGTAGCTGCCACAGCGATGATGCGCTTAACGACACCGACCGTGGGCAGCAAGGCAACCGACAATCTGGATATGCTGGAATATCCATTCCTAACGATGACCAAGTATCCAACGGGCTTCATACTCCATTTGGGCGCCACTGTGGCGGCACGCTCGGTGAAACTGCTGGAACGTGTCCCCAACCCCGATGAGCCTGAGGTGCGTGATAGCTGGTGGACGGAGCTGCGCATGGAAATACGCTCTCATGCTCGATCCCTGGGCTGCAACGTAGTGCTGGGCTATGCGGAGTCTACGACAATATCGTAAGCTTTACGGATTACTTAGTATGCACAGTTTATATAATTGTTTCTTTCTCTTTTTCAGAGACGATGTGTGCGTTTTGTCCGCCACTGGCACCGCAGCCGTTATCAACATGGTCTTCAATCGATCCGTCTCGCAAACGGATATCTTTGCCATGTCTAAGGCTGGCAACAATGTGTCTGCCATGTCCAATTCGCTGGAGGAGCGTGAGGCGAACGGCAGCGTTGCCGAGACAGCGACATCCAGCAAGGACGGCGGTTCGCAGGGCACAGCCAGCGGATCGGCGAGTAAGCGCTACGGTCTTCCAGCATCAAATGCTACACGCAACACCTGTGCCATCTGCCATGTGCCGTACAACCTCAGCTCGGTGCCGTTCAATGTGAAGATGAAGAAGTGCGCCATATGCCGTAAGGGGCGAGTGCCGGATGTGCTGCTGGCCACGCTAGAGGTGCCCGAGTTTATGCAGGTGACGGGACGCGGCTGCTTTATGCAGGCACAGGTTGTTCGCGCCAAGAGGGATTTGCGTGCCGAACTCAATGCCAAAGAGATATCCGATGGTCTACCTTTTCTGGAATACGAGCTGCATCGTGTGCTCATCAATAAGCTAAAGGCCAAGGGCATGAATGCCATATTCGGACTGCGTACTCAGGTGGCCATTGGGGAGCGAATGATAGCATTAATTGCCACGGGAACAGCGCTATTTCTGAGTGCGCTGCCGGTACCGCAAGTGCCGAAAATCGTTGCGGGCAACTCGTGGACGGACAAGCAAAAGCTTAACGAACTGCAGAAGAAGCTGCAGGAGACCTTTGAACGTAACCAAGAGATTTATCAGCTCAAAATCATGGATCCCGATTTGGCCAGCATTTGTGGCGGAGCGGGCGATAAGCATTCGGATACCGATGATTCCGATGATGAGGAAATGAACGAAATCGATTTGAATTGCGGCAACAAAGAATTGTGTGTGTTGGAAGTCGATGATATTGAGGATTTGGAAATTATATCACTGCTCATGGAGCCATATCCGCCGGAGGGTTTCCACGTGGTCAACACACAACAGGTGCCCGGCATGCAGGAGCTAGATGCTGTCAAAAATCTTCAAATGTTTACGCAAGTATTTCGTGCTCGCCTCGAGGTAGGACAAAATGTAAATGGATTCCAAAAGCACTTCCAACGGTGAGTTCAAACCCAGACTCGATAAGATAAAAACAATGTGTGTGATAATTAAATATTATTAATCATAATTTTGTATACTTGTTTCGTGTTTCGACTTTCTAAGAAACTATTGAAAAATGTCATCGTCAAATATCGATGTGGACTGAAAAATCTTATCTTATCTTGTTATTATGTTATTTTGTAGAGTACACTAAATATTTCCATGCACATTTACCTGTTAAAAACTACAATCAGTTATACTAAATTAGCTTTTTAGATTTCAAGGAACAGAACACCCTTTTCACACACATTTTTAAGTCCAATTTTAAAACAACATAGAAATTATTTTTGTCAATTTTTTGTTGTTGTTTTTAAAAGTTATTAACAATTTTACCCTATGCAAATTCTGTTCTAAACATGCCTAATATTTGTAGCCTTACGTCGTGTGTCTTTGAATATTGTTTTACTTGTAATGTGTACTAACTTATGTTATAATTATTTTCGTTAACTTGCTTGCAAATGCAGCTTTAACATTTCTGAACTATTTCCACAGACTCCTGCAGACCATTTATTTCAAGCTGCGCACCATGATACCCTGCGCCATTTGTGATCTACGCTTTAGACTGGATTTGCCAGAAACGGTAAGTAAATGGAATAAAATTGATAGCTTAAATAACATAATAATGATTGATGCTTGTACAGGACCAAATTCAATTACTTGTCACTGGCATGGCTATGGGTCTGAGTGATGGCAGTAAAATAAAATATCGTCGGCGCGGAGGGCCGACAACGCAGCAGAATGGCTTTAATGATGGAACAGGGCAGCAAGCGTCCGCTGTGAATGCAGCACAATCGCAGCCAGAGCTTAACGGCAAGCGAGCCCTGCAGGAGGAGGATTACATTTTCCCGCTGGACGAGGATCAAATGGTCGATACGCCGACGCCGACCAGTACTGCAATACCGCCATTCGGCATGAGTTCTTTCAAAATACGCAAGACTTCACCGTCGCGACTTGGTAATTTGACGACAACTTTGCCCGCAGTCAAGCCGCTCAACATAGCAGCAGTGCCGCGTAGTCGTTCCGTAAGTTGAACACATCCGTATTATGTACACAACTAAATAATTTAGCTGTATCCATTAATAGTTTCCGCTGCGTGATCATTATGGTGTCGATTTAACACCGCTCAGCTTTATACCTGGTGGACGCATTGAAAAGTATTTGGGCAACCTGAACTTCTTCTTTATTAGGGAGAGCACCTCCATACGCGAAAATGGTGGTATTAGTGGATTTGTGCATGGCTTCATCACCGAGCTGCTGGCAGTGGTGCGGGCGCATATTGCCTCACTGGGTGGCAATGCAATGGTCTCCTTCTATATAAATGAACTAATATTGTTCGATAATCAGCACAAGAATCAGGTAATATTAATTAATACAGTTTTTGATCATGTTCATACACTAATGCATTTAATTTTGCTTGTTGCGCAGGGTCAGTGCCTGATTAGCATCGGTGGCGATGCGGTCTACGTGAGCTACTACGCCGATGACTGATATACACGTTTGCGGGGCATATAGCGCTTATTTTATGCAAATCGTCCCAAAAGTCTCTACTACTGAAAACAAACCAACTCTCTCTTCCATATGTATGCTCTCTTTCCTTTTCTCTTGCTGCCAATCACTTTTCGGCTCTCTGGCTTGGCCTGAACTAAGCAGGACACGCTCATATTATACAAATTCTTATTATGTTGTACTTAAATATGTATTCAATGTAGTAGGTATCGGAATTTTCAGCTGTATCTGGGCTATACAGTTGATATCAATATGCAATATTCAAACTGTGAATTGACGTTTTACATGTAGAATGAATTTATCTTTCGTGTTATTTGTGTGCTTAATGTTTAATGCTTAGCTACTTACAATTTTCATGATCGTAGTCTGTACATAGTTGAAGACGTTAATTGAATTTAAAATTTGATAGATAATTTGTTTTCTTATTGCTATGAGCAAATAGCCCTAAAAAATAATAATAAAATATACACACTATGTGTAACTAATTTTGCCAACACAAAAGTCAACCATCAACTTATGTATGTAACATATACAATAATAAATAAAATGAAATCTTTGATATAGAATCCAAATTATGCAAACGTTGTTCGTTCATTTCAATTAGGTGATGTGGAGAACAGCACAAACATGACCCACAGATGCAGCAACGCGACGTAAAGAATTATACCGATTCGCATCATTGGATAACGACGCAGGAATGCACCCATTCGCATGCCCACAGAGTCCGCCTGACGCAGAGCACGCTTGAAGCGACGTGCAACACGATTGTCAAACGGACTGGGATGCATGAGTAGCGGAAACTGTGCCTTGACTGAAAAAGAAAATCGTTTTGAATTGCATCAGTTGAAAATTAGTGGTTTCCACGCATCATATTAATATTCTGACATTTTATTTGCACTTCAGTTTTTGATAGCATATTAGTAGCAATAATAAATTGAAATAACTAATAAATAATAGAAGATATTAGCAATCGCTGTGTAACAAAGAGTTGAGGTGAATTTTTATCTACTGTAAAACAAAAACCATAAAATCGGCGAAAAGCGACTTCTCCCGCTGAAATATCTGCTTTATAAAAACACAATCGAATTGAGAAATGATTTTGATAGTTTTGTATCAAATCTTCTTTTGGTTTAGACCTTTCGTGTTCATATCTGGAAGATTGGGTGTCGTTTCTAAAAAGTATTTTTTCGGCAGATATATCAAGTTTATATCAAAAATTGAACGCATTCTGATGGTCATTAATTAGCCCCCTTATACAACTCTAGCTCTACTTACCATCATCTGTGCTGTTGGAGAGCAGAGTGCCGCGCGAACTGGAGCTGCCACGCTGTTGACCCATCTCCAGAGCGTGCATGCTCTGCTGCAGCTGCGCCTGCATGTTCTCGTGCTGCAATCGAAGTGCATTGCGCTCCACTGTGACACGTTCCAGCAGACCCTGTCTTTCGACTAGCGATTGTGTGAGAGCTTTCAGGCGGATCTCATAGTCATTTTTGGCACTTGTAAAGCCCGTTTCGCTAACAAGCTGACGCTGCTGTTGCAATTGTTTCTCCTTTTCCTGCAATCGTGTTGCGGCGGCAGCCATTTGATTGCTCATCTGTTGACGCAGCGAGGCCAACTCTTGTGTGAGCATGCGCTGCTCCGATTCAATGGCCATGTTGTGCTCACGTTCAGAACGCAGCTCTTTTGCGAGACTTTGCTCACGTTGACGGGCGATGCCGAGTTCCAGCTCGTTTTGGCGTTCCTGAGCCATGTAACCATCTAGCTGAATGCGCAGTTTTTGCTGCTCCTCACTGGCGTGATGCAGCTCCTGCTTCATGGCATCATATTCAATTTGAAGAAATCGTGTTTCACTGTCCTTGGATGCCAGGTCCTGTTCCGCGCCTTCTGCAATCGGGTTTTGTTTGAGCTCAGCAATGAGCGCATCTTTTGACTGCAGTGCCCGCTGCGCTTTGGCCCGATACTCTTGCAGCTCCAGACGCTGTTGATCGGTTTCCTTGGTTTGCATTTGCAATTTATGCGCTGTGCTCATATATTCCTGCTGCAGCTTAGCAAGATTCGTTTCTAGTTCTGAGATTGAATGTACGTACGCCATGTGAGCTGTTTGCGCTTCGTTCAACTCATTCTTTGCCTTGTCGCTTTCATCAGATAGATTTTTAATGAGAGTTTCAAGCTCCTGGACCCGCTGCCTTAGGGCAAAATTCTCATTATCATGGTTGAGCTCATCCAGACGGAAACGCAGCTCATCGCGTTCGCTTGTGATTTCGTTTAGGGCAATTTTAAATGCAGCCAATTCATGTGTGTCCATTCCGTTCCCACTGTCTGGATTAACAGAGAAACTCGCCGAAGTGGGCAACTTGCGGCGCAGCTCTGTGGTCATCACATGAGAGCCCTCGCTTTTGGCGCTCGAAGCGCTATTGCCAACCATGGACAAGGACATGGGAGTGCTACTGTTGCTGTTGGCTCGCTTCGCTGGAGAGAGAGTTGTTTTCAAGGATTGTGTGCTGCTGGTCAAACTGTTCTTCATGGCGTCCAATGCTGGCCCAGCTTCTGTGTGCAAGGCTGTGGCTGCATTCTGATCAATTTTATTCAGTATATTTTCTGCTTTACCCGCCAGCCCTGTTATCCACGAAGACATTGTAAGCAACCAAAGGAAAACACGTAAATAAAGGCAGGGAAAATTCCAAATACGTGGGAAACTCGTTTGTTTATGTCAGCGCCAGTGCTGTTTACTGTCACAAAGCAGCTGCATTGAGCAGCACTGCAAGTATCGATAGACAAATGTTCTCTAACAACGCTATCGATAAGATCTAACACAGCACACACATAAAAATCAATAGTCGCCGCCATATTTTTTCACTTGTACTCGGACGCGTTTTTATGTTTAGGTAATTGCAAAAAACAGTTTATACAGCGCAGTAAAAGTTGTTTAAAGTGAATGAAAAGCTACATAAAATACAATATAAACGTTGTTGCATTAGTTGAAATAAAATCCCGCTAGAACCCGAATCGGCAAACGTGTGTGCGCGTCCGAGTAGCCGTGTGTGTGTGTATGTGTGTGTGTCTCAGTGTTGGGAGTTGTGTGAAATAACTTGGAAAAAAGCATCGTTGCTATCGCTGTTGCCAGTAGACAAAGCCTAGCTAAAGTATGGAAGGAGCTACACAAGTGGCTTCCCCACCGGTAGGTGGACCACGAGGCGGCGGCTACAGAGGCCGTGGCGGTGGTCCACCGATGCGCGGCGGCTTCGAGCGCGGACGCGGTAGGGGAATGGGTCGCGGTCATTTTATGGGCGGCATGCGCGGCGGTGGCATGGGCGGCGGTGGACCCCCAATGCAAGGCATGATGCAGGGTCCGCCACGCGGCATGCGTCCCCGAGGCGGACTGGGCTATCAGGGACGGGGTGGTGGCGGCGGCTTTCAGCCACGGGGTGCCCCGATGGGCATGCGAGGCGGACGCCCGCCCCTGTATCAGCAGCGTAAGTAAAAAACAAAAAATTAATCTTTGGTATACCGAAGATGGAATACCCTTGCAGACAAAAGATCCCAAAGATTTGATACTCTTCATTTGTTAAATATTAGTAGTAGTATATGATAATTAGTAACCACTTGATATACATAAATATTTAAGTACTGTCTCAAAACTATAAATCAATCTGCAAGGGTATAAAATAAACAGAATTTGGTCTGCAATTCACAACACAACTAACACACTCAATACAGCGCCCAAGCAACACACGGGCGCCGACAATAACAAGACGGTATCGCCAGTACCCACAGCGGCAGCAGCCGGAGAGCAGCAAACCGAAGCAGCTGGCGATGACGGCTCCGATGCAGCAGCATCAGCAGCCGGTGCAGCAACGACAACGGTTAACTCACATGTGGCCAGCGGCGGAGCACCGGGCAATAGCAGCAACAATAGTGGTGGCGGACCACCGCCGTACATAAGTCGGGGACGAGGACGTGGCGGTCCGTTTGGAGGTCGCGGACGTGGCGGCGGCGGCTACAATCCACACATGAACGGCAGCGGCGGCAACGGGATGTACCCGCACTCACATCATAGCAACTCGATGGGCGGACCGGGAGGCGAGCATGGAGGAATGCCGCGACGCGGCTCGATGCGCGGACGTGGCGGTGGCTACAATCAAGGTATGAGTCGGCCACCCATGCAACATCACCAACAGGCACATAATGTCAATACACAAATTGCACCGGTACCAGCTCTCAAACGTGGCGCACCCGGAGGTCCAGGTCCGAAGCGTGGACGCTATGAAGGCGGACCCTATGGCCAGCGGCCCATGACACCAAAGTATCATACGTCATCACAGCATATGTCGCAAACCACATATGGCTCGCCACCCAGCCATCATGCCCCAGCATCAAGGTAAGGTCAATAACATTACGTGTGATGTATTATTTTGTAAATTGCCTGCAATTGCAACTGAGTCGAACATAATATTAATGCCAACGTTCACTGCAGCCATCATGGTGGCTATCAGACGCATGACCAGACGCAGCAGGTCGATCCCTACTCACAGAGTGGATACAGTGCACCGGCGACCGCACAGCAAAGCTACAATGGCTATGGTCAAAGCAGCGGCTATGCAGCTCAACACACAACACAGGCGACTACGCCGGCCAGCAGCAGCTATGCGTCGCACCATGGCACCGAATACGATCAAAGCCAATATCAGGGCTACAAGTAAGTTAAAGATAAGTTTTAATACGAGTTGTTAGATGTATATGTATATATATTTATATTTACTAACAGCTCCACGGGATACGCAACCCAACAGGATACACGCTATCAGTCGTATAGCCAAGATTATAGTCAGCAGTATGGCTCGACTGCCGTTGATTACAATGCGGCTGGGCAAGCGGACTACAGCCAGCAGAGCGCCAGTTACGATGAACGCGCCTATGCCGGCTATGGTAAGTGAATGTTGACCAGTAATTATTGTTTGTGCAAATATGCATCTTCGAGTTTTGCCATATCCTCCCACCTTTTAGATTCGCAGGCATATACGCAGAACTATTCGAATGCAGCTGCCTATTACTAGAGTACAGCCTGCCGCATCCTTCATCCCTGGCTATACACATTGGTGAAGAACGCTGCGCGTGCTCCAACACGTATGCCAAATACCAAAACAAGGGAATAGGGCCAACAAATACAACAAAAACAACAACAACAAAAAAGAAAAATGATGTTTAATGCAGAAATTTGCTTGCTATATATAAATACATACACGTAGACACACATACCCACACACATACACTCAAACACATAGTTAGTCTTAAGCATAAAGTTCTCTTTTCCTAGAGTTTAAGTTGAACCGTGTTGCTACGTCTTGATTTTCGCCTCTCTCTCTCTCTCTCTTTCTCTCTCTCTTCCCACCTTATCAACTATCCGAAATCTTTATGTTTGTTTGTCTATGCTTTACCAATATTTGATCATGTGACTGGCGAAAAGATTACATTGCCTGTTGTTATGTGTTTCGTTTAAGGACAAACGGAGCCTTGGAAAAAGCTCCAGCCTCAAAAAAAAAATCTGATATATATATATATCTTAATATTTTACAATTATTTTTCGATATATCTAGTTAATGAATGCGATCCAAATCTAAATCAATACTGTGAATCATGTCATATTGTAAACAACAATTGCAATGTATAAGTTTTAGTTGATAGCAAGCAATGCTTAATTTTTCAAAACATTTCTCAACGAATGGAGCTTTTTATATACACATATTTTTTTCACATGAATATCTGAAAAATTTACTGATTTCCCAACAATTATTTGTATCTTTAATATATTGACGTGAAAAAGAACACAATTATTATTTCTTTTCCTAATAATAGCAAGAATATAAGCAACAAAAACGTAATTATGTAACTCTTATTGATTAAGCTGAGCAAAACAAAAAAAATAAAAAAAAAAAAAAAACAGAAAGAAATACACAAAAATTTAATAGCAAAACAAAGCTAAAATCATAAATTTATCAAAGTCAATAAAATAATGTTTAAAAATGTGTGTAATGCATTAAACTTATTTAAACGTAAAAATTATTATTTCAAATGTTTTGTTTAAACAAAAAAAAACCAAAGAGTACAAATGCAACTAATTAAGCAAATGAAAAAAAGTGCAACACAAATTATTTCCAAAAAAAAACAACAGTTTTTTTATGAAGAAGCATCATACTACATTCCCAATCAAATCAAGACAAATTCAAGCCACATTCAAAATGAAGTAACAGAAGAATAATGTGCAATGTACCAAAACGCAAAATAAAACCAAAACAAATCTAAAAAAAAAAGAAAAGAAATGACAAATTTAAGTGCACCTGAAGAACAACAAGAATCAGTCGTGTTCAAAACGATCTTAAATGTTCATCGAAACAAATGTTTCAGTAGATATATGTATATATATATATATACATGTATATATATATATATATATGTATATATATATATTTTTAAATCTCCGAGTATATAATATTCAAATTTAAAGCGATGATTCAAGTATATACAAACTTAAGAATATGGCAGTCTTAACAAAAAATTATTCCAAGCGAAGCGACTTAAAAAGGTTTAAATGCACAGAAAAAAGAAAACCAAAACCAAAAATAATTTAAAAAAAAAAAAAAAAAACATATTTGGTAAGTTAAGTTGCAAGCCGCTGAAAGGCTAAACACAAAAAGAAACATAATATATCTTAAATTATAGGATAACTCAACACTTAAGCTATAAGCAAATCATTTAAAAATACCTTTTATTAATACTTTTTAAAGGTATAAAAAAAAGTCCATTGCTCGTTTCGTTTTTGTCCGTTGTCTATAATTTTAGATACGTTTTGGGGTAAAGTACAAACCTACCTATAAGAATATTGGAGTTGTTGAGTTATACTACATCAAATGCGGTCTCTTGTCGCATTTCTATCAAATTTCTGTAGCATTTAGTTTTCTTTTTACAGGAATGAGAAAACTAAATTAACAAAATGAAAGGCGTTTTAATACGTTTTTGAAGTGTGAAGGAATCAACTAAAAGGATAATAAAAAAGGTGATAATATCGAAACAAACACAACACAAAAAACTTTGAAAAAAAAAACCAATGATATTATATAACGAACTTTGATTTAATTATTGCACTTTTATGTTATTTACACTTTTGTTTATGTGAAAACAAATTTTATTTGTTTATATTTTATAAAGTAAAAAAAATTATATGTGGCCTTAAAGGCTGAAAAGAATTCAATTCAACAAAGTGATAAATTAGAACTTGAAAAGACTGATCAAAGCTAAAAACAAAAAAAAAAAATTACTCTTTTAGCATATATCAACAAAGAAATAAAAAAAATATATATATATAAGAGACATGCTATATACAAAGTAAAAGACACAACATAAAACTCTCTTATATAGAGAACGCATTTTGAAGATATATTAAAATTGAGTGAGATGTCTAAAATGAACAATTTTGACCTTAGTATAAAGATATTATTTCACGTACTTATCACACTCTATTCGCTTCTCAAATATACATAAATATATATATATATATATATATATATATATATATATATATATATATATATATATATATATATATATATAGATATATATATATATATTTATACAAATTAATGAAAAAAGTTTTCTAACGATTACAACTAAATTTATTGGTCCCTTTTATGCTATCTATGCAAATACGCATTCCATAAGTAAGCTTAACTTAACAAAACGAAACTTATCAGTAATGAAAACAGAAATTCAATGAAACCAAAGTACAAATACCAAAAAATAACAATTCAAGCAAGAGAATCTAAAATCATTTGTTATTTTTTTTTTAACTTTAGCATATTATAAAAAAAAAGAACTTAAAAAATACACCTATTTCACATTTATTTAATGTGGAATGCTTTATTTACGTTTTGCTCTATTATTTGTTTAATTTTTATTTATTTTATTAATAAAAGCGTAAAAAATCGCAACTAAACATGAATTTATAAACCATGCTATAATATGCAGAATTTTTAATACATTTTTATTACAGCAATCAATTAAGAAAATCTGATATATCCATAATTGACCAACTATCGAATAAAATCCAATGGAGCAATTATACATACAATAATACACACAAATGATTGATCCGCGGAAGCAGCACTGATCAATATATTACTGAAAACTTACAAATTCGAATCGACACATGTCAATCCAAAGACGACATATATATAATTGTACAATATGCCCGTTAAATACTTAACAACAACGGTCGACAGTGATAAATATAAATTTAGAAATGATGAATGATTTTGTGTAGTCGTGAATCTGACCATTCAATCTCCAAAAAATAATTGTCGGTCTCAATTTTTTTTTTATATTTATATTTGATGTATTGAGAATACATGTATTTTAAAAAATGGAAAATCCAGTATCCAGTACCATAAAATCAAAAACGACTACTCATCCTTATAGTTAATAAAAAATAGTCATTCATAAGAAATTAAAGTTTTACTAAAACAACTAAAAGAATAATTCATTGCCATCTTATAAAAAACAAAAACATTTTTGTATAATCGTCTAAAGTGGTTGAGAACATCGCAAATTAACATTTATTTTCAGCTTCGAAAAACACTAAGCCTTTATCATAAATAAAAAATGATTTTGTTTACATTTTCGCATGAGTAAAAATAATTGAAAACTTTGCCTTATTGGATATTAAATTCATTATCATTACAGTCAAAAAGCCATTCGACAAAAATGGTGGGTTTATAAAATAAAATACTTAATTTTCGATATTATAGGCTTATAACTTTTGTATCTATATCTGAAAAAATTAATAATAAAAAAATTGATCTGAATATTTTTATTCAGCGCCTGATTTTACACAAGAAACAATTAAGAGGAGGTATAATTCTTAAAATTTTTAAATGTGTTCGAATAGTGATTTGAATTAATATACAAATTTTAATATTTCAATTTAAAATGCATCTGTAACGTTCTTCAAATAAAAACTCCTTAAAATGATAAGTTTTGGCAAATCTTTGTTCAAACTGTTTTTGTATTAGCATTGAAAAAATAAACCAATTTAAATAGCATTTTTCATGCATTTAATTTGGAAGAAATAGAGACTTTATTTCAAAAAACGAGTAGAACAATTTAATTACATATTATATTGGTTATTTTTGCAAGTGCTTCATGTAAGGGAAATATAAACTGCTCATTATTATTGAATATTATGTGTTAGAAAATATGTTTTACAAAGTTTTTATTTGTATTTTACATTAATAAAGTGCTTTAAAACAAGACCATAAACAAATTAAGAGATCAACATTTTCATTATGTTTTTCGGGGGTCCTTGAATATGTACGAATATATACAAATATGAGATATTTACGAGTATATATTGTATACATTCATTTGTTTTATTTTATTATTATTGAACTAGAGAGCTTCCAAGTTGATTATTCACATATTCAACGGCAATGTGTGCCAAGAATACAATATGCTTATTATGTGAAGACGCCATTTTGTTGTGCTTGAAACAAATATCTTTATTTAAACCATCATTAGTCAGGGTCGCATCGTGTTATTAGATTATTTAGAGAGCGGGGTTGCTTTGTTCCTTAACGACGCTTGCCAAAACGCAGGAAGACGTGATCAACATCCGTCCGTTTGTTGTAGTTCTTCATCAAATCATCCGAGTTCGCCACGAGAGCTGTAAATAATTGAATTCCGTATATCTAATGGGCTTCATAGATTATTAATGTAATTGATTCTCACCCGATGCCTCATTGTTGATGTAGGACTTGAGGGCCGATGTCAATTGATCGGAGTTCTCCAGTGCCATGCAAACCTTTTTGATATGCTGCGGCATCTCCTCAACAATGCCGGGCTGACAGAGTGGAGCCTGTGTGGCTGCCTGGGCACTGTGCACGCCAACAGCCAGGAGGACAATGGCGAAACAGCAAATTGCAGTGAACTGTACGTGAGACATCCTGCAAATAAAAAAGAGTCAACAGACAATGATGATGAAACAAATGTGAAATAAACATTAAGCCAACAGGAGCAGCATGTAAATCATTATGAGCAATCTCCTTCAACTTATTTTTATTAACTGTAATAATCTGAGTATTACGTGCCTGATTATCGTTGCCAGGACAATGCGTTATTATTCTTAAAAGGCGTAATGCCTGCAGCATGCGGCAACTTTTCAATTTGCATTTCAATTTTTTAAGTCCAAGCCAACGTTGATGACAGTAGCGGAAAGATGGCTCTAATGTTCGCTACCGTGTTTATGCGTCAAACAATTTGTTTCTATTAAGCTCCAGGCAAGGACAGGTTGCCTAATCTGACTTGATGAAGATGTATCTGATATCTTTAAGCCGAGCGCACTCATACGCCCCGTTTAAGAAGCGATAGCTACCGTTTGGTAGTCGGTCATGCATTCGTCTATTTGTTATTAGTTCAGGTATTTGTATGTACCTTCACTAAGCATTACTCTGCTTCGACTGCCATGCAAATAATGTCATGTACGTGTTGGGCATGCATCTGCTTAGCTTAGAGGCGTATGCGATGCAGTCGCTGCTGTTTTCCAAAGATTTATTGACAGCGATTGGACGAAATGGGGTTGGCGAATGGAAATGGGGTATTGGCCCTTAACACTTAGTGAATTCCATGTGTATGTAAATATGAAATTACGCGAAAGTCCTCTAATGCAGTAGATGCACTAGGTCTCTATGTGTTATATACTTAGTTGGCTACTACAATTGTCCGATAGACGAGTAAGATGAGACTTATCTTAAATATAATATCTTAGCATATATCATATATAAGTTGCATAAATCAAAAGTCTACGACCATATTATGTAACGGACTAGCTAAGAACCTACAAAAATAGGTTATAATTACATTACATATTTTTATTCATGTTTATTATCGCCAAATATTAATATATGTTTATTTATGTATATTAATATATATTTTCACATTAAAACACTTTCAAAATTACTGACAAAATGAAAATATGTCATTCTCAAAGAGTTTGTTACTGCCAGAATATTATATATATTCTTAATACAGTTTGTTTGTTCTATTATTTAATCATTAATCTCAACAGTTAAATTTTTTAATATGCTTGTTAATATTTCAGCAAATTTGACAAAAACATAACATTATGTAATAATGAACTGCATTAATTAAAACAAACTAAAATATTTTTTTGAGCTTATTATGAGTTTAGTAGTCATTAAAGTATTAGCATTTCAAAATTCAATTTTAAATAATTAGAACACAACAGTTGTGTGCCTTCTTCGAGAGAAGCAAAACTATTTTCATATTTTTGAGCACTCCTAAATCATTAAAACGCTATCGATTGCAATTGAAGCTTAAAATACAAACTTTAACTTTAATTACTTACAGCTTCTAACTTTTGTATCTATATCTCAAAAAACTTAAAAAAAAAATGGATCTTCAAACGTATTCAAATTAAATACTTTCACTTTCTTAGTGTATTACTTTTGAAAATAGAATTACTGATCGCACTTGTGAAATTTTATAAGAAGGTTATAAGCAAAATAAACATATTCAAATAAGCCTTAACCTCTATTTATAATGTTACAAACCTGTTTAAGTTTTTGTGAGCTAGTTGGTCTAAATAGAGAGAATACTTGGAAGTCACTTGCACGTGTAATAACTGCTGTTCCTTGAATTGAACTTGTTGAACGCAGGCACTCGAATGATGCTCTGCTGTGGCAGGACATCAGCTTTTATTTACTTCCGCTGAGAACGCACACAGACATAGTGCCAGCATTCGATTGGCTGGCCGCATACATACACACGCATGTCAATGGACCACATGTTGAGCTTGAACAGGAGCTCGCCGGTTGGTGGGCGTGCTCAAATATTGCGTATACGTCACCGTCACCAAACACCAACAGAACCGTTGCTGGGTGGGCTTTAGCAACTTTTCGACAGTAGCTCACATGGAGATACAAACAACAGCGATGAGTTGTTCAATATGTTGATCTATTATGTAAGTTTTATCAGCTCTTAATTATGTTATAAAAGCACATTTTTTATGATCCAGTCGCCAGCCAACGCACTTTTATAGGTAGTTATGAACATTTATCTTGTACTTATGAGCCATCGAAGTTTATAGTCACTTTTAAAGCATGCATCGCCTCACGCCTCAAGCAAAATGCTTGTATAGATATTTATCTATGTGTGGGTGAGTGTGTGTGCGTGTTTACCTTTTGTGCAGTTTGCTTTTGAACTTAATTTTGTACGTCAGTAAGTAAAATAATCTTCAGTTTATGAGGTTGGGATTTGCAGTAGAAGCGCTGCAATTAATTTTCCACCGTGCGTGTTTGGCATGCAAAGTCGTTGACAAGATGTTCAGATAAGTTCATTTTAAAATGATGAACTTAGAATGAACTTAGAATAAGCGAAATGGAATGTTTAATTTAATTTAGTTTTCCAATGTTACTGTGCAAATCAAATTTGTTGCACTTAATGATATTACAAATGACACCACTTGACAAGATACAACTTAAGACAGACAGAAATGAACAGAAATATATTTAAACGTCGCTAAATTATTGCACAATATTGCTTTAATTCTTAAGCTAAACTAGTAAATATCTTCGACAGTTTACGATGAGTCTGCCGATGTTTAGTAATATTAGGATATCGAATCACGTATTAGCAATAATTGAAAATAATATAATAACATTTAAATGAGGGAATTGAAAAAATTACTTACGCATATTTAATTTGAACTTTGTAATCATTTTTACTGCGAAACAAACTTTCTGTTATTACTTATTCTTATTTATTAATATGACAATTTCTTAATTTAAAAAAACCTATAAGTTAACCGGGACTTGTGGGACCTACAAAATATATAGATCCTGGCAGCTAACTTGAGAAGCATTAAATTTAACATTCCACGCCCATATCTAATTGAAACGGCTAATATTCCATAGGACACAGCTAAAATATTAACCAAATGTCAAAAGAAAAAAATGTCCAGTCCATCAACAAATTTGGTAGCGTATTCACATTCGTCAGAAGTTAGTAAGACTCTAATTGGGTTACAGTTCAACACACATTTGAGGTCTTTGATGTTGAGTGCAGAAATCAGGCTAAATAGAATTGTCGCCACCATATGTGGGCATAATGCGGCATACGAAGAACGGAAATGGATGTGGGAAGTAAGTAGTGAGTAGTGCAAATGGAAATGTTACACGCGCCGTTGCCCTCGACCAACCATAGGAATGATAGACTACAATGCCGGCGACGAAATTTGCACAAAATTTGAATAAGCTGATTGAGTTTTAGTTGTGCGCATGTTATACGAATAGTTCGAACGTTTGGAGGGCATAGCTCTCCAACGTCGACATTAATATTTAAATTATTTTCGCAATTGAACATATGTAGTATATGGCGCCGTACTTTGAACTTTGGAAAAAAATGTAAGTTGCTGAATCCGAGTGCCTGTAAATGGTTTTAAGTATCTCGAATCAAGTTTAGCATTTCTCAAAAACATACATATTTATTTAATTTCATGGGTAACATTTAAAACTAAGTACATTGCACAAAAGGCCAAGCAGATGAGTGTTGACCACTGCCCACTCAGTTCAGCATCTTGGCACCAATAGGTTCGGGCGCAGACATCGCATAGCCCAGATGCTGAAGCGCTCGCCGAATCTCACTGAAGATACTGGCATCATCGATGGTTGATGGCAGGACAACAAGCTCGTTGCGGGCAAAGTCCGCCATTGCCTTACGCATTGTCTTGCCGGATCGAGTGCGTGGCAAATTGTTGACCGAGGTGATCAGGCGGAAGGCGGCAATAGGGCCAACCACATCGCGTATTAGCTTGATAATCTCCGCGGAGAGCTTGGCATCCGTTTTCTTGCAGTTCTCTACAGGAATGTACAGACAGAGCGGCACCTGGCCCTTAGTTGCCTCCGGCACGCCAAAGACGGCCACGTCGACAACGTCGGGATGACGGAGTACTGCATCTTCAAGACTGGAGGTGGACAAACGATGGCCAGCCACGTTTATGACGTCATCATCGCGAGCTGTTACAAAAATGTAGCCACGTTCATCCTTATAGCCAGCATCCATTGTGTCGTAGTAGCCCTGCAAAAATATATAACATATAAGAAATTGCAAAACCGAAACAAGCACAGCTCACCGGAAATTTTTGGAAGTAGAGTTTGCGAAAGAGTTCATCGTTTTTATATAGAGTGGCCATATTACCGGGAGGCAGTGGCAACTTCAGCACAATCCGGCCCAACTCTGAGGGCAGAGCCTCTGTGCCATCCTTCTTGAGTATCTTGACTGTTAAAATGGCATGTTTATAAAATAACAAAAACGATTTGATTATTACAATAGAATCAACTCACTATCATAGCCCACCAGTGGGAGACCGGTGGAGTACATGGGAGGATTGACGTTCTGTTGGAAGCCCAGACATGTTGCCGTTACAGCCGAACCAGTCTCCGTCTGCCACCAGTGATTCAGGACTGGCACCTTGAACGTCTTCCCTATCCACGCTTTTGTCTCGTAGTCACAGTGCTCGCCTGCTATGAAGATAGCTCGCAGGGATTTCATGCAGTACTGCCGCCCATAGCTGATCTCCGGATCAGCGCGACGTATAACACGGAAGGAGGTCGGCACAGAGAAAATGGCGCATACCTTATGCTGATCAATGAGTCTAGAAAAGATAATATTGGGATAATTCTGAAATGGTACAATTAAATTTTCAAATGACCTAAGTCAAGAATCCTGTTGAAAATATTTGCTTAGTTTTGGTTCGTCTACCAGACACAATAACTTTTAGCCAGGTTTAATCAGAAGCGATTTAAGCAAATAATATCCATGGTGAATCTTCACAGACAATGTGGTTAGTAGCGGAAACAGCGGATTTTTTAACAATAAGAAGGTATAGTCCGGTTGTATCACCTTAGTCAGAATAAGATGAAGTAGTTGGACATCAAAATTCTCAACCCGATAAAAATTCTTAAGGAGCTATAAGCTCAGGAAGGGGCACAATATATAATAATAATATGACATTATAATATAATCTATTAAATCAGATCGTGCTTTAGAACAGTAGGAGTCTATTTAGAAATTTTAGAAAGATAAAAAATGTATGTATGAATTCGATATAAATAAAATATAAATTTCTGCGGACTGTATTTGCACTTTTTACAGTGATTATAAGAAATTATAAAAAATATTTGAATAATACAAATGTAATCTTGCTGCCTGGTTAAAATAATAAATTATAATAAAGCATAAAATAAATAATAGTTAACTAAAAAATCGTGTGGTACGTATCAAAATTATAACTCATTTCAGATAAAGTTTGTATTGCCAAGAACAAAAATAATGATAAATTAAATTTTTTATAATTTACAAGGATTTAATAAATTGTGAATGTTCAAAAAAAGTCATGGTAAAGTTTTGTTTAATTAGGATTGTATTTTTTAGAAATGTAGATTGGAAGGCCATAAGCCAAATTTGTTTTTGTATTAATTATGCAATAATGCTACTCAAATCCTTTATATTTTAACCATTTACCTACTCACCTGAAGTACTGTCCCGGGTCCGGTGTGCGATCCGGCTTGCCCTCGTACATGACGCTCGTGGCACCCAAGCAAAGCGGACCGTAGCATATATAAGAGTGTCCTACGACCCAGCCCATATCGGAGGCAGCCCACCACGTATCGCCTGGCTGAATGCCATAAATCATTTTCAGGGTGTACATCAGTGCCACCAAATGGCCTCCAATTGTGCGCATCACACCCTTCGGCTTGTCCGTAGTGCCAGAAGTGTAGAGTACGTAAAGCGGATCATTGGCTTCGACGGGCACACATGCCACTGGCTGATTGGCATCAGCCATGGCCAGCACCGTCGACCAGAGCACATCCGCCGTCTCATCCAGAATCTCCGATGCAACATTTTCACGCATAAAAATTATATTGCGTTGCGGTGGCCTCCAGCGCGACATATTGATGGCCGAGTGCAAGATGTCCAAATAGGGCACCACTTTGCCAGGCTCTACGCCCGCATTAGCTGCAATAACAAGCTTCGGCTCCACGTGTTCAATACGCGAGCAGAGCTCCTGTGCGGCGAAACCACCAAAGACCACCGAATGTATGGCGCCAAGGCGAACAATCGCCAACATGGCTACAATTGTCTCCGGTATCAATGGCATATAGATCACGACCCGATCCCCCTTGGTCACGCCCAGTTTGGCCAGTCCACCGGCGAGTAGCACAACCTCATCGTATAGCTCCTGGTAAGTGACCTTGCGCACCGTCTCCGTCATCGGGCTATCGTGGATCAGGGCCACGCTGTCCCCCCTGCCCGCTAGAATGTGCCTGTCGATGGCATTGTAGCAGGCGTTCAAATACCCACCCACATACCATTTGGTAAATGGCGGATTGCTGTTATCCAGCACTTGCTGCCAAGGCCTGTCCCAATCCAGCAAGTGTCCCAACTCCTCCCAGAAGGCAACTGGATTTTGCACAGATTTGCGATACGCCTCCAAGTACAGCGGACTGTGAGCCTCAACGGGCATGACATATGTAGACGACGAAACACCTTTATATATAAAACAAATCAATCATTTATAGTTTTCAAGTTCATTGACCTGCCGAGACGGGATGTTTAGTGGCATTAAATCCTACAGAAATGTAGACGCTGAATAGAACTTAAAATCGGTCAAAGCCAAAAACTAATTTGCACTTTTGCGACATGCGACTTGGTTAATTACATTTTATATATTCAAAAAACTCTACTTCGCTTTCAGTTGTCGCTTATATATATATATATACGTATATATATATATATATATATATATATATATATATATATATTCCTATGTATATCTATCGGGTCTGACAGACAGCTCAGTAAAATAAGGGCTCCATGACATGATACTACAGTTTCTATAGGCTCTAGCTCAATTCAATTTGAACTTTAAAATTTATGTACGCTTACACTTGGAATAAATACGTTATTTTCCGAATGAAGTACAGATATCCAAGTTGGCTGAATCAGACCATTTTCCCATAAAATTGTCAGTATATTTTTTGTTTACCAACTGCACTGCTAATATATATCGCTTCTACAGAAAGAATCGGTCATGTTTTCAATTTAGCAATCTGCAAACGTTGGCGTGACTAGGCTGTTATTTCTTGTTCCAGGTTTATATATATGTAAAATATATATATATGTGTAATTACATCACAAATTTTTGTTGTTTTACGAATTATACAAATACATTATGTACTCATAAATAATCACTCCCTATGCACAACACATTTGGATATTATTGAAAAATCGACTTTCAATTGTTCCTTTATCATTGTTTTTTTATATTTATAATGAAACCGATTTCTTTGTGTCAAGATTAGTATTGAAAACTTACTGCCGTCGTTATTGGGTTTATTCACTGCGTCTTTAACCAACTCCATTTTCGCAAGTACGTCACTTGATGATATGTATTATGTACTCCAAATGAATGTACATAAATATATGTGTATATATGCAGATTATCTCCTATATCGGAAATTGTAGCTCAGCTTGGACACAACCGTCGCTTGGAAGGCGAAACGTTGCAATGAAATTTAAATGCTCGCACAACAAGTGAAAACCAGAACTCAAAAGCAGTGGATCAAAGGTGTTTGAACACTCTCACTAAATGACAATATTGAGACGTTTTTTCAAAACAATTGATAGTCTCACCCCAATAAAATCAAAGTTTTTATAATTAGTCGATTTAAAAACATTTGACTTTCACATCTAAATCCAAACTAACACTTAAGTTATAACAACCAAAAGGTTGTGAATAAGTAGGAAAGAACTTAGTACCTCCATTTTGACGTAATAAAAAAAAGTTTTACTAAATAAATATATAACCTAATTAGAGATCTGTAAGACTTTCTAGTCAATACAATAATTAAAAAAGCAGAATAATTGCAAATAATTATTAGTTTGTATATTTTTTATAGACCATAAGCCAATCGATTTCAATTTTGTTGTATCAATAAAAGAGAATTCTGAAAATGTACTTTAAGAGAGCATTTTTTTAAAGTTTGTCATTCTCCAAGCTCTTAAAGCATTTTCAGTAAGGTTTATTTACATATGCTGATGGCGCAGCTAAATCTGAATATTTTCAATTGCCTTCCGACTTGTAACCTTATTTTAATCGTAATCAAAACCATGTCAACGGTATTATATATGAATGTAATTTAATGCTTTTTACTGTATTTGTATAAAGACATTCTGAAGTTATAAAAGTGTAGTAAATATATAGATTTAAAATATAGTTGTGTGTCTATTTCTTCTTTTTATCCTTCTTGGATTTCTTGGCGGGTGGTTGTGCAGCAATCCCCTCTACTGCCTCCGATGATGTCTCCACACTGAAACCCTTTATGAATGGCTTGACCAATCTAAACACCAGCTTTTCGTGCTGCACATTCGTCGAGTCCAAACTAAGTCTCACTGTGACTGGATCAAAGGAATGGAAAATCACACTGCCACATCGTTGCGTGTGATCCTCCTCATTGAATGTGAATATGATTTCGCTCTTACTGCGCTCCGCACCATCTTTGCCATCCTTGTCGCCCTTCAGGTAGAGTGTGCCCTCCAGGCCGTACTTGGGTATAAGTACTTGTAAGGCATTCTTGCGCACAAACAAAACATATCTGTAAAAAGCAATAAATTAGTAAAAAAAAAAAAATAGCACAAAAAAAACTTTGTTGCTTTACCCCTCCTCGTCCTCCTCTTTGCCGCGGAAGAACATATGTGTATTAAGCGCCACGGATGCGCGACCAGCGTATTGCGCCATTTTGTGACGATAATTTAGATTATTGCACAGCTCCTCGTTAGACTTGCGCTCCAACAGCTGGGCATATGTACTGTCGGCTCCAATGGAGGCTGCCAGTAGGCGATGTACCATGATGTCCGAGTACCGACGAATTGGCGAGGTAAAATGCGTATAAATATCTGCTGCCAGGCCATAATGGAAGAACTCCTCCTTTTGCAGGCTGCCGCTGATGAAGTACACCGCTTGCATCATGCAGCGTGTGGTTAGAATTCGAATCATCGTGTTGAAGTACGGATTATCCGCCTTTACACATTTATCTAGCGAATGCGCCAACTCGAGACCTGAATCCGTGACCACCTCAAAGCCCTGATAACGTGCCGCCTTCACAAGCGGATCAAAGTTGGTTGACGGTGGCTTTGGATGACGACGCAGCACAGCGCATTCGGTAAACTCGTCAGCAATGTGCTGCGCCACAGTTATATTGGCCAACAACATGAACTCCTCCACCATTGAGTTAGTATCACGCATTTGCTTGGCCTCCACCTCCAGCGGCTCATGCGTCTCACTGTCCACCTGGAAGCGTATCTCTGGCGAGGCCAGCACCAATGCGCTAAAGGGAATGCAAATTAAAGCAGCGCATTGAGAAGTCTTCTGGAATAAACTTACCCGTTGTCCATGCGACGCTTCTTGAGTATCTTGGCCAGACGATTCAGATGACGCAACGATTTGGCGATCTCTCCAGTCTGTGTGGGATCATCGATAAGGGCCTGTGCCTCCTCATAAGTCATAGCGCGCTTGGACTTAATAACGCTCTTGTGAAAGCGTTTATCCAGAATATTCGCCTCCCTGTCCACTTCCCAAACGCAGGAGAAGGCAAAACGCTCGACGCCGCCAACCAATGAGCAGAGATTGGAACTGAGTAACTCCGGCACCATATCAATGCGCTTGCCCACTAGATAAACAGTTGTGCCACGTGCGGCAGCCTCTTTATCCATTGCATTCCCAGGACGTATAAAATGGCTGACATCGGCAATGTGCACGCCCACCTCAAGATTCCCATTGGGCAATTCGCGGCAATGTAGCGCATCGTCAATGTCCGTGCAACCGGGTGGATCCACAGAGCAAATATATAAGTCACGCAAGTCCACACGCTTGGCATAATCCTCTTCTGTAATGGACCACGGCATTTTCGGCAAGAAACCGAGCACTTCTTCGGAAAACTTGCAGTGCGGCACATCGTGCTCCAGTAAGATCACTTCATTTTCAGTTGCCATGTTGCCCAAGGGGCCCAAAGAACGCACGAAATGCCCATGCGGATAACGTGAGTTCCTCGGCCAACTGTCAATGGTCACTATGATGCGCTGATTCTGCAGCTTTGACGCCTGACGGGTCTCAATGCGTATGCGTGGAATCTTGCGATCAGCGGGCACAAAAATGTGCCGAGTGGTGTCCTCAATCAGACTGGGCTGTAAGATGCCGCAATACTGACGCCACTTGCGACGCACAATGCCCACAATGCGACCTGTGGGTGTGCGCTCTGCGACTGGTGCAGTCTGCACCTGCTGCAGCATCTCATTCTCTTCCTCCGCACGCTCCTCGCTGGGCACGTCATCGGCATAGACATTCTTCTCCTCAAGCACAATCTCACTGGGCGCCGACCATTCGCTTTCAGGCAACAACTCCACAGCCACAAGGTCGCCCTCGACGGCGCGGTTAAGCGAGTCGCGTCCTTGTATTAAAATCTTCAAATTGTCATGGAATTAGTCGGATGAGTCGATAATAATGATTTTAATATATCTTTTAAAGTAAATATTTTGTACAGCAAATTTCATTGGATGTTGGATAAAATGTATATGAATAATCAAAAGATCTTTGACAATGGGATATTGAGATAATGAGTACACCGATATCTACTTGACCTTAACCGGGATCGCAATAAATTGCACTTGCGTAAGCGTAAGCATTGGGAATATTTTGTGAAAAACTTACACCAGTTTCATAGCCCTCCACACTAACACTGCCTTCGAGATAGTTCTCCCTGGATGCATGAAAGGAGCCTTGCAGCAATTTCTTTAGACGCAGACCCTCGAGCAGTGCCTTCATGCTTAGATGAGGCGGAAATTGGGGCAGTGCTTGCTTCTCATTCTCGAATGTCTTTAGCGACAACTTGTCGACCAGCAACGGAAAGTCTTCGAGCGATTTAACATACTCCGCTGCGCTAGCCACCAATATATTCTCTGCCTCTGCCTTGGCACGGTTGCCGGCATCGTCTGTAAGCAGCACAACGCGGGTGACACTGCGTCCACTGCGCTGAAAGACCTTGGGGTCCTGCGAGGCTTGCAGATGGGAATCATACCATTTGGTGGCCAATCGAATTGCGCGATCATTGCGATCGTTGGCGGTCTCGTCGGGCTCTCGATCGGCGTAGGTGTCTCTGGTGAATTGAAAATTAAGTTGAATGTTAGTTACTCAAAACTGAATCCAACTAAAACTTTACTGACTTGTGGTGCTCGTTGACAAACACATAAAAGTTGCGCGTGCGATCGTGAATAAGTTCGTTGAGACGCTTGTAGATGGACGAGCTCTTGTGTTTCACTTCGTTCAGCACCGTGGTGAGCACGATTACATTGTGGAGTACATCCTCCTCGAGTACATCGATTTGATCTAAGACCACATTGGTGTCCAATACAATGTAGTGTGGAAATTTGAAGAGGCTGCTTTTGATGTCGTGCCCCGATGTCAATTCGTATACCTCATTCTGGAAGCAATACTGACACAGATCTGAGCCGCAGCTGATGTCATCGCGTAGATAATGCTCTCGCACAATCTTCAAGATGTTGCCGCGTTTGGTTTTACGCGTAAATTCGCGTAAAGTTTGCATATTTGTAACGAAATGAAATTAACACCACAATTCACATGCGTGCAGGAACAGGGGGTCTTTACACGTTCAGTCCAATTTCCAAACAGCATGCACTGTACAAAAAATTGTCGATCATACTTTGCAATTATTCTGCGAGCAAACGCATCAGTTTCACCAATACACTTTTACTAAACAAATGTTTGTTGAGTAAAAAGCAATAACAACATACCAATCTCTTTGAACAAAACGCATCATATATTTTGCCCCATCTTAACAGATTTTCGTCATACAGACAGTTGCGTATTTTGTGTTTTGCAGCACTAGCCCCGTTGGCGTTAATCAGCACTGCTTCAGCATTTGTATTTGAAGTCTTCAGCACGTGTACAACGCACGTTGCGGTGTTATTTAAATTATTTAAAGCTTGCTAAAGATTATATTCGGTATGGTTTCGAATGAGAAAAGCTTTCCGCGCGGCGGAATAGCAAACTTACAAGCAAATACCGAAATTAGCACACCAAATGTCGTAAGTGAACAAGATCAAATTCCACCAGTTCAATTGCTGACTTTTCCGGTTTTCTTGCAGATTTTTGGTGCCACCCAGAAAAAGATAAAGAAGGCGCCAAAGCCAAAGGATAAACAAACCGACAATGAAAATACAGAGCAACTGCAGGCATTCTCCGCGGAATCGCTAACATTCGACACACTCCAGGAGCATATGCTGGTGATGGGCGTCGTGAAATCAGCGACCGCCACCTCGCTCCAAATCGCACTTCCCGGTCGAATGATGGCGCGCGCTCTCGTCGCCGATATATCGGATGCATACGCACGCGTCGCCCAGTCCTACATGGGCGGCGACGATAGCGAGTATCACGATCTGTCCGAGCTGTTCAAAGAGGGACGCATCGTCTATGGACGGGCAATGAAAACGGATAGACAGGAAGGGAAAAGCTCAACGCTCTTGCTGACACTCAAGCCGGCCGATGTGAACAGCAGCTTGCGACACGGCAGCATCAAGAAGGGTTTCATCTTCACGGGCGCCATCGAGGAGATACAGGAGCACGGCTGTGTAATTGAGACTGGCATTCAGGGGCTACAGGCTTTTATGCCCAATGAAGACGTAGCACAGCAGCATCACATCGGCGAGCTGATCTTTCTGAAGGTGAAGCAAATTCAGCACAATGCCGAGCGGAGTACTTGCCAGTGCATCCAGCTCGAACAGGATAAACTAAAGATCAAGAGTCAGAATGAGACAAATCTGGACTACATTCTACCAGGAAGCATTGTGAAGTTCAAGGTGTCCAAGCAGCTAAAAAACGGACTGGAGGGCAGCATTATGAACGAATCGTTTAGGGGCTACGTGAATGAGCATTATTTATCCGAGGCACTGTACACGCCCCAGGACTATGAAGTGAACGAGGAGTATCTGGCACGTGTGCTCTATGTGATGCCACTGACCAAGCTGGTCTATTTAACCTTTAATTTGAATATCGGCGTCACAGCCGAGCAGGAAGCTGCCGATGAAGAGGAGCTGCCCAAAAAGGGCACTATTGTGGAGAAGGCACGTGTTCTACGCCATGGCACTGGCGGCATCATACTCCTGCTGAATCGCAAACACAAGGGACTCATTTCGTACAGCTCCATCAAATCCAACTTCAAGGGTAACTACGATCAGGATGTGGTCCTCTCCAAGTACAGCAACAAGAGCAAGCACACGGTGCGTGTGCTGGGCTATGATGTGATTGAGTCGCTCTATTATTGCACCGACAATCCCAATGTGGTAAACGAAAAGCTATACATGCTGGACGATCTGCTAGCCGGCGACATTGTTTCGGCTCGCATTGTCAAGCCAGATTCAAAGATTGGCGGCTACTGTGTCAAAATAGGCAACGTGAATGGTATCATTGAGCAGATGCAGCTGGCACCAAATGTCCACTACGAGATTGGACAATGTCTGCGTTGCCGTGTCCTGGACATCTGCACTGAACGCAAGATTTGCTATCTGAGCAATCGAAGCGAATATTTGAGCAAGAGTGCCAAGCTCCTCACCACACTGCAGTCTGCACATTCAGGCAATCTCTTCACCGGCACGGTGGTTAAGTGCGAGCCCACCTATATACTGGTCAAGTTCTGTAACGGCCTCAAGGGTGTGCTGCACAAGCAGCGCCTCAACGGTTTGATGGAGGCCACCTTCTTCGAGGGCCAAACGACCAAATTTCGAATTGCAGGACGAAATATGGAACAGATCTTGCTAACGCTGCCCGAGGACAAGTTCCAGCTGGGGGAAATCTGTCCCGTTGAGATCACAAACACCTTGGACGCGGGTCTGGAAATTAAAATCACCATCGCTAGCGATGAACAGGACGAGTCGATGGCAGATGATGCGGAGGAACAGACTGAAGATTTTTTCGGTCTAATGCCACTGCGTCTGCTCTCGGATTACGTGGATTTACAGGAGGCACAGAAACGCATTTATCCCGTCGGCTTGCACATCGAAGCCGCCTGCATTCAGCAGAACATTTTCAGTCTGCGCGATGTGCCCTATTTCAGTGAGAATGTAACCAAGGATTGGCGCACCGTCCAGGTGGGCGATGTGCTGCGAGCACATGTAAAGCATGCCACCGATCAGGTGCTGGAGCTACTGCTTCCCGTGCGCAACTATAACAAACTGGTCAAACTGCACGTCAAGATGCTGTGCCCGAAAACCTATCGCGATGTGCCCATCATGCTGGAGCCCGATCAACTGCTGTACGTTAAGGTGCTCAGCAAGGAGTCGGAGACCAAAACGCTCACCGTATCCGCCAAACTGACACATGTGTGGAGTGGCCAGCTTTCAGATACAGCCAAGCTAGTGGAGAGGTAGGTGAATCAAAAATCCCATTCTTAAAAGTACTCATTCAAATTGAAAATACTTACAGCTATTTGGAAGAAATACTGGACATAAGGAAATCATTGAAAATATTGGATGCACCCATTGCCAAGCACACATTGGGCGATAAAATAGATGTAATCTTCAAGGGCGTTGATCCGGCGACAAACAATTGGGTATATAATTTGAATGGTTCCAATGCAATAACAGCGCTGTTGGTTGCCAGCATGGTGGGCACAGCGGCGACAGCACCTGAAGTGGGAAGCAAACAGCAAGCGGTCATCTTGTGGATTGACTATGCCAACGATATATTGCTCATAAGCAACAGGAAGGTTGATATTGAGCACATTAGCAACAGCAGGGAGTTGCCTCAAAATCTAATTGCCAAATCGGGCATGAAGGCCAAGGTGCTGCTCAAGCTGGACAGCATTGTGGTGTGCTCGCTGAAGAAGGGTGCCAACAATCCCCTTGTGCTCTGCCCGTTGCGTCTGCACCCTAACGATGTGGAAAACTCCGCCAGTGCTTGCCTGCGACAGGGTGACTTTTGTAATCTGGCATTTATTCACGAGCAGCTGCCGATTGCTGTGCCAGAGACTGTGTGGAAGCTGTGGAAGGGCGTTAAGCGTGCTGCAACCGATGAGAGTGAGGAAACGCCCGTCGTCAAGAAGGCCAAACTGGAATCAAATCCAACGACGCCAAAGGTACCAAGTAATAAAAAAGAGAAAACGGTGCCGCTGCAGAATGGCAAGCAAAAGAAGAATGGCCAGCTATTCTTCGAAGACAAAAAACCGGCAACAAAGTCAGGTAATTTAAAATCCAATGTAACCGATTCCGCCGACAAGATCAGACTGCCAGGCATTAGCAGCTTTTGGGAGGCGGGGCTCAACACATTGAACGGCAAGCAGGAAGAAGTCAGCTCTGCAGACGAGGATGATGATAAGTTCATTGCAGCAGCAGAAGCTGATGCCAATTCCAGTAAAAAGAAACGACTTGGCGCTAAGGCAAAGGCCAAGGCGGAAGTCAAGGAGGAGCAGCGACTACGTAAAATCGAAGAGCGTAATGCAGATCCCAGTCAGCAACCAGAAACCATCGATCAGTTTGAACGTCTAGTGATTGCCGAGCCGAACAACAGCAAATCCTGGATACAGTACATGTCCTTCCTGCTGTCAAATACAGAGATCGTTAAGGCTCGTGAAATTGCTCGACGCGCCATCAAAACAATTGCGTTCCGCGAGACCAAAGAGCTGCGAAACATTTGGATTTCCCTAATAAATTTGGAGCTCAGTTACAATTCATCCAATTTTGATGACGTGCTCAAAGAGGCACTTAGCCATAACGATCCCCTGGAGACATACCTAAACCTAGTCGATGTGCTCAAGTCGCACAATCTGAAGGAGCGTCTCATCAACACATTAAATATAATCATGCGCAAATTCCGAACGGAGTTGCAGGTTTGGAAAGTTTCAGCCGATGCTTACTTCTGGCTAGGATTGGTGGATCGTGTGCAGCCAACGTTGCAGCGAGCACTCAACGTCTTGCCCAAAAATCAACGTAAGTACTTAATAAATATTAATCAATTGACTATTAATTAAATTATGTTGTTCCAATCCTAATTGCAGACATCAATTGCATTGTTGCTTTCGCGAAATTGTATGCGCAGCATGAGGATAATGCGATGGCGCAAACATTGCTGGATGGTATTGTCACCTCATATCCAAAACGTATTGATATTTGGGTGCTGTACGTGGACATGCTAATCAAGAGTGGATTAATTGAATCCGCAAGGTGCGTACAACAAATTGAACTCAATAAATTGGTGTATTGACTTTTATGTGATCACTTGTAGAAATGTACTGGAACGTGCTGTGCTGCAGAAGCTGCAACCGGACAAGATGCTTGTCATCTACAAGAAGTATCTGGACTTTGAGGAGAAGCACGGCACGGAGGGGAACGCGGCTAGGGTTAAGCAGCTGGCCGAGCAATACGTCCAGAGTCAAAATAAGGCGCTCAAATAGGTTATACAATTTATGGAAAGATACAAAAATATATGTGTGTGGATATGAATATCAATTTGGTGAAGCATCCCCCCCACTCGCATCAGCGAAACCGATTGACAATTAAAGTTTTTGTTGATACTTTATTCTAACATCTATTTTAAATGAAGTGTGTGTGATTCTTGGACGCCTACTTTTGTTTTAAACATATGTATATTATATATATAAAAATACATACAAACTGTGTGCGGCCACTCCCACAGGGCGCAGCTACATATAGAAATGTAGTAGCGAAGTCTGGAGAGCGTGCCACATCATAACTTACATTTGGAACAATGAAAATGAATGAATGGTTTGGGATTGGTGTTAAATAATGAATATGGTTTAAGAATGAGAACATAATTTCTTTAAGAATAGTTTTGGGAGTGGGAGTGGGGGGGTGACTGTGTTTGTGGGCGTATTATTGGGCGTGGTTGGCGATGCAGCACAGCGACACCTGACGTATTTCAATGACAATGAATGACTCTTACACATTAATCAATAATATGATGCAAATGATAGAACATGTTATTTGCTCATTCGATTATAATTAATTTTTACATAAAACAGTCTTGAGCGCAGCGCTTCCGGGCGCCCAATTTCAATCCTTAAATATGCCTCGCGCCTTTGCTGATATTTTGCGCACACGTCCCCGACTGCTGACGCTGACCAGTTGCTCATCACTGTCCGCCTCGCTGCTTTCGCCATCTTCGACCGCGCGCGGCTGCTCCTCGCGCTCCTGTGAGCTGGTGTTACTGGTCGCCGCATGAACATCTCCATTGCGCATACGCTTGCGCATATTGTTCTCCTGCTGCTGATCTTCCTCATCGGATTGTTCATTGTAGCGCGGGCGCTTCTGGTTGCGTCCGCTGCGATGATTGCGACCGCTGCGATGATTGCTACGCAGGCGATTCGATCGATCGCGCGGAGCCTCATAATCGTCATCGTCGTCATCGTTCATCAAGGATTGATCAGATTGTGCACGACCGTGTCGCGCTTGGCGCTGTTCGCGTCCCTGTCTGGCGCCGGTTGCTGCGGATGAGGACGAGGTTTTGGTTTTACGGCGTGTACGTCCATTATTGGGCGCTACATAACTGGTTAGGGGCTGATTGTCTTCAGAGTCTGTGGCAGTTGCTTCCGCATCATCATCGTCGCCGTCGTCGTTGCTGACCTGTGAACTGGAGCCGCCATCAGTGCCCTCATCGGAGGCAGCGGCTTCCTCCTCATCTGGCGGTTCCACTGCCTGCTCTTCTTCTTCCTCCTCACCCTGCGACTGCTCCTGACTGTAGCGAGCACGCAATCTGCGAGTCGTAACATTATTCGTTGTGGGGATGGGGCGTCTGGAATTGGGATTTGACATAACAGAAAGCAGGCGAGGGGTGTTGAGCGGATCGAGACTTGTGTCCAGCTCATCAGCATTGCGCTGGTGACGCGACAACATACGACGAGGAGCACGCGATGCCGCCGTCGACTCACTGCCCAGATAGTTATGATCATGTGCGGCCATAGCCGGCTCCTGTTGGCTAGAGCTGCTAGTTGTGGACGTGGCATGCGAGCGCGTCATATGCGTGCTACGTGGCACCGAGGGTAGACGGCGTCGCAACGCCAACGGGTGAGGAGCTACTGTGCTGGATTTAGGAGGCACAGTTTCTGTTACACAAAACAAAAATAGGAAAAAAAAAAAACAATTTAATTGTGAAATTGGACAAGAATCTAGTCTTACTCACTTTGCTGGTTGTTGGCCAACGGTTCATTATCGCTATCATCGTCATCGTCCTCGCTGTCAGCAGCTGCTGTCACAACCGTATTGCGATTTGTACGCAGCTGCCGGGATGATACTGCCGCGCTGCTCGCTTGACTGAGAGCCGCTCGACTCGTCGATGGCATGTCATCCTTTGTGGGCGTGGGTAGAATCTAAAAGAGAAATAAAATCAAAGTTTATGTTTTTGATATTGGTTGAAAATATTCAAGCATAGAACTGACTTCTTCAGCCTCTTCGCTTTCTTCGTCATCCTCCTCTTCCATATCACTGCCGTGTGCCCAATCGATGAGAGCGCGTTTGGCGCTTTGCCTGGTCGGACGCCCAACTGGACCATGCGAATCCGTATCAGACTCAACGATGCGACCATTGCGCACGGGCAGATGATAGCTGTGATCATTTTCGGCTGCATTGTGAGATCGTCCGCCATTGGCTCGAGTATTTCGGGAGGGACTCTCGAGGCTGGAGCCAGCTGATGCAGCAGCGGCACTAGTGCTCGGCCCATTGCCAATGGTCGTGGAGCTCTTAACTCTAGCCGGCCGACCTTTCTTTCGCGGCGTCTGGCTGTCCTGGGTGCTATCATCCTGTTGGGAATGGGACGCTGCCACCATCAGATGCTCATCCTCGGAACTGCCCAGTAAGCGGCGTGTGCGACGAGTAGGCGCCACAGCTGCACCACGACTTCCACCCGGCTGAGCAGCCTGCTCGTTTCGATGTCTTTTATTGCCGTGGCCTTGCTGACTGTTGGCTTTGCGCTTATTGCCGGCAACAGCGGCACGTCCGCGCCGACGCTCGTTGGGATTGTAGCTCTCTTCGGAGTCTTCATCGCTGGCATTCTGGCGCGCTGTTCGACCACCACGCCGACGACGTGTCTGCTGCTGCGGCGAACTGTCATGGGAGTGGGCTTCCTCATCCTCGTTCTCATCGCTGCTGCCATCCGATGTGGTGTCCTCCTCCTCCTCCTCATCGCTCTCCGAATTGGTGCTGATCTCGTGACGCCGCTGCTGTGCATTTGACGATGAGGATGTCACCCGATTTGAGCTCGTGGTGGCACTAACGGCAACGCCATTCCGACGTCTGCCACCACGTTGCGTGGCACGTGACGCCTGCTGTTGCTGCGCTGACACATCGTCATCGTCATCATCGTCGTCGTCATCGTCCTCCTCCTCGCTAGTATGCACTGGCAATCTTCTGGCAGCGGCTGTCGGCTTCTGTGTACGTCGTGTGGCACGATCCGTTGGCATTCGTTTGCTGGGGCTGCTCGACCCGCGTCCACTACTGCCCGATTTGTTCTTATTAGCACGTCTGCGCGCCGCCTTCCAGTTGCTGATCACCGTCTTGATGTGCGACTCGAAGAGTGCACATAAGCGAAGCGTCATTGCATAGATCTGCAAGAGAATGCGATTCGAGAGTAATTAAAGTGAAGAGATCCATGCCGAATATGCAATTGGAGTAGTTATTGTAGTTGTTGTAGTATTAGCCAAAGAGCAAGCAACCTTACCGCTAGGTTATCCTATTTAAGTTGATTGTCACGGATCGTCATTCATTTGGTTTAGTTCGAAATATTTGATGGGTTTTGATTGATTCGATTGATGGTTTATGAGTTGGGTGGTGGTTAATTTGAAGTTTGAAGGCATGTTAACAAAATGCAAAAGAAACGTTTAGAAGAGATGAGCTGGTGTGCAAGCTAGTGTTTGGTGTTAGCGGTATGGGAAATGGGGTAGTGAGCATCTTCTACATACTGAACAAATTAAAACAACATAAAAATTAACAAAAATTATTCAATTGTTTGTGTGCCGGCTAGTTGAAATAGTAACTCGATCTTTAACCCAATTGGCCATCCTAATTATTCAGTTAAAATCAAGAATTTATACAGTTCTCACTGAGTCAGACTATTCATTAATAAACAGTTAAGATGATTGAATAAATATTAAGAAATGAAACAATTCATAAAATTATAATATTTAAATGTACAGAATAAAAGACGTTTTAAATATTTTAAGACGCGTTCAAGGGAAAAACCAATTTGATTCTATTTACAATTCAAATATTTATATATACGAATTCTAAACAAAATTTGAATTTTTTCATTAAAATCGTCTGGTGCATTGAAAATAGCTTCTTTTTGCGTGCATCCGTTGTAAATATCTTATTTCAAGTGTTTGATCCGCTTAATTTTCGGCAATTCAAAACGAAATTTAGATAACATTTTGTTTTTCGTTTTTGTAGCAAAAACAATGCAATATAATCACGACCAGCAATGACAATGGCAAGGGATGCGCAGTTGGCATTGGTTTTACAATAAATGACGATCTGCAGCAGTAGCCAGGTGTGGCTAGATGACTCACCCGAGAGCGTTTATTGGTATTGTAGTTCTTCGAATTGAGGAAAATGAGGCGCACATCCTTAGCAAAATCTAGTGGATCATCATAATTTCCACCGAGCAGATCCTCTTTGACTGTACGCAGGTCCATCGGTGTGGCAATTATTTCCAAGTAATCTGGGAAATCAATGGTATCGACTGGCTCACGAAATGGCAGCGAATCCGGCCGCTGCCACATCAGATCCAACAGTTGTCGGCAATCGGTGCGCCAGTCGCCATCTGATCGCGTGCGATTCGAGCTGGCACAACAAATTTGTATTAATCAATGATGATCCTAATAAGGTTTTTTCTAGTGTCTAAGCTTACCGTCGAGTCGACGAAACACGCTGACGTGCAGCAGCTGCTGAGGTGGTTGGGCCGGTGCTAGTCGATGGTACAACATCCGAATCAGCCTCATTCTCCGTCGTCGATGAGTGATAAACGTCCACCAGCTGATGATAAACGGCTGCCACATCTATCTCATCCGCTTCCCTGCTTTAAAGGCAAATTTGATGATTTTTGCTTCTCAAATATAATTAATATAGGCAAGTTACCTGATTATACGCAAACATAGATCGGTAACAATCCGAGCATGTTTCACAATGCTGGTGTGCCGGCGATTGTACTGCTCTGCATTGGTGGCCAGATAGCGAACATCGAACTGTGCCGATGTGATGCGGCGATAGAAATGATTCTCGAAACGCGACTTGACCGTTGTTAAATCGATGGGATACTCAATTAGATAGGCGTAGTCTGGATAAATGTTAAGGTCGACTGGTGCCAGAAAATGTTCCGCTATTGATAAACGCATCACCTGAAGAATTAAAAATATGTTGCTATCAAATACAAAATTCGAGGCGATTCAGGCAACAAAGGATTTGTTCAATCCAGAACATACCTGCTCGAGTCCAAGTATGATGCGACGGCAGGTTCCATCGCGATCGCCACGATGCCACTCCTCGGACTTTGGCTGATATAGTGTGGCGCGTATCTCTTCCGGCAATACGGGCACAGCGCCGCCGACTTCATCTGGCAGCCGCTGCTCATCGATGGGCTCCATATCCCAGGGACTCATGTACTCGTACTCGCCATTATCCCAGCGAACGCGGAAGCACATGAAAAACGAATCGGGAAAATCGGGGCTGAGCGCATGACGCGACTCAATCTGTCCCATCCACCAGCCGTCGTCGATCATACAGCGAAAGCGATCACCAATGCTCCAGTTGCGCTGCACAGCCAGATCGAAGGTCTGACGCAGCACCAGAAAGTCGAGGACATCGGGCATGTCATGGTACTTGATCTTGAACGTGGTCCCCGTCATGTTGCCCTCATCATCGATGATCGCCAGCTTGAGGCAGCATAGCCGTGGCGGACGTATCTCATACTTGATGCCAATCACGCGGACCAGCTCATGATCGCGCAGTGTGCGGAAATTCCACGGCTCCGAGCTATGCGACAGTTTATAGACCTTTTTGAGGCGCACTGCCTCCAGATAGCGATGATGCCCTTGACGAAAGTATACAATCTCATCGCCCATTTGAGGATAGTAGGGCGCCTTGCGCGGCACCACCTCCGACAGCCATTCGGCTGGACGATAAATCTCTGGGATTTCGCCGTTGGGTGCAGTTGGAGGAATGAGCACACGCTTGCGTCCACGTCTTCTGCTACTGGCCGCTGCCTGGCCTGGCGCCGCATCGTCACTGCTGTCATCGCTAATAGTGCGACGACGCGAAAGAGGCTTACGCTTGGAGCGTTTCGGTGGTTCGAGATTTGGTCCGGGTGTATCCGCCACCCAATCGGAGTAGTCGGAGCTATCCGTGTCCGATTCATCGCTGCTATCCTCTAGATTGTCTTCGACGTTCGAATAGCTGGTGTCGCCCGAACTATTGCTACTATCATCTTCCTCCTCCTCCGGAATGGGAGCAGCTGCATCATCGTAGTGCTCCTCCTGATCGCGCACAGCACGCGTCCGATACGCCGGCTGTTGTCCACCCGGCTGCTGTTGTTGTCCGGACTGTGCGCCACGTCGGCGCCCCGGTCGTCCACCGCCATTGGCGCGTGTATTCCGTGGCCTGCCCACGCCCGCCAGCTGCGCCGATGCGGCACTTGCCGTATTTATCATTATGGGACGACGGCGCATCTCACGCTTGTATTCCTGCGTTTCGTACTGGCCAGCCGAGTAGATGGTCTGCTTAAGGTTCTGCAGCTGGGCGTATCTCATGGGACGCACATAGGTTCGACGCACGAATTTTAATGGCAGTGCTTGTTGGGCTGGCAGCGCCTGAAGCGCTTGTTCTCCTTGTGCCTGCTGTTGACCCACATCTGGTGCTGCTGGCAGTGCAGCTGCCCAACCTTGACGTGGAGTGTTATCTGCCAGAGATCGACGTCCGCCCAGCACATTGCCACGTTGTGGCGCATTGCGTGCGGAATTCGAATCGGGCAGCTGATCCTGACCTTGGCGCATGATTAGGCGCTCAAACGACTGATTCGCATTGCTGGCATCGTTGGCATTGGAATTGTTGGCACTGTTGCCCCGACGATTGGCAAGTGCAGCAATCATGCGATCAATATGGGAATAATTGCCGCCTGCACCAGCTGCAGCGGCTGCATCAACTCCGCCAACGGCGCCAGCAGCACCGGCTCCAGCTGGTGCTGCATTCGGTGGTGCGTTTATATTGTTATCCTCGACCACAACGCCATCGATGCCCACCCTTAGATTGGGTATCAGCTGATCGGTGCTACAACTTTCGCGACCGGGTACAAAACGTTGATACCTGGTCGGATGCGGATTACCGTCGGCGTCGACCAGAAATGGCGGTGGCATTAAATGCGGCATTATCTGTGTCTGTTCATCAACAACATGCTGCTGAGCATCTCGTAGAAGCGGTCGGAAGTCCGTGTGAAAGAACAGCTCTGTGGGTAGCTGCAAATATTGGACAGCAATATCAATGTGAGAATAATACACATTTAGTCGGCAATGAGAATTCAAATGTTTTGTGTTTCACATACCAATTTGTACTTCTCGGTGCCAATGCCAAGTCCGAAGATTAGTATGTGGCCGTGTGAATCGGTTGCTGCTATCATTGTGCCATCCGGCGACCACTTGGCATCGAACACACTGCCATGGCCTTGGCCATCGATGTCATTGAAAAACTGAGCAACAAACACGCCCTGCTCAATATCCCAGAGAAATACTTGGCCATCATGGCCGGCAGAGAGGAGCACATGCTCATCCCGTGGGTTCGATTCCAGCACGTACAGCTCATCTTTGTGGCCACGTAGCACGCGATGCAATTTGGCTGATTTCGAATCCCAAACTTTAATCTGTCAAGCAACAAACAGAGGTTATAAATAAAAACAAATTCGATGTTTAATTACTGCATTAACTCACAGTATAATCATTAACAGCCGTAAAGACATAACGATCAGAGGCATCCCAGGCTACCATGGTAACCTTTAATTTCTTACCCTCCTCCGGCTCCGGGCAACTACAAGAAATACAACATATATATAAGCTGGATTGCCGTAAGAAAATGTAAATGTGATTATTACCTTGGCTTTCGTTCGGTCATGCATAATTTAAGGCTTTTCCACTGTTGCGACTCAAAGGTCCAGATGTGTGCTGTGCCATCCTTGCTGCCGGATATGAAACGCAGACCGCGATGTGCCCACTGCACCGAATCTACGGCATCTGTATAGGCCTCAGTTTCCAGTATGCGCTTGGGCCCATCCTCGGCCATCATGTAGACACGCACATGATGATCCACTGAACCGGCGGCGAGGAACATGCCGCCCGGCGAGAAAGTAGTGCACATCATTTGCGCCTGACCTGGGCGAAGCTTCTCGTGATACTGCGTGGGCCTCGGAGCGAATGTTATTTTTTGGCCTCGTGGCGTCGAGTATTGCCAAAAAGCAATGGAGCCATCAGTGCTGGTGGTCACCAAATATTTCAGATCGCTGCGCGGTGATGGGCAAAAATTGACAGAGGTTATCATGCCCGTGTGACCGGTAAGAACGGCAATAGGTGACGTTGTCTGCATATCCCATACGCGTAAAATGCGATCAACTGAGCCAGCGGCCAACATTGTGTTATCCAAATTGATGGCCATATCGGTTATCTCAGCGGATGCACCGCGCAGCGTAGCCAACAGACGCCCATCCGCGGCGGACCAAATCTTGATGAGCAGATCATCGGCACCGGTAATAATGTAGCGACCAGTGCGATCAAAAAGCACACAATACACCGATGACAAGTGGCCAACGGTGCGCCGCAGCAGATTCATCTTGCGGTAGAGCTCTGTGGGCACCAGCAGCTTTCGACGCACCAACCCACCATGTTCCCGGCCGATGATTACCCGGGCTAAATGCGTAATTAATTAACCAGAGTATTAGTTTCCATTATAGTTGGATACTATTGGCTGCAACTTACTTAAATTGTGTGTGGGCTTGGTGAGCGTCGAGTCGGGCAGTGAGACGCCGTGCAACGTTGTGCAGTAATCCCTCAGTGTACGATAGCGGTAGACCGTGTCCTTTGTGCGCAACAAATTTTGACGACCTGTGCCAAGGAGGGAATTTATGCCTTGCACGCTTGGCGCCAGCTCCTTGTCGACCAGCGGGCCCAGGCGACTGCATATTTCTAGCAGATGATGTGGTCCTATGTGCTCGTATTTTCGCTCCTACATTTCAAAAAAATTAAGTAAATAAAAATGAACAGTCGGTTGAATATCGATAACATATCGCAAAATTAGTGCGCCATGCGCATTGCGCAGCTGGCCAGTTCATACAGTCGTCTCGCTCTAACGCACAAAGATGGTGACTTGTTCAAGGCATATGCTTTCCAATGCATATACACACACACAAACAAATACACGCGCGCTTTTGTGTATATGTATGCATTGAAATCAAGATGTCGGCCGCCATAGGCAAATTGTTGTTCAATTTACTACGTAATTAAAATTAATTTTAATTTTTTTCAAAATTTATCAAATTGCACTTTAGTTTTCCATATTTTCAGCAGTTTTGCACAAAATTATAATAACTGCAGTTTTTGTAAATTTTTTTGTTTAATTAATTAGTTTGTTAATTTAATTCAATTAGTTTAATGCACTTAAATTTTAATTAATTACAAACAAATTAATTGTACAACATACAAGTGTCTATTCAATCAATCGATGGCCATGTGACGTCACAAAAGCGCACACGCACGCACAAAGCAAACGCGAGCACAATCTGCACACACACAAATGTCAATTATGCAAGCAGAAATCACAACTTAACATATCAAATAATCATTGCACATAATAGATCATAATAATAACTCACCAATTCTGCAAAGGTCTGGTCATGCTCATTTCCCAGCCAGTCGATGCGCCTCGGCAGTACCTGTGTGTGGGTGGGCGGGCGAGGGGAGAGACAAACAAAAATTCGTTATCACTTGCACTTGCGGGGCATCGAGAATAATGACGTCGCAGGGAGCCTACATTTTTGTATTTCTTTTTACCTACTTTTATTAAGCAGACAGACGGTAGACGCTACGATACGGACAGACATACGGACTTCCATACTGCCGCACCGCGCTATGCGATTCAGTTCAGTTTCAATTTCAGTATAGCTTTGAACTCTGAAATAAGCAGACGGTGTAGGCTGCTGCCGGTTGCGCTACAACAACAACAGCAGCAGCAGCGATGGCGAGAAAACCAAAACAAAATATATAAACAAACGCTGGCAAGTTTTGCATTAAAAATTGCAAACAAGAGGAAAGTCCTCACACGAAAAAAATGGAGTGTCTATTGCAATGCGTCACCCCACAATACACACAATACACAAACACATGGATGCTTACCTTCTTTTGCTCCAATTCTTGTATCAGTACCTGAAAATGTAATATTTGGGAATCGGTTAGTAAAATGTTTGTAAACAAAAGCGAAATTCAAACGATGAAATTGCGCTCTTTTCACAGGGCGGCGCTCAACTAAAAATGCCCGATCACCGACCTTTGCCGTCTCTTCCAGTGGTCCCGCAGTCAGAAATTTTGATATTAGAAAGTACAATTCTGCAATAGAAATAGAGCGGTGCACAATAAATGCAACAAGTTGCTTGCCAAATTCACATAATTATCATAAAATTGTATTTATTTCGGTTCGGCCATTCGCGCAGATTCTGCACTCACACGGGCCCAGGCCCAGGGCACTGAGGCTGAGGCCAGCCAGCCAGTTGGAGGTAGCGTACCTCTTTGGCTGGGGTAAAATGGACGCCATGTTTGTGCAGACCTATTTAGTTTGGCTATATAACGCACCTGGCACTATCACATCATTTGAACTGGGCTTCCTGCTTTCCATTATTACACATTTTATTACGAAATTACAAAATTGTCGCACAGAAATTCGCCTGAAATACTTTTTTCAGCTTCTTCTTTTGTGTCACTATGAGTTGTCATTCAAACCGATGCGATGCGAAAATCACTGTGAATGTTCGCTGTTATTGTAGTGTACGGTCTGTTAACTGATTATTTGGCATTCTTCACATGGCACATTTTGGTCACACTGGCGATTGCTGCAGTAAAAAATATTATATTTTGTACGTTTAATTTGTTCTAAATGCTGTAATAATACTACAGAAAACCGCAAAACGCAACAATTTATGAACACACTGCCTAAACAGTACCATGGATTGCAATCTAGGCAGCGAAATTGGCCAGAAAATGCGCGTAAGTACTTCCCCTTTTTTTCTTTTCGCGAAAAATCAATGAACTCGTAATCAACTCTCATTTTTTTTTTTGTTGCAAAATTTATTAACATTAATACTAGAGCGCTGTAAAGGCGAAACTGCTTGAATTGGGCACAGGCGGCTCTGCCGGCTTCATTGACGACGAGCTGCCTGACTATGTGATGGTCATGGTGGCCAACAAACGCACCAAACAACAAATGAACGCCGAACTGAATCTGTTCCTGGGGGATCAAACGGATCTGTTTGTCACCTGGTTGCACGAGGTGCTTCAGAAGCTGCAGGAAGTCACCCTACCAGCCTCAGGTGGTGAGCTCTATTCTCTTATCTTGTATACAATTTATTTGGTATTTTATTGCAAAATTTTTTATCATTTGCTCAGCTGGCAGTAAAAAACGCAAATCACGTCAAGCCGAGGCGCCCAAAGCAAAGGACAAAGACAAGGATAGAAAGGGCCGAGACAAAAAGGATAAGAGAACACATCGAAAATCCGGCGACAGCGAACAGTTGAACTCATCTGCAGAACAGACAAGATCAGCGGAATCGATGCCGGTAATTAGCTCCATTACGGATGTCTTTGCCGAGGAGCTGCTGGAAAAAGCCAAAAAGACGCTCGATTTGGATGACGAGCTGTTGCTCAAAAAGAAGAAACGCAAGTCAACCGAGGAGGATGAGCAACCACAACTGGTGACACAGGAGACCACAAAGGAATTAGACTTGCCAGTCACGTCAGAGATTAGCTCCACAACCAGTGGCAATCGGGAGAAGGATATTGCCGAACTGGCCGAAATACAGCGCAAGATCTACGCGGCCAAGCAGCATCTGCGCCAGATTGGCGAACTGGACGACGAAAGCGACGAGGATGAGCTGGACGACCAACAGCTTGACAACGATCTGCTAAATGTCAACGAGCAGCATGAAACCATTGCCAAGGATTGCATGCCAGTAACAGCAGCTGCAGCAGCGCCAGCAGCAGAAGCAAACTACAGCTCTGGCACACGCAGAGCTAAGAGTCCCATTGTATTTAATAGGACGTCCGAACCGGCGGCAGCTAGAGAGAAACCAAACAAAACCCCAACTGAACCAGCAGTGCAGTTGCAAAAATCCAGTGACGAGCGCTCAGAGCGTCGATCGGTGCACGAGCGTCTTGGCTGCAAGCCCATCAGCCAAAGCCAAGCAGCAGCCGTACAGTCGCTAACGCCGCCAGAGCGTTCGCAGCGCTCGCAGAAGGAGCTGGAGCTTTATGTGCCAGCACATCGACGTCGCAGCGAACAGCAGCAGCCGCAGCCGAATGAGGAAAGTAAGAAAGTTGAGCGTGGCCGGGAACGGAGCCAACGCAACGAGAGTCAGCCAAGTCGCCGGCGGGAGCGGGAAACATTGCGCAGTCGCCGCACGCCGAGTCGAAGTCGCAGTCCGGAGGCCAACTACAAGCATCGCATTGGGTCGCGCGTCATTGTGGCGATTAACAAGCCACCAGAGCCATCCGATGATGAGGATATTCTGGAGAAGCCAGTCAATTCGGTGATTAAAATCAAACCACGACCAACGGTTTCGCCACGTCGCCAGGCCTGCAAGAATCTGCTGCTGCGCGCCGTTGCGGATGCACAGCGATCCACAATTCTGGCCAAGCCGACAGCGACGCCATCGACTGGAGTGGTGACTTCGAAGACACAAGGCAATGGAGACGAGCCGGAGCTGATCAGCTCCACGATGGGTAAACGTCGCCTAAATGATTCCGTTGGTAGTGGCGCTGGCAAGGAGCTTTTCCGGCGCAGCCGCCGTGAACTGATGGTCAATGTGCTGCACCAGGAGAGCAAAAGAATGCGTCACTCGATCGAGCCACAAACGGAGCTGGTGGCCAAGGAGCTGGAGGAGGAGGAGGAGGAGTATGTGCCCAGCTTAAGTGTAGGTGACTATGAGACATACGTGCCACAGTTGGTGGAAAACTTGGACATGGGCATGGACATTGATATGCATGTGGAGAAATCGGCCAGCAGCTTGGCCGCCTCCTCAGCCGGTCTAGCCAAGACACAGTTTGTCGTCACTCTGAATGGCGATCATTCGCTGAGCAAGGCTGCAGTTGCCGCCGCTGCTGCGTATCGCAAGCGTTCGCGGAAACGGACGCCATCGCCGCAAGTTTCCTCGACGAGTTCGACAAACGTTCAGCTGCTGAGCGCTGAGCCTACCTCAACGACCTGCGCTTCTTCAACTAACAGCAACAACAGTCGGGACAGGCGGACCAACAAGTCGAAGCGTGCTCGCAGCTCCTCCCGATCTTCGCCCTCCACTTCGAGCAATACGCCGCCGCAGAAGCCATCGCGTAGTCTTCGGCGCAGCGAGGTGTTGCGGCAGGCGCAGGAAATCAAGAAGATCATCATCAAAAACGATGCGGATGACGATGAGGATGAGGAGCATCAGCAGCAGCAGCAGCAAATGCATGCATCGCCGCGGAAACGTACTCAAAAGAAACGTTTGGGCAGCAACAGCACTAACATGACCCTGGCATCCGCTTTCTCAAACACTTCCAATGAACTCAAGGCTGACTCAAAAACGCAGTTGGAGGAAATTAATCGCTCGACAACGCCGCCACTGCCACCAAAGCGGCCAGAGAAACGCGATATTAGTCACGAGAAATCATCAATATCGTCTGCAACTGCAGCGGCAGCTGCCACAACTCTGGAGGCACCTGCCAAAGCGAAGCACACGCCCATACGCTTCAAGCTCAAGCAGGAGGAGGAACAGGCGCAGAAGAATCATCGCTCCGGCAGCAAAGATCGTGACTCCTCAACCGAGCGACGACGAATCTCTATACGCAATGCTGAGGATCGCAAATACGACAATCTGCCCGCACGTAAGTACAACTTATTATTTCGTATTTGCTGTAAATTATAACAAATAAGCACCTTCCCTGTTAATGTAAGCCGCTTTCTACACTAGGCAATGTCTTTGTCTTGATATAAAACCATCTTATGCCCTAAGCCAACTGTCGTCAGACCAGAAAATTGAACTGAAAGAAAAAATAATGTTAAATATGAGAGAGAAAAGCCTGTGTGCAATTCAAGAATTTGTCAAGCATTCGTTCAGGTATTTGAACTATTCACATAGACATTTTTATTTATAACCAATCATATACAATTGATGTCCTCGACTCGGCAATAATTAGTGTAATAATAGATTAAATGTATAAATATAGAAATTGAAATGTACTCATTCGATAATATTTTTTTGCATTGTTTGCAGTAAGTGCGGTCAGTGTCGATTCAACAGTTTTGAAGGTGACCAAGCCGAAGGAGCGCTGCAAATACCATCCAAATTGCAGCAAACAATTCTGCGAATATTATCATCCATCGGCGCCGTGCAAATCGTTTCCCAACTGCAAATTCGCCGACAAGTGCATGTACTCGCACCCCAAGTGCAAATTTGATTTGGCCTGCATGAGCATCGATTGCAACTTTGCGCACAGTGGCACACGCGAACTCAGCCACGTGCAGCTAACTGCGCCTCCCCTTTGTAAGTGTTATGCAAAATAAAATTGTTAATTGTTGTTACTATTATTATATTCCATCGTTGACAGCATCGCATGTGATACCTGTGCAGAACTACAAATCAATATCGGCACCGGCGACAGCGACCACAGCGACGACCATGTGCAAATACTATCCAAACTGCACCAAGGTGGGCTGCACGTTCTATCATCCGAAGCCGTGCCGTTATGGCAAGAATTGCATTAATAAGTTTGAGTGCATCTTTTATCATCCGGAAATGCAAAGCAAATTCAAATGGGTAGCGTCACTGGGCTAGGCTAAGGAAAGCCGCACGAGCAGCACTCTTTCTTTAGCATTTATTATTTAGCGAATTATTAATGACTATCCTCCTACTATTCACAAAAAAAAAAAAAAAAAACAAATACAATATCGTAAAACTACAGAAAATGTTTCACAAATATGCGCTAGAATTCTAATTACTAATTGCGAATTTTTTTATTATTTATTTTTATTTACTTTCATTTGTGAATTTTATTAGTCCACTAATTGCATATTTAAAATTTTATACTCTAGGCGTTAGCTCGTGAAAAGAACAAGAAAAAAAAAACAATTAAACAATTGAAACTGTTGAAAGATTTGTTGCATTATGTTAAAAGGCATCTTCCTCTATATCTGAACTGTATCCGTCATTTATAAGTCGGTAAATAAAATTTAGCAGTGTACTTGCTACAAATTGGATATTTAAAATTGTTTCATTTCCTTCGCCCAGCATCTGATTAAAGTAGTGAATTTAGCTACATATCGTAGTAATTTATTTTATATTGTTATTTGAAAGCTTTCACTCAGTAGTAAATATAATTGTATTATATTCGGATCGAAATTTTGAACGTATCAATAATATTTGCACTACATTTGATTGTATTTTAGTAGAATTATATATAATCGTCATTATATGTAGTAAATACTTTAAAAGAATAATAGAAGAACAAATTCCTTACTCATATTTCAACTTCTCCAATATGCATAGAAAACGAATTTATGTTCGTTTATTATCATTTATATTTATTATCTTTTTTTTTGTTGAAAAAAGTCGAATTTTTATATGAATTTATATATATAGTACAGTCTCTTAAGTTTACGCTTAAAAAGTGTAGAGCAAAATATTTGATTTACTTAAACAACTAGGTACAATTAGTTCTCATGCTTTTTGTATAAGGCCACAATAACTGATATACATATACACAGTTGCATATATAAATAAACATATATATGTGTGTGAGTGTGTGTTAATATGTATTTAGGATTTTATTTAGCTCAGCTAATTTAGTTTAAAAAGGTCATGCAAATCTATTTACAAAAACATTACTTGTACATTAACGTATTTAAGGGCTTCCCGCTTGGAATGTGTTGAATTGATTGATTTATTTTGCTTGCTATTTCTATTTTAATTTGCATTTCGTGTTTTTCGATTCGTGTTTCGTGTTTCTCGTCTCGCATTTCTGTTTTGTGTGCAGCACAACTTTGTTCGCAGCTTTAAGATAGTCTACTCATTTATTCTGTTGAATGATGCCGAATACTGAAACTAAACTGTAACTATGTAACGACTATAAAGTGATTGCCATACAAACTACTCGCTATAAATAAATAGAAAACGGCGTTATTAACTAACTAAAGCGTAGGCATCAAGTCCAAGCCTTTGTGGTGATTGGTGTAGAGTTGCTCTGTGGAAGCCTGGCTGTTGCTTTGCGAGCACCCTTAGCTTAATAAGACGAACTTAGTACAACATGTACCTATATGGGCGGATTTTAAAAATATCTTTCTGTTTATATTGAGGCGGGGCTTGGTTTAACTATATAAGTCGTTCCTCTGGCGGTGGCTTCAGCACATTGTCCATTTCCAGCCGAGGATTGCAGTACTCCTGCGCGCTGGGGCTGTAGGTGCCTCGCGTGGCCCGCTTATTCCGAGCCATTACCAAAAATGTGCCCAGAAGAGCACCAGCGATCAGCAACAGCACGACAACAACTGGTATGACAATGATGGCAATGTCTGTTGTCGATGGACCGTCATCTTTAGCCGTAATCTATGAGCAATATATGATAATAGTTTATTATGCGTATACCCGCCGTAGATATTCAGACTACTATTGACTTACCGGCGCAGTGCAGTTTTTGCCCGCGAAACCCTCAGTGCAATTGCAAGTGTAATCCGGCACATCGCCACAATTCTCCATACACTGTCCGCCATTGGCGCAAATGTTGAGCGTATTGCAGGGGTCGGTAAAGTTGCAGAAGGCGCCGCAATACGGTTTCTGGCAGATGCATTTAAAGCTACCCGGCATATTGAAACAACGTCCGAGTCCGCCACAATACTCCACAGCCTGGATGCACTCGTCGATGTCATTTTCACAGTGGACTCCCTCGAAGCCAGTTGACTGACAGTTGCACTGATAGCCACCCACAAGATCGTGACACTGGCCACCATTCTGGCAGGGATTGGATGCACACTCATCGATTTCCTCCTCACAAAAGCGTCCCGTGTAGCCCAAACTGCACTTGCAAGTGGGTATCTGTGCGAGAAAGTGCTATAGAAGTATGCCAATTGAAGGATTATCTGGTTGGTTGCTTACGGTATTGGTGGTCAGACAGAGGCCTCCATTAGCGCAGGGCGTCGACTCGCAGAAGGGCGTGTCACACAGCGGTCCCTCAAAGCCCACAGCGCAGGTACAGGTAAAGTTATTGCCGGTTTGAGCATCTATAAGCAAAAGGAGGCGATTATGATATGAATGATACACGTTAGTTAATGAATAAATGAATATAGGCACTTACTAAATCCATTCTCACAGGTGGAGCCATTGCGACAGGGTTCATTCTCGCAGGTCATCTGCTTGAGCGCTTCGCACTGGACACCCGTATATTCATCGGGACACTCGCAGTGGTAGGCAGCGATCAGATCGGTGCAGTTGCCACCATTGTGGCATGGATGGTTGGAGCATTCGTCGATATTTAGCTCGCAGTAGCGACCCTCAAAGCCGGGCTGGCACTCGCACAAGAAGTTCGCCACCTGGTTGATGCAGGTGCCGTTGTTCTGGCAGATTGTGTTGAGGCACTCGTCAATATCCGTGGCGCAGTCGTCGCCCTCGTATCCCGGCTGGCAGGCGCAAGCGTATTCCTCGTTGGGTGCATTGCAATAGCCGCCATTTTTACAGTCCGCCTGGAAACATAGAATGCAGCCTTCTGCGGGCCGTGTCGAGTTCAGGCGGAACTGCGCCTGCAATTGCACGGACACATTCTCGGTGTGTGGATAGAGTTCAGCATTGGAGAAGTAAGGCAACAGCAGATCACCGACGCGTGCCTCGCCCAGGCAGCCCTTGAACTGGGAACCCTGCTGCGAGGATTGTGTGGAGCCGCGCAGTTGACGCGACTCTGGCATGCCGCCCAAATAGACCTGGGTGCTGCTGGAGAGCAGCTCCTGGAACGCTGCCTGATCGATGTCCGTGGAGAAGCCAGGCGTGGGATCCACCATGGATTCCCAACCCTTCCAGCCACCCTCCAATTTACTACCATGCGCACGCAAATAAATGTGACTCCATTCGCCATCGGTGTTCTCCTTCTCGAAGCGTCCGGACTCGCCAATGTGCAGCTGCGTTAGCTTCCAGGTGACCGTGACACGGCCACCATTCACGCCGATCTCAAAGAAACTGTCGTGGTTGTCAATGAAAAGCAAAGTGCCGCCGGCTCGAGTGCGATACGCAATCTCAATGATGGGTTTGAGTAGCGGTTGCTTCGTGACGCCAATCTCATCGGGCAGCTGCTCCTTGAAGTATGAGAATGCCAGCGGTGCGTGTTCCTGGCCGGTGAATGTGATATTGGTCAGGCACTCGTAGCCATCGTCCAGATTTTGGCAGACACTGCCGCCGGGACAGGTGACCAACTGACAGAACTCAATCTCCTGACAATCCTTGCCCTTGTAGCCATTTGGACATTTACAGCTGTAATCGTTCCACGTGTTGCGGCACTCGGCATTGTGTTTGCAGGGATTCTTGCGGCACAGATCATCGGACACCTCACCGGGCAGCACTGAGGCGCGATCAATGCTAACCGCTCCGAAGGGTTTGGCATTTACATTCACATCGGTCACATTCAGGGGATACATCTCGACGATCATAATGAGCGAACCGTTGCTCACTTTCACATCTTGTATGATGCCCTTGAAGTAGTCCTTACTATCGTCCGTCTCCTTGGTTGCCGTGCCGCCGCTGGCCATCACGCTGCTCTCTTCCAGACCCGGCTCAGTGCTGGCGGGCAGCAGAGATTCGCGCGTTGGCGCCGGTCCGCCCAAGTAGAGCACCTGTGCATCCAGCAGACCCGTCGTCGACAGCGTCTTCCGGAAGTACTCGGTACCATTGAGCTTGACCTGCACCAATGTCTGATTGCGCACCACCTCGATCAGATGATTGTAGCCATTGTCCAGCTTCTGTCCACCCACCGTATATGCCTCCGGGGTGCCATTGAATTGCATCTTTACCAGCAACTCGCCGCCATGCAGCTTAGCTGCCACATAAGAGTCTCCAACATCTGTAAAACATTGCAGGCATTAGTTGGGTATTGGATTAGCTTAATCGATGTTGGGTTACTCACTCTTCGTGGGCATCTTGCGCGGATCGCTGCCCAAGTAGAAGACTTGACCAGTTGGCTCTCGCGTCCGTATAAACATGGATATATCTAAAATGGAACGTATAGCACGTCTGGCCACGTCCGTCGTCTCCACAATCACAGCTGAGTGTGTGGTATTCTCATGCCCAAATGTGGCAGCTGTCATATCTGCAAGAAGATATACGATGTGATTATAATTCACTGATTAATTGACGAGACGAGAAATAAATAAACATGTACATAATTAAGGAGTACTTACTGTGCTGACAGGTATGCCCAAAGAAGGGCCTGGGACAATGGCAGGCGAATGTGTGCCACAGATCTGTGCATTCGCCATTGGAGTGACAGGGATTCGGTTTGCATTGCTCGGTGCGTGGACAGCCGCTCTGGACGTAGGACAGCTTTGTATTCTCATCCGTATCGTGCTCGCCGTGCTCATCGGGAAAGATCCATTTACCGTTGACGACAACATCCTGCATGCAACCGACAAAACTTGATGGCTGATGCGTCAAATGGCGTAAATACGATTTCAAATTTGGTATGGTGCCGCCGAGATAGGTTAGCGGAAATGAGGGCTGGCTATTGTTGGCTGTCTCATAGGAGCCCACTGGGAATATGGCCTGCTCATCGTTGGCCGAGAGCACTAGATGTGACGTATTGATGGCCACAAACACTTTATGCCAATTGCTGTCATTTAGCTTGGAGCCAATGAAAACGCCCTCCCATTTGTTCAGCAGCGACGAATGCAGATTCAAGCGTCCATTTATCAATTCCAGTATATAGCTAACGGGCTCATTCTGGCCACCGGAGGTGCCAAAAGCCAGGACGCCGTTTGGCAACGTCGTCTTGAACTGCAAATTGATGTCGTAGCCCTCATCACGTTGCGTCTTTACCGTTATCAGGCTGCTCACAACCATGGAGAGAGTGGTGGTCTTCTCGCACTTGTCACCCTGGAAACCATGCTCACAGGAGCAGTTGAATAGATGAATCGTCTCGTTAACTAAAAAGGGGCGACAGGTGCCGCCATTTAGGCAGGGTCCCGTTGTGCAGCCAATTAACGGCACCGAACAGTTCTTGCCACCAAAGTTGGCATCACAGTCGCAATCGTAGTCGTTAATCTGATCGATGCAGGTGCCATTATGGCAGGGATTATAGCGATCACATTCATCTATATTAATCTCACAGTGGGTGCCCTCAAAACCCGGATCGCATTCACAGGTGTAGGTGCCAATCTATAAAAAAGAGAGGTTTAATGTTGAGAGGATATTATTTGTAAAAGAATTGAGTTGCACTTACTCCATCGTTGCAGGTGCCATGCTTCGTGCAGGGATTACTCTCGCACTCATTAATATTAATCTCACAGTTCTTGCCAATAATGCCCGGCACACAAACGCATTCATATCTAGAGGAGGAAGGGAAAGAGTTGTGTTATGGAGTTGTTTAGATTTTACACTGATCTCAACTTACCCGCTGGCATTCTCGTAGCTGAAGGCCTGACTAAACACCTTGGGCAAGTCCATAACTCTGCTTAACTGATACAATGTGGAATTGGAGCGCTCCAAGCAGGTGCTATTGTATTGACAGGGATTGCTCTCGCACTCATTGATATCCTGTTCGCAGTTCTTGCCCTTGTAGCCCGCATGACACTCACAGTGATAGTCCCTAACCTGATCGATGCACATGGCTCCATTCGTGCAGGGATTCGAGATGCACTCATCAATATTGAGCTCACAGTTCTTGCCCTCATACCCAGTGCCGCTGCAGTCGCAATGAAAGCCACCCAACTCGTCTATGCAGTGGCCACTGTTGAGGCACGGCGCCGAAACGCAGTCATCGATGTCGATGTCACAGATGCGACCCGTCATTCCGGGTATGCAGTTGCACGTGAAATTGTTAATCATGTCTATGCAGGTGGAGCCATTCGAGCACGGATTACTGATGCACTCATCAATGTCGATCTCGCAGTTCTCTCCCTGATAACCCGGCTTGCAGTCGCACTCGTAAGCATTGATCTGATTTGGATAGAGAATGGGTGGTTTATTATTAACTGAATGGATAAGATTGGAGTTAACTGAAAGCAACTAATTTACTACATGATGAAAGCGTTGATGGTAAATATTAGCGATACAATGCCCTGACGAAGTATAAACTGTAAACGCTAAGGAAATTGACAGAATTATGATAAAGGACCTTTATAATATCATCTCAGATCGCATTTAAGTAGAGAGATGCGCTCATTAAATACAAAAACAAAAAAACATCCTAGATGAAGGGGTAGAAATTATAAATACTACATAATCTAGAGAAACATGTGAAAAATAGGAACTGACATCAACTACAGGTTCGATTCGACAAAGTATTTTTAACATAATATTTCAAATAATTATTAATAATAATTTAAATAAAATGATTTGATTTTTATCTTTTCATTCAAAGACGCTGGTAGGGGAAATCAACAAACCCATCAGTTTGGCTGAATGAATATAGCTTACAAGGCATATTGAACACAGAGGTTATAGAAAAAGCCTGAGCTTGTCTCGAACTCACTTGTCTCAAAATCCGATGCTTTCCGTATTTAAAGAAAAACAGCTAATTACATTTTTAGTAGCTAGAGACTCTCGATTCAGATGCTTCACAGCCAAATAAAAACTTACCTTGTTGTGACAGGCGGCACCGTGCAGGCACGGATGACTGAGGCATTCATCCACATCGGAGTCGCAATGGATGCCCGTGAATCCCGGCGTGCAGTAGCACTTGTAGGAGCCCTTCTCGTTCTTGCAGATGCCATTGCCGCAGATATTTGGCTGGAGGACGCATTCGTCCACATCATTGGCACAATTGCGACCCATCCAGCCGCGATGGCACTTGCACTCGTAATCCCCATTGGGCAGGTCGATGCACTCGCCACCATTCTGGCAGGGCTGTGTGGCGCACTGATTGCACACTTTATTCTCCGGACATATGCACTGGTTCTGGGCACAGACCATCGGCTCCTGGCAGTTCAATGGCGAACAGTTCTCGGCCTTTTCACAACGATCGCCAGAGTAGCCGACGGCACAGTAGCAATGAGTACCATTCATGGAGCAGGTGCCTCCATTGAGGCACTTGCCATTCGTCGCATTGCAATTGATGGGCGTCAGGGCCAATGCGGTGGCGCCATCTCCCGTGCTCTGCTGGCAGTTGTAACCTGAATGCGAAATACAATTTGTGGTTAGCTTTGATTGCACTCAAGTAACGCCTGTTACCAACTGTATTGTAGGCTATATAGTATAGAAATATATTTGCTAGGCATTTACCTTATAAGCTATTAAGTGTATTAAGTAATATATATAGTACAAGTCTACGTCTATTTACAGTTAATATAACGAGGGTTGCATTACAAGTGTGCACAGCAAATGCACGGGATTTTGGTTAAGAGGATCTTAAGCTAAGAATCTAAGTGAATATTTATATTTATTAGCTATATAGTGTTAATATTTAGTAGAATAGTAGTCGCTCCGAATTAAGAACATAAACCAGTTAAAAATGTCTGCGAATTGGAATCATTTTTGGAGATATGCATTCGACTTTTGGAAAAAATTTAATTTTTCTTCTTCTTCCTTTTAACAGTCAATGTATTCAACGAAATAATAATTTTTTAGAACATATACAACTATTGAAAACCAAATAATATTGCAGAAATAAGAGCAATTTGTTATTTAGAAAATCATAACTGAAAAATATTCGAATTTTAGAGCGACTAATGCACTTTTGTCTAATCTCTGGCAGGGACTTGCAGTGCAACCCTGGGTTGGTAGTGTTGTTGCCAAACCTGTGTATCCACTAGCACATATACAGGTATAATTGTTTCTATATCCTAGGCAGGTGCCACCGTTCAAGCAATTTTCTTGGGGACATGCATTCAGTGAAGCCGAGCGTTGGGTTGGTGCTTGTTGTTGTTGTTGTTGTTTTTGCTGTTTGTATTGTTTACTATTTGTTGTAGCTGTTGTTGTTGTTGTTCTTGTTGTTGTTGTTGTGTTGGTTATTGGAGTTTTTTGGGTGGTAGTTGTAATTGCTGTTGTTGTTGCTGTTGCAGCATTACTTGGAGGAATAGCTGGGGTCGTGATAAGCATTGCTGCTGCTGTTGTTGTTGTTGTTGTGGTTGCTTGTTCTGGTGTCGGTGTGGTTGTTGTTGGCAGACAATGACCAATGGGGCCTACATATACATATGCATATAATTCGCATATACAGAATAGTTACATTTGCCAGCCAATATGGTGTGTGGATGTGTACGAGTATGTATATACATGTTAAGAAGCATTATGGATTAGTTCTCGGCATTTTAATTGTGGGTTACGTAAATATTTTACAAGCTATATGCATTATGCAACCAATAATGAATATGGTTTTACATTGCATCTAAAGCATTTGTAAGGAAACAAGCGATGCTGATTGTATTTGAAATCCTTCAACTACTATCAACGACTATTTTTATCTATTTCTCTTTTCTTTTTATCGATGTATGTAAGTAGTTTGTGCTTGTATTTAATTTTGTGAAATATGATTTAAAATGTTAAAGTTTAAGCCCAGCATTTGGGTTTGTATGATTCTGCATATGTGTGGGGAAGTATAATTGACAGATGCTAATTTCATAATGCAACAATCTAATCAGTGTAAAATTAGATTATATAATAGATGAATTGAATTAATAAAATAAATAAAACACAAAGCGTACAAATTCGTTGCTGATCTTTATACTAGCAGTAGAAATTGAACACATTTTTGGAAGTTGCTCAAAAAACACTTGATTTAGATTTACTACTCGCAAATAAGAGCCTAAGCCATGAGGACACTATCCACCTACTCAATTTTAGCTCACATCGCTTGCGTTTGAGCCACTCGGGTGAAATGTAGCGTTTCTTCTTGCCACCAGCGCACAGTGTGCTCGCTTCTGTTTCCCCCTCGCCATCGCCCTCGCCCATGCCCGCCCCTTGTAAGACCATGTCCATTTCAAGCGGAGTTGGCAGCTCCAAATCGGAAGCTTTTGTTAGATTAAGGCAGAGAGATAGATAGATAGATGGCAACCATTAAAAGAACCTCGCATTAGCTAAGCCATATCGAAAGTAATACATGCGCCACACCAGATGAACCATGGAACCCGTAGAGAGATTGGACATAGAGTCAGCTACTCACCCGATGTGCCTGGCTTACACATACATACGCCGCCAACACACTCCGAATCGATGGGACACTGTTGGGCACAACTGGGTCCCAGTTGGCACAGTTCGCCGCTGTATTCGGGTCCACAGATGCATTGGAATCCAATGGGTTTGTCCACACAGGTGCCACCATTGAGGCACTGCTGCGTCTGGCAGCTGATGGGCTTCTCACAGATCTCGCCATGCCAGCCATCCTGGCACTGACAGGTGTATCCGCCATAGGTATCGTAGCAGCGTCCGCCGTTCAGGCAGGGATTCTGCTCGCACTCATCGATGTTCGTCTGGCAGAAGGCGCCCATGTAGCCGGTGCCGCTGCAGTCGCAGCTGAAGCCATTGATGCTATCAATGCAGCTGCCATTATTCTGGCACGGCTGCGAGGCGCACTCATCCATATCGATCTCACAGCGGCTGCCGGTATAACCTTTGGGGCACTCGCACGTGGGACTGGAGCTGCCGGCGAGCACAACGCAGGCGCCATTATTCAAACAGGGATTCGCTTGGCAGAGTGGATGAATATTGACCTCGGTCTCACAGTGTTCGCCACTGTGATTCGCATGACAGACGCACTGATAGTCGCCACGTGAATTCTCGCGACAGGTGCCGCCATTCAGGCAGGGATTCTTGCCACACGGCGATCCATTATCCTTCTGGCAATTCTTGCCCGAGTAACGTGCTGTGCAGCGGCACTCGTAGCCATCGGCATTCGAGGTGCAGGTGCCATGCCCCATGCAGGGATCGTTCAGGCAATAGTTGTCCTGCAGCCGCGTAAACAGCTCGTGATCGCTGCACGGCCCATAGGAGAGTGGACAGACGCCGAAGACAGCGTTCTGCTTGGATGCATTCACGAACTGCAGTCCTGGTCCATCCAGCAGGCAGCCCGAGAATGAGTTGCCCAAGATGAGAATCGCTAGTTCGTTACCAATGTCCTGATTGGTCAGAAACTGACTATTGTACGTCGAGTTTGCTGCAATTAAAAATGGAAACATGCATGAATAACTTCATAATGGTGACTTGCGTTTTATGATGGACATAAGGCTGGGCTGCAGAAACGTGGCCACATTTCATTAAGTCACGTAAATCGGGCTCAAATAAAAATACATAAACATTCTCTCACATTCTCCTTTGCAGTTGTTAAAGTAACGCAAAACAAGATTTGAAAGATTCATGTTTGTCTATCTGATCGGTAAGAATTTAAATTAAAACAAGGGCAATGCAAATAAATTTATAAAATAACTTTGATGTAGACCGAAAAGGTTATTCAAGATCTTAAAAAGTCCAAATATTAGAGACTAATTTGCAATATTTCCAAAACGGGACCAGTTATCTACAAAATTAACTAAACTTAATCTGCCTATGATATAAGGGAACTTAATGTACAAACTGCAGGTCTCTAGCTCTTACAGTCTCCGAGACCGGACACTGGAGTTGACTAAATCGACTCGGGTTTTGACGGTGGGTGACAATTTTCTTCATCAATTGTTTCCAATTTAGTAAAATTGTTTCTTTTCGGATAATAATAAAATTGTCAAGTCTATCATAGTTCTATACTACAGAATAAATACTATATACTCAGTAGAATTTATATCTCAAATTAAGTAATTAAATAAGTTAATCAAAAATCTGATTATTAAAAAATACGACATACTTTTGTATATATTACAAAATAAACACCATACACATTAAAGATGATATCTCAATAAGCAAAATTAAGTTTCGCACAACACGCAAAAGCTGCTAAAAAGACTTCGATTAAATAAAACGTGCACCGAAACTATTTAGTTTTAATATAAAATGCTACAGCCTAATTAAAGCCATTCCGGATGAAAGTGAAAAAGTTGTGGGTTATTTTCGTCTTCCGTTTCCTGTGAAGCATAATATCCGGAATTATTTAAAAATGTCTGATTTTATAATTTAAATTTTTTTTTAAATTAAATTTAAAGCATGCGCTAAAGAATTAATGTGATTTAATTCATTTTGAAAACATTTTGGAGACATGGAAATGGACTAGAATCGAATTTAAAACAATTTTCAACATATGTCAACATATTTAAATTTAATTGTATGCTATTATGCACAATTTTCGAAAGCTATTAATAGCTTCATCCGTTGATGCCTTACAGAATTATAAACTTTATGACCTTTATGGTAAACTTCTTGGTAACATATAAAAAGACCTTTAGATATTTCAATTAATCTTAATTTCTTTTCTTTCTTTGTTGTTTTTGCAATTTGGCACGATTCATGTGAAATTGGTAGATGTGAAATTGGTACTTACCGAATATAATTGCCTCACGATCCACATGCAAATAGAGATTACCATACTCGTATTTGAACTGCAGCGTATGCCAGCGATTGTCCAGCAGTTGGTAGGGCAATCTGACGTCCAGGCGATTGTTCAGCCCGATGACGGCCGGTCCGGCAAGGGAGACTTGCAGGAAATCGTTGAGCACTGAGATTACAATTGAGTTTTTGTTATATTGCTGGGCGAGTATTTCGCCGCCGCGGCACGAGCGGAAACTGATCGCCGAGTGGTCCCAGGTGGGCATTGGTGTCTGCAGGCGCAGATAAGCAGATCCATTGAAATATGCCTCCTTCGTGTGCACCTCCACTGCGCCAACATCTGCAAGAGAAGACGAGAGGTGAGTCAATTGTAACTTGGACAAGGCCAGCAGTCAGTAATCGCATTTGATTACAGGTCAACGAAAAACCGAAGAGCTAAAGTGACATTGTAATCGTAGATTTCCTCATTTGCCGCAACTATCGCATTTGTCTTATTGGGCACACACACCTAGTACAGTTGGCCTTTTGGCCAGGAAAGTGCTTGAGAGCGAAACAAGCATTGACCAAATTAGAAAAGTTGCCACCTAATGTTAATCAGTTGCTCTCAACATCGTACACAACTTTCATTTGCGCTGGCGGCGCAGAATCAATTCGCTTTTCCTTTCCCCTTTCCCCATGCCACACCAAGTGGCATACTACATACACACATCATAGATATGTGCGTGTTTGGGCACCACCAGACCAGCAGCTTCACTCATTTCAAGTGTTTTCCTCAAGTTTTTGCTTTTTACACAAACAGCAAGCACTTTTGGAGTGAATGCACAGACCGTAAAAAATAAGCAAAAAATCAAAACATAAGCGAGAGATATATTTTTCACTTCTGCTTGCAAAAGTTGAATTTGGCGAGAAAGAAAGTTGTACTTAGGAAACGATAATGCAAATTTGTAGAAACACGTTAATTTGCCGGTTAATTTCTTCCGATTTTCAACAAAACCCGCTTCAAGGCACTTCTCATGCATTAAGTGTGATCAAATGCATTAACTACATTTTTGCAGATTGTTTTCTTTGTGTTGTTCCCTTTAATTCTACAAAAAATGATTAAGAGTCAGTGAATTATAAATATGAAGATTATTTAATATGATGATATATTTTTAATTATAAATTCTTTTATTTAAATTGAATCGAAACAAGAAAAGAGGATTTTGTAGCCGTAAAAGATTAAAAAAATTAGTGATTTTTGTATTCCCCATTGTTTACTATTTTTATATTTACCAAAGCTATGCAGTTTTTTTGTATCTATTATTTTTATCTATTCAATTTGATTCGTTTGCCTTATTCAGCCTTGCCCACAATTATGGTTTATCTCTTAATACAAATATATATGTATATTATATATATACTATATGAACTGTATGCATATTTAGCTCAAATTTAAGCAGCAAGATATTACGGAGATCATATAAGATCACAAGAGTTGGCAAACAAAACTTTCTGGTTAAAAATGAGTACTTACACACATATATAGACTGTTAATGTATGTGTTTTCGAGCTGGTTTCAATGGCATTGGCTAAGTAGTGGTAGCTGTTTATTGGCAATAACAAAATTTTAAATAAGATACGACAATAAAATTTGCAGTTTAGAATTTGTGTTAAGTGGCTGACAGCGCGATTTTGTCATAAATTTGAAATTGACGTGTGCGAACAAAAAGATTTTTTTGTTATAAATTTGTTCTTAAAACAAAGCAGCTTTCATAACAAAACTCTGACTTGCCGCATGACTCTGAACCTTTTGCTGCGCTTTGGCCTGCCCTGGCCCCAACTAACTGACAGTTCAGTTGACTTAGAAACCGTGTACAACAAAAATGCAGGCAAATCGTTGACCAGACCTCGAACTGGCACCCCAACTGTCCCCTCACCCACGATACTGCTACTAACACCCGCGCAGGTGAAAACATTATGAGGCCATCGATTTTGTTGCGCCGCTTTTAAAACAATTTTATTCGTATTTAAAGGCGATTTAGTTTGCCTTGCATTTGGTAAATAGAGGGAGGGTTTTGCTCAGAGTTGAAAACGTTTTGCTGTCATTTGGTTTTGGTTTAGGCGTTTTTTTTATTTTATTTTATTTTTTTTTTATGTGTCAGCGCTTTGAAAGCTTCGTGCGCAGTCGTTGGTAAGTAAATGAGCCAGTAAGTAAGCTGTAGGTAAAGTAGCTCATAATTATATTATACTCACGTACGAAACTGTGCAGAAAAATACTCAAAAAGCAACAAAACGCATGAGAGAATGCTGTAGTCGCAACGATTTCACACCTCACATACCCTATATGCTAGACTGACAAATACAAACACAAACTTGAATTCGATGACACACACAACGAATGTTTTTGATTCTCAGAAATGTGTTAAGTCTATCGAATTTGTGTGTATCACTTTGAGACTTAACTTAATCCGTATAGATTACGATTTTGTGATCTATTTGGATGCATAGTTGACGGATCCGTTTCGTAATGTTGTCTTTTCTTGTAATATTAAATTTTTTTTGTTGTTTTTAAAGTCATGGGTCATTTTGAAAGCTAAAATATGAAAATTATTTAATTTAATAGTTGTACTTGGAGAATTTCGAAAGACCTTTTGCGTCTTTTGTGTTTTCTTGTTAAATTTATTTGTAATTGTTAAATTCAGTAACTTTATATATTTCAAATTTTAAAAAACAGTGCTAATTAATCTGAGCAATTTGGATGACTATTTCATTTAGAAAACGCCCATTAATTGCATATTAAAAACCCAAGAAATGAAACAATTTATCTGTTGTATACATTTTGTAGCATAACTTTTATAAACATAACATTAAATTGCCGCATCTGCATTTGCATGAACTGGCATAAGTACACATGCCCTGCGACTGCTTCCAAGTGTACAGGGTATTGAAATGGCATTTTAAAAATGAACGCGTCTGAGAAAGAATTACTTATTCTATATATGCTGTATGTGTCGACATGCGCTTTTGTATAACAGCATTGGCCTTTTGTGTTTAGCCGTAAACAAACGGAACGGAAATTTCATAATCATAAACGTACGAATGTGAAGTGAAACAGCAAAGAACAATTTTTGTTTTCGCATTCGCATTTTCGACAACTGTTTTCGTCTGCCTCGTATTCTTCTTCTTCTTCGTTTGCTGCTGCTGTTGCGTCTCATGAATGAATCGACAATGTGACGACGCGTCGTCGTCGTCGACGTCGACGGCGACGGCGACAGCAACTGAGGCTGGAACGGAGACTTGAACGACTTTGACGATGGCAACTCGGAACGAGATACATTTATAGAGTTGAGTGCGAGCGAATCTTAAGTTTAGCGGTACCTCAAAAGAAACAGTTGTTAATAGCTTTTATTTTGGATTTTTCTGTGGGGAGCGTTAAGCTTTTGACTGGCAACTCTTCAAGTTTGCAGCTTAATGATGTCCAAGTCGCTTTGTGCTTTAAGTTGGGCGTGTCAAATGGTCGCCACAAACGAAATTTAAATACTCGCAACTTAATGAGCACATTGAATTGCTAACCAAATAGACAAACATAACATTATGCCGAACAATTGTCACAATAGCTCGTTTAGACAGCTCGACTTTTGCTCATCAGAATTTATAATCACAAGTTATGCCAAGGAACTAAAAGGCTAACAACCCTTTGACAATTTGATATACCTTTCTTTAATATCTGTATATGCATAGTGAACTGGGGACTGGCAAAAAATCGAATCAGTATTTAGAGAAATATGAAAGTTTTGATATTCAGCCATTTTTCCGACTCTAATTTTTGCTTATTGGTTGAAATTGTAAATAATATCTTCCAACAGTTAACTTTAACTTGATTATAACCGGGAAAAACATCTAATATAATTTATTGAGTTTTTTTTATTAAATAGATACAGAAACCGATTAGATTAAAAATGTTAGAAATTAATGAATGAATGAAAAAAATAATTGTTGGGATATTTAACCCTTTTTCAAACTCAGTTTGGGGCTTTCAAACGCAGCAAAATACTTATTGATTCAAGTGAATAATCTCTTCAACCAGTTAAGTATAACTAAACCAACCAAGTATTGCTTTAATTTTTGACTGATGAATTCAGAAATCGATTAGATTAAAAAGGGGAGAGATTTTTCAGTTTTAGTAAATTACTTTTGTGGTAATTGCTATATCTAAATTACCATAACCAAATACATTAACTACTTTCCTTGGATTTTTTTGTGGCAATTATATATTTTCCCAGGCAGACATTGCATTTAAATAGATACAATCTATGCAGTTATATCATTATTCATTTCCCATTTCCCCCACAAAAGTTGATTTATGCAAATGTAATGTCGAAAGCTGTGCTAAATATTTAGTGTGTGTTTCAGCTGCCAGAGTAACAACAAAATTGTGGCTCGGACTCCTCAGACACGCCCACTTTTCTGTTGTTGTAAAGGCGTAAGACCCAGTTTCCAAACACTTGCACACACACACACACATGCAAGTCTGCACGTGTGTGCAATGTATGCAAATTAGTTCAGCTTTGGGCCTCGTCATTTGCATTGCATTGCATTCTGTAGTATGACTAATCAGCACAAGCAAAGTACGCTATATAAATGTATATATAAACATATATATATATATATATATATACACATACACAAACACCAGCACATGTCGGCATTGCATGTTTGACGCGTTTTACTCGCTGTTTTTTGTGTTGCTGCTTTTGCGATTTGTTAGCTGTTTTGGTTTGGCTTGTATTCATTTTTGCAGCTTTGGCGTTTTCATTTTGTTTTTGTGCTCTCCCAACTTTCTAAGCCACCTTAGCCGACTTGCTGTTGCTGCAACTGCATACTCAAAGTAACTATCAACCACCCGATCCCTCCTCCCGCAGCTACAATTCACCCACCCACCCTCTGGCTAGCCAAATGGCCACAACAAAAAAACCCAAACGCGTTGCTCAGCTGCGGCTCTGTGTCGTCTCTGCTTTTTGGGTCTGTGTTTTTGGTCATACTTCAATTGTTTTGCCATTGGTTGCCCCACAGACAACCCACATACAACACATAAACATCCACACACACACACACACAGACAGCTATTGCTTTATTATTATTGCAGCCGTTGTTGTTATTGCTTTTAATTTTTGCTGTAAATACATTTTGGAATTGTTGTTTTTCGTTTTCTGTGCTTTTGGGGTAACAAACGCCTACGAAAAAAATTTCATTTTTCTGTCAGTTTTGCTGGTGCTTTTTTTTTTTGTTTTGCATTACTTGTCGGATGTTTCACAGTTGCATAAATTATTTTTGCCATATTTTCTCGGCTCTTACTTTTTA